TAACAATGATTTTGAAGTGAAAAAAAAATACCATTGTAATCACAATCATGCCTAAACCTTTTTGGCTATCCCAATAGGCAATTGTTGCACTGCAGTTATCAAATCCTACAAGAAAATTAAATAAATGAAATAATCATGAATAATATTAAAAGAAATACATGGATAAGATAATTCTATAAAATCTTATCAATGTTTAAGAGATAAATCATATAAACTGTAAATTATTTTATCGTAAAATTTATAATGTGAGACTCTAAAGACATATTTACTTGTCCTTGATACCAATTTTGAGTCGTACTTGGATCTTACATACACAAAGATATTTCAAGTGATTCATAGTTCTAATAAGACAAATTTACATATTAATAGATTTAATTTAAATAACATGTTTGAACAAAGTAAAAAAAGTAACTAAAAATATTAGAATATTGACTTATTATTACCTCGTTTGATTGAATGGAGCAATAAGTTTTAGCAGTATTGAGATTTGACACTATCTTTTGGCTAGAATCACGCCTTCAAAAATATAAAAGTAAAAAAAAAAATTAAGAAATGCCGATATGGTAAACTATACCAAATTTAAAAGCATCAAACAATACCTTAATTGATTTTTTAGCAGGCAAGTGCGCTTTGTATGACCCTTTTGTTTACAGAATAAACATGTTTTTGAATTATTTCTTTGCTCCAAAACCTCTTTCATTCTTAGAGTTCAAGAACACCCTTTAGTAGTCACATGAGGAGGATCACTCAAAGTTATATTATAACTTAAAAAATGAGTCTCATGATCTTTTGAAACATCTTTAAGAACATTTTCACTTGTTAAAACACCAACGCCACTACTTTTCTCCTTCTAAGATATTTTCTAAGCATTGAGCTCTTCAAATAACCGTTGCAAACCTTCAATTGCCATATCATAATGTTTTTGAGATCTTGAAGCTTTTTCTGAAAGCTCCAAAGAATGAATCATGACATTATTAAACAACATCATTAAAGACTTTGAAGCACTATCATGTTGTTCATCCAAGATGCTTTCTACTTATCTTTTGTTAGCATATCTTGTCCACCAATTTAAAACATATCGATCAGGTAATGAATGCATTTTTTTAATCAAAACTATCAATTGATGCCTACAAAGGATGCCTACAAATTCAAACATGTGACATGAACAAGTTGTAGTTGCTGACAAGGAAACAAATGTCACAATATATTCAGGTTTCTCTTTGTCAAATTCATGCACTTTGTAACTGTACACTTGCTCATTTACACTGATATTTTTTGTAACATACTGCTGAGAATGAACCAACTCATCTTGAAATTTTCTAAACATTTTTCTTATGTAAACCTCCAAACCTTTTTTTTTCATTGGATAAAATATCTTTAAAATTAGCTTGGAATTCATTGTTTTGAAAATTTTCTCCCTCTCTTTGTTGCATCTTGCATCAATGGCTTTTTCATATTGAATGGACGGAACTTACTCATCAAAGTGCTGAGTTGACATAATCTTTGAAATACTTGGTTCATATCTCACTCTCTGAGTAGTAGACAGTTCCAGCACAAAAGTTGTTCCGCACATAAGCAGGGATCAATTTTTCTCGAATGGAATACAATTTTTTCAGCCAACTATTTTCTTGCAAACCATACTTTTCAATTATTTCAACCCATTTCGATTCAAACTCATCAGGAACTAATGTATAATAGATGCATTTAAAAAATTGATTCTTGAAATCATCAAATTGTTGGTAAACATGGCTAAGATTCTCAGAAAAATTTTTTTCAATATGCCATATGCAAAAATGATGTTTAGTATGTGGTAAAACCTTTGCAACTGTATTAGTTATAGCTGCATCTTGATCTGTAATGATTGTTATTGGATGATATCCAAACATTGCTTTCAACCAAGTGTTCAGTAGCCAAACAAATGTTTCCTTTGCCTCATTTCACAACAAAGCACAACCAAATAAAATGGATTGGTAATGATGATTAACTCTACTGAAAAGAACAAAAGACATTTTATACCTATTTGTTAGATAAGTTGGGTCAAAAGCTACAACATCCCCAAAATACTTATATGCCATTCTAGACCTAGAATCAGCCCAAAAGCAATTTACTAGTTAACCTTCTACATCCGTTTGTATTACATAAAAGAATCTTGGATTCTTCAATTGACATTCTTTGAAATAAGCTAGCACTAACTGTGCATCTCCTTTCTCAAGCTGTTTCTACCTTCTATTACTCAAATAATTTTGAATATCACACTCAGTTAAACCAACCATATCAATGCCACCTAATTCATTAGCTAAAACTAACATGATTTTACTAGAACTAATTCTTAAATCATTAAGCACATCAATTAAATTTCGTTGAACTCTTGTCCTTTTTTTGTGAACACGTAAAAATTGAGCACTTTTTGGATTAGCAAGCTCATGAGTGTGGTCCTTTATAAATCTAGAAATTAACCATTTGTCATCATCTTTCTTGGACACATAAATCATGGCTTTGCATCCCACTCGTGTCTCATCTGGTGGTGCTTGAATTCTATCTTCCCTTTCAAGATACTTTTTGTTACGATAACCTTCCTTTGAATAAACAAATTCATGTCTAATAATCAATTGAGTTTTTCGAGATTTTGTAATACGGCTCTTACGAATTCCAAATCCTTCTCATTCTGCATACTTAATATAGTACTCTAAAGCCTATTCCAAATATTGAAACTCCATTGTGATAAATGGTTCTAAAAACTAGTGATTTTTATCAGCTAACTCTGTAATAATTTCAAAATCGCATTCTTGACCAACTTTATCAACATTTAATTTTGTATCAGAAGACTTTACCATCACTTATAACAAGAATTGAAACCTTATCAATCAATTAAAATAAAAATGTGAATCACCTCAAATTCCACGCTATTATATATATCATGATCAAGTGACATTTTCATATCATTTTATTATTGATATTCCAACACCTAAATCCCAAAAACACATACAAGGTAAAATAACTTTATAATATGAAACACATCCAAACTAAAGAAAAATAGTGCATAAAGTCATTCTTTTACAATTCATTAAAACAAAGCAAACAATAGTTAAAAGACCAATAAGATTTACTTTATGAGGCATTGTTGGTGAGCCAATCTCAACAGCCTTAGTTATCTGCTCCAAATTTTCTTCAACGAAAAAATATTACATTGGCATAATAATGATCAAGATTAGTTAGCATGTTTTGATCAAACTTTAACTAGAAGAGACAAATTCTCACATACTTTGAAATAACATTGATTTTGAAACTTTCCATAAGTAGAATGTTATCAGTAAACAGAAAGTCGATAATCCAAAAAACACAGTAGAACAAAAATCAACTAGCATAATGCTAAAACATATTTCTAATACTTCCAACTTATATGGTTGCTTACAGTAGCAAACTTGAAGGAAATCCAAAGATAGGCAATTGTCAAATATAACCATACAACCCCATCACCTACAGAGGAAAAATGTAACAGCTCTTTATCACATAATTCCAACCTTTTTATTCAATATAATACAATCCTTTCTCAGATATGTATAAGACAAATTGACAACATAGAAGACAACATATTGCTAACTCCCTCACTCACCCCATTAACAATGCTAATTTTAACCTACACTTACAGTGAACATAAGAAGCCATGAATTCTCCTCCACTTATCAACTTTTCAATTCAAACTGCTTAATTAAATACCTATGATCAAATAACTTTACCTATGATCAACCAATTAATGAAAATTTTGAAGTGGAATTCAACTTACCCAGTAAAGAAATCACGAAATTTGACTGAGACAAAAAGCTTACCCAATAAAAAAAATTAAAAAATCAAAAGAAGGAGGCGGTAAATACAAAGAGAGGTGACAAAGAAGATAAAAGCTTTAATTTTAATTAATTAACCATAAATAAATTTATTAAAATTTATTTTTAAGGGCTTAAAATTTTAAATTTTATTCATTAATGATATGTCATTGTATTATTCACTGACAGTGTATAGAAATAATACATAGTCAATGTATGAAATATTAATCCCTTTAAATAACAGTGATTGATATAAACTTTTAAAAATTTTTCAATTGTCGCGATTGGCCTGTGCTTTGAAGCGGTCATAAATTAATTCAAGTGTGTATAATATATATATATATATATATATTATGGTTTGTTGAGCTTAAATGAATGAAATGAAAGATTGCCCACCAGCTCAGAAACAAAGAAAGTGTTGTGATTATTAACGTCTGATCGATGTTATTAAAAGACGAATGAGTGCCTAAGAAGTGACGAGAGCCAAAAATCAGCATGGACAAATTTTACAAAGTTTTTCCACGTTCAACCATCTTTAATTAAAAATTGTAAGGAGAAAAACTTGACTTCAATCCTTCCAAGTTAAAATTTCAAAGACAAAAGCAAGTTGACTTCAAATCAAATATTCAGGTCTTGCTACAACATTGATTTTTCCACCACCAATTACATTGATTTACATAAAAATTATATTGGAATACTATTTTTTAAACTAATTATTAAATTTTACAAGATAAGGTATATCTTTTTTTCAATAATAACATCCAGAATCTATAGAAACAATGAATTAAAAATTTTAAGTTGATTTAGAAATTATATAAAAAATGATAATATAATACAATGCTTCACAATTTCGGATGAAACATTATTGTAATAGTGATAACATTAAATAATAAAAAGTGTTTAATTTATTAATTTTAAAAAAGTATTAAGAGATTAAAATAGATTAGATATTAAATTACCTTAGTCAGTCACATACACTTGGTTTGCTACTGAGTAGCCTAGTGACCCACACGGCCTGCCACACGTTTTGAGCGACTAAAGGTCATTTTCATCAGCAAGCGCCGAGAAATTTTTACGCCTCCTTCACATTTTTCCTAGTGGCAATCCTGTAGATAGAACCAAATTCCAAGGGCACTTATTGGTAAATTCATTACTTTCATAACTATGCATATAAGTTTCACCATGAAATCCAAATTAAAAAAAAGACACAGGAGTTTGACGCTTGTTGAAGGAGAATCTAAAAGAGAGCAAAACCAGACCTAAAAGCTGATGATTGGTGACTAAGGTATGCCAATTCATCATTACAATCTCCTTTTTCTCTTCTGTTTTTGGTTTCATGGGTAGGGTGGTCATGACTAATGAGAGGTTGTGGAATTGGATCATTTTTCTATGAGTTCAATACGAGGTTTTTGTTGGGCTTTATGTTCATAATTCATGAATTGGAGGAGAAGGGTTAGCGCTAAAATTAATCAAAATGTTTTTTTTTTTTTTTTCTTGTGTTTCTGATGCTGTCACCAACCTTTTACATTTGGTAGGAGTGGCTGTAAAAAAGGAAAGTTTGGCCTTTTGATGAGATAGGAAGAAACTTTGTTCTTTGCCCGAGCCTGACGAGTATTCAACAATAATAAGAAAATCAACTTTATTTTTTGATTTTTCTATAAGTGACTTACTGGAGTTATTAGATATAGCTTTCAAGCTGTCTGCCAACCTACAGATTTAATTGAATCATGAATCTGGGAGCTAATTTATTATTTTATGTGTACTGTATGCAAAATTCTGTGCCATACCATCTGGTATTGATCTCTCTTGCTCTCTCCTTGTTCCCTTTTCGATTAGTTGGTAGCTTTTGCTCTGTAACCATTCGGCTTTATGGCTTCTTTTAATTCCTTTATATGATTTTAATTGGACAGAGATTTAAATTGGTACCAAACGCGATTATGTGAATTTGGAGGCCTCCTATGTAGAATAAATTGTTCTAATTGCATCTGGTTAGAGAAATTTTGGCTGCTTTTTTACCACTCATCTAATCTTTTGCTTCTAGCTATTATCTATTGTTTCACTTGATTATGTTTTTAGTTGGTGTCTTGTGCTTGGTTGATTAACTTCTGATTCAAAGGAAAATTGCTTAAAGGAAAACTTCCTCTTAACTTAAGTCCCTTCTCCATCTAGGCTTCTTTGGTTCTTGCTTGGTTTTTCTCTGACTTTTTACACCCCTTGACAGTGTAACCTGTGCTTCTATTAGTTGCATAATCTAATCTCTTTTATTTTCTTGGATTTCTTTTAGCAGATTGTGATTGCTCTTTTGATATTTATGCCTTGCAAAAGTAAAACAGTTGATGGTCAACGTTGGTGCTGAGGATCAAATCAGTTTTATCCACTTTTAAGACTTGCATAATCTAACCTCTTTTCAGTTAACGAGTGATTTTGCTCAATCAAGCAACTGCTGCTATTAGAAAAAGGTGTTACTATTATAGACAAATTCTGTTGTCACAGAAAACATCTGTCAGGAACAAAAAGTTTTCCAGAGGAAGTTAATAAGCGGCTTGGGCTTAGATGCAAACATCTCAGAAACACCAAACTCGAGCCAGTATCTATCACCAACCTGTTAAGGAAATTGATCCATTTTGTTTGCCTCATATCCAGACATTAGACGACAATGTATGCTCAGATGCAGGCAGCCAAGGAGCTAATGTCTCCTTTCAAACCGACAAGGACCAATTTTTTACCCTGGAATCATCAACAGCAACTGCTGGTTTTGTTGCCTATGACTCTCCTTCTGCTTTGAGCATCTCATCAAGCAGGAGTCCTTTCTCCCCACTAGGTTCTCATTCATGCTTGTCTGATCCTCATAATTCCCCTGACAATACTTTTGGATCACCATTCACTGGATCTTCTGTTGTTGGTGATAGCAATGAATTGAAGCACAAACTGCGGGAGCTGGAAATTTCTTTGTTGGGGCCTGAATCAGATATTATAGACAGCTGCAATTGCTGCTTCAGTAGTGGAGCCCACCAAGCTGCTTCAATGGCAAGATTGAATTGCGATCAACTGGTGGATATGATCCCTAGATTAGACTTGAAAGAGGTGCTCATTGCCTGTGGTCAAGCACTTCATGAGGATGATATGTCGACAGTTGCAGGTTTAATGTATGTATTGGAGAAAATGGTATCAGTGTCAGGAGAACCAATGCAACGATTGGGTGCTTATGTGCTGGAAGGGCTTAGAGCGAGGTTGGAATCCTCAGGGAGTAATATCTACAAAGCCCTAAAATGCAAAGAACCAACAAGCTCAGAACTAATGTCTTACATGCATATTCTCTTCAGGATCTGCCCATACTGGAAGTTTGCATACACATCAGCTAATGTTGTCATCAAGGAAGTCATGGATTATGAACCAAAAATTCACATCATCGATTTCCAAATTGCACAGGGCACCCAGTGGATGTACCTTATTGCAGCGCTTGCAAAACGCGTTGGTGGGCCCCCATCTATCCGTATAACTGGCATTGATGATTCCCAGTCAAATCATGCTCGAGGTGGGGGGCTTAATATTGTGGGGCAGAGGCTATCAGAATTCGCTGAGTCATACAATGTGCCATTTGAGTTTCATGATGCTGCTATGTCTGGTTGTGAGATTCGACTAGAGCATCTTAAGGTTCAATCTGGGGAAGCCCTAGCTGTGAATTTTCCATATGTGTTGCATCACATGCCAGATGAGAGTGTAAGCACCTGGAATCACAGAGATCGACTGTTGAGGTTAGTGAAGAGTTTGTCACCCAAGGTTGTGACTCTTGTTGAGCAAGAGTCTAATACCAATACATCCCCATTCTTTTCAAGGTACCTTGAGACACTGGATTATTACACAGCTATGTTTGAATCCATAGATGTAGCTTGTCCGAGAGATGACAAGCAAAGGATCAGTGCAGAGCAGCATTGTGTGGCTCGTGATATTGTGAACATGATTGCTTGTGAGGGGACTGAGAGGGTGGAAAGGCACGAACTTCTTGGAAAGTGGAGGTCAAGATTTATGATGGCTGGTTTTTCTCCATATCCATTGAGTTCATCAGTTACTATGGCTGTAAGAGATCTGTTAAAGGAGTATGACAGTAACTATAGACTTGAAGAGAGAGAAGGGGCTCTCTATCTTGGCTGGATAAACAGAGCTATGGCGACCTCTTCTGCATGGAGGTGAAAGCCAGATACTGATAGTTATGGCTCTATGAAGTCTGTAAATTCTGCCCAATTATTTTTCGAGTTTTCTCTTTTAGAGCATGGGACTTTAGTGTCTTGTAAATTTGTAGAAAATGAGCCTAGCTTTCTTTTAATTGTAGAAAATGAGCTTAGCTTTCTTTTAATAGCGGTAGGCAAGGGATGTAGATTGCAACATTTTTGCTTCCATCATTTTCGCTTCCCGACATAGTCTCACGTTAATATGTGAATCAATTAATTCTCAACTTCCTGTTTTGAACTAATTTTGTGGTGAGGATTGAGAAACCTTGCTTTTTCAACTTCTAGTGAATTTACCACTACCTCTCCCTAAAACATGGCTAACATCAGCTGTGATTCATCAAACTCCAATCCCATTTAAATGTTCCCAAATCCTTCCATTTAAGGGATTAGGGTAGCTCCAGCTGCCTCTTTCAAGAAATTCAACGGTGACAAAATGGAAAAGTGAATGTCATCAGCCAACTTTTCAATCAAATTTCTTACACTAATCAAAGCGTGCTGCTATATTATCCATTTAAACCAGTAGCAAACATTGTGGATATCGATGGGTAAAGTAAGGAGGGGATAAAGCATTCTCCTTCTTTATTTTTGGTTGTTTCATATTATATTTATCTTTATATTTATATTTAATAAGTTTTTTAAATTCATTCACATTTTTATTTTTGTGGATATTTAATGAATATCAATAATTTCATTTCTGTACTCTTAACTTTGAAAAAATAAAAATAAAAAATATTTTTTAGTTTTTTTTTTTTTAATTTTTATCTTGCATATTTATGTAATTTCTTTTCTAAATATATATTTCTTAAATATAAATATATTAATTCTGATAAAACTAAAATAAAATTTACATTATTAAATCAAAAATTAATTTATTAAATATATATAAATATATAAAGTATGAGTAACGAGTAAGTGCTTTATTACTCATTTTTGTACATATATTCAATAAAAAATTTAAATTATACCCATAACCATCCCCGTCCCTATCCCATCTCTATTTTCATTAAAGTCAAATCAAATTTTCGTTGAATTTAAGTCAAAACGGCATCTCTAATTACAATATATATATATACACACACACACACACACGTAAACACAGAAAAAATGAAGTTACCTGGTGTGCTAAGTTAGGGCAAGAATGCACTATCATTTGCTTACAAAGCGAACGCTCTATCACTATGCTATGGAAGCAGGCGACAAGCGCATGTATACCTATAGAATCTCTCAATTCTTATCACGTCATCTTTCATAGTTTTATGGTAAAAATTTTGAGTATTTGAAACTAAAAGTGATCTAAATTGATAATTCTATTTTTTTAGTACGTTTATACCGAATCTTTAGCATAGAAATATGTATGTACATATATAAAGAAAAAAGCAAAGCAAATTTGCAATTGAAGCTGTGACTATAATTGAACTAAAATAAAGTGAATTAAATCAGTATCTCAGATTAAATTCAATTTAAAAAAAAAATTTGAAATTCCGTCAAACTCATCTTTCATCTTTGAGTTTCCTTAATTGAGTATAAAGTTGACTGGACTCAATTATATCCTTGGGTGGAGAGACATTAAAACCTACATTGCCTTAATTTAAGTCTCAAATGCCATTATATCTTTCACCACAATCATTTTCATTTTCTAGTTGCATTCCCCAAAGACAGCAAACTATATGTTAACGGCTTGGGCACCAACCATTCAGTCTAAGCCGGAGGTATGTATCCCCTATGAGGTCTTGGCATTGGCAACTTTGCTCAAAACAGGGCATCCACAACGAAGCCTATTTTTCTACAGGTTCAATTTAAGTTTTAGAATGCGTGAAGCACCATAGGCACATGGAGGCAAGGAATGGAACTTCAGAACTACTCAATTTTTATGCAATGGCTTTCCACCTGTACAGGCGTTCCATGTAATAGGAAACGGCAAGGGCCAATATAAGCCAAAATTTTGCCAGCTTTTCTATTCATGAGAAAGTACTTCAATGCACTTCTTTTTCCTCTCAGATTCCTCATTTTCCTCCTTGCATTCCTCTCCATCTACTTCTTCACAGTTTTCTGAATCAGCTTCATATCTTTTCCTCTGAGGTATTACTTGAAAGAAGGAAGCCTTCCAATCTCTTGTCTCCAAAAACTTTAGGAGTATCTCTATAACTTGGTTTACAGTAAGGACCTGCAATCATAGGAAAATTAAATCTTAGTTAGAGAAGAAAACTTAGAAATGCAATAGAATATTTGCTTCATTATTTCTATGTTTGAAAATTAAACTGTTGCATAAGTGAACCATCATGCATGACTATCTTCTCAAATCATGTATATTCCATTCAATGCATCCTAGCGTTCTTTTAAGGAAACTAGTAACATGCAATTATGAAGTTATTCATACTCCAAAATATGTATATTTGCAGTATTCAACCCCAAGAGACTTGAGTAGATAGGCCAGGAGCAGGGTTTCGAATATATAATTGCATAAAAAATCGAGAAAACAATGAACCAACATCGATACCAATAGATTCATCTGAAAGAGATAAAAAAATTCAAAGACCTAACTTCCATTTGCAAGGCTTTGTTTCTACCTATTAAATAAGATGGTCCCAATAATCAACTGATAAAAGAAAGTCGTGTGTGGTGTACTACGACCAAGCATACCTGAGAACTGGACATCTTCATGTAACTTGCAATCGGGAGTTTTGCTGTACGAATTCCCTGTTCCTCTGCTTTCTTCATAGTTATACCCTTCCACCGATTTCTATCCACCAATCCGCCCACAATATAAACTTTGGTGGGATCAAGTTCATGCAGCACAGTTTCGGAGTCTGCTGTAAGGTAAACCAAATGATCTTTCTGATCTGAAAACGCTTGGATATAACATTGATTTTCCTTCTCAATAATCCATTTATCAAATCCAGGGATCCTTCGCAGTTGAGTTTCTATTTCCGCTTTGCATCCAGTCAACCAGAGGTGAGCAGGAAAACTACATCTTCCATTCACTGCATAGCAGTACATAATCTGCAGGGTTCAGCAGCGACATAAGATAATGTAATATAGCTACAAGGATTGAAAAAAAAAAGAACATCTTTAATCATTAGCTACGATTAGAAGACCAAGGGTTAGTAGTAAAAAAGAAAACCTGTTGAACAAGGCTGTGGATCTCAGAGTGAGTCATGAGATGAGAGAATTCAAGATCGAGGACAATGTTTTGGCCAGTCTCTTTGGCTTGGATCAGCCTCTGGATTTTCTGCCCTCTTTCATCAGACCTTTTCTCCATTCTCTCTCTCCTCAATTCTTTTCTTGAATCTATGAGTTTCAGCCTCTCGTCTTCGGTAAGGCCAGCCAGTTTCTCCTCCCATTCTTTTCGCTTCCTCTCCGCGTCCCTCTGTTTTTGCTCTTTCATTAGCGCTTTCTTCTCTGCTTTCTTCGCCTCGAATTTCTTTTGCTTCAAGAGCTTCTTTTGGGCGCTCTTCGAGAGAGGCTGAGGCTGCCGATTGGGATTGGGATTGGAAGGGCTTTCCTGGCCGTTATGCTTATTTTGTGTTGCCTCCATTGTTGAGTTTAGCTCGGAGGAAAGGACTTCTCTTTCATACCTCTTTGGGTTTAGGGCATTATTTGGACGCTGTGTTTGTTGCCAATGCCATACCAATTTTCTTCATCCGGCGTCGTGTGGGGCGTATCGCCGTTGGCAGTAGGAACAACATATAACGACAAAAAGTGAAGAAGACAAAACCGGAGAAAGAATAGGAAACGCACACCATCTTTACGTATCATTTATTTGGGATTTGGACCCAAACCGAAAAGGCGGAAAACGGGTAGTAGTTCCTAATTAGACGAAGAATTGGCGCAATTAGCCCAAAGATATAAAAATATATAATAATAATAATCCTAATAAAGAGAAAATAAAAGCACTGATTTGAATATTTGATAGGCAAATTGCCGCAAAAACTCTTCTTTCCAATTCTACTTTGTCCATAATCCTTTGTTTCTTTTCTACATTTCTCTTTCTTCCTATGTTCAACCCCACCGTCCAGGTTAGGTCTTCCTTTTAATTGCTATTACCTTTCCTTTTTCTTTTGCAATCATTTGAATTTGAAGGATATTCCATTCCTAAGATCAGGAAAGTTCGCACCTTTGCATGGAAAACCGTGATTTTAATATCGGTTTAATCATTAGATTTAGTTCTCTTAATTCTTAGCATTGCTTATTCAAATATGGTTTTTAAATAATTTATATTATTGTTATTATTATTATTATCATCAGAATTATTAAGGCAATTTTTCTTGTATATATTCGTTTTGCAGAAAAAATCCTCTGGATTTTAAATTGATGATGGAAGGGTCAGCAAGCCGATCAGAGTTGCAAAAGGAGCTAGAGAGGGAACGTCGTCGCATGAGGGACCGCCAAAGAAGGCAGTCTATGAGCCTTGAGGAGAGAGAAAAGCATCTGGCTAGACGCCGAAGAAACTATCAATTGCGGAGACAGAGAGCTGAAACTGCTCGATTAAACCCTTCTCCATCTCCAATTCAATTGCCCTTAAGTAATGCCGTAACTTGTGTTTCAGATGTTACTCCTCAGTTAATGCTGCTGCGGCTCTCGTCGGATCCAAACATGGACAAGAAAGACCAATGCTGGACACGAGAAGCTCCCAGTGTCAGCTCCCATCACTTTACCATTAAGATTAACTTAAAGGAAAATACCGTGTCTTTTTTTCTTACTAGTTCCTTTTAATTTTTGCTCAACAGGTTTGGAAATCCCGGCTCATAAATTAGCTATTTTACCTGGAAAGATACGTTTGAATCGCATAAAACATCTGGTACGAGCAATAAATGCTCCTGTTGGTGACAGGGTTGCAATTGGTGGGATCATGAAGGAAAATGGAACTTCCAATTGTAAGTTTAACAATTCTACTCAGTTTATATTGGATAAGGATAGATGTCAAATTGTCAATGATTCGATTAATATACCTTTGAAACCATTTATTAATGAACTATTCAATTTAAGATTATAAGTTTATATATAAAAAAATTGTTGTTCAGGTTTAATATCCAAAGGATTGCGATTAAATCGTATTAAACGTCTTGCTCGGGCACTAAATCCTGCTGTGCAAGAGACTCTTAGTCAAAGCCATCAAAGTGTAACAGATGGTAAGAATGCATATGTAAATTCTTTAGTTTGTACCATGTCACACAAAATTAATTGTTCTTTGCTAAAGTTTTTCGCTTTCAAAACTTTGAATTCATAATGCAATCTTTAGAGTAGCTGAAAAGAGCAGCTTTAGGGAGAAACTCGTTTGATACGTGATAATGTGTAATTTTAAACAGTTGAACAATCTTAAAGTTGAAGATGATGATTTTTAACAAATTATAGTTTTTGGTGGCATTCTTATAAACTAATAGTTGCTTTAATGATGCAATTTAGTTGGTTCAACAGGAGTATTTTTGAGAAGGATAATGACAAGTTTTTGCTATTATGTTTAGGGTGAACATCGCTGTTGTAATGCTGAAGACAGACAGGCATTTTAATCAGTCATATACAAATTTATTTTGGCTCCTCCCCTCATTCTTTCAATTGAAGATTTGTAAGTTTATTACACTAGTTAATTCTTTCAGAGTCTCTTGCCGATAGTTGATATTCTTTTGCTGTTGCATTGCATATTCAACTGATGACATCAAAACTTTTTGTCTGTAGTCTTATTATGTAATTTGCCTGAAATGGATGAAATTTATGTATGAAAGTAAAGTTTTAGCAGTTGTGGTTTAATAATTGGTTAAGCTACTTTCAGAGAGGATTTTTTTTCTTTTTTGGATCCCATACCCCTTATACAATATATTGGCTGCTAGAAGATTTGTCTCTTTAGTTATAATTCATAGAACAACCTAATGTATTAGCTCTGCAATATTTATCCACTGGTTCAGAAAAAATTGATTCTTAAGAAACTGGGATTTCGAGAATATTAGTTTAACCAAGCTTCTTCGTTGTTTTTTGCTAGTTAAGTTTTCATATTCCTATTCATAAAAGGATTCATTCACCTTATACAAAGAACCGCTCTTTACTCCCACCTACGCTGAAATTCCTACACATGGTGACAGAGGTCAGAGGGAGATAATTAAGGGCTTTTGGCTTTATCATGCTTCTATAGTCCTTAGAACTAATATTTCCTTTGAATTTGAAGCTTGAATATGATGTTCTTAATTATTTACATATGCCTTCTTTCTGATGTTACTCATTCTTTCTTTGCCATTTTATCAAGGGCTCATGATCAAACTTCACGATCATCTTGATGCTCTCCACTCTCCAGCATGGATTGATATTGAAAGGAATGTCTATGATTTGATCAATGCCGGCGTGCCAATTAACTAAGAGGGATTTGGGCTGGGAAAGAGGGCATTATCCGTTGTCATTTATGCTTCATCACCATCCCCATGCACGTTTTAAGTATCTGTCTGGGTCATTTTGTTTTTCCGATGTAGTTTCCTGATGAAGTTTTCATGGACAGAAGTGAAAAAATCTCTGTTAATTATATGCAAAGAATTCGATTTTATTGCAGAACTGTATGGCTAGCTGTTTGTTTTTGGGATATATCTAGAGTTTATGTATATCCATGTTGAAAAAATGACTGTTTTCGAGTCGACATATCTTCTTTGAGCGTTTCAAAATCTAATCTTTCTTCTACTTAAATTCCTATAAATTTATTTGGTTTCTTCTTCGTCCTTTTATGCTTTTGGTGTTTAATCTAATGTGACGGGGGATTTCAAATCCTTATCTATGAAGCGGGGCAAACCGGAATTTGCTTGTAAATCCCGATGATAACGTCACATGAAAACACTCATTGACTTTGATGATCCTCCCTCCGGCAAGGTCCTCCGTTGATAGCAGTCTCATATTCCACCGCCTTGTGGAGCAGCGTCGCTGCTTTTACCTTTAGGACTGGCCATGAGACGTACATTCAATTCTTTCCCTTGCTTTAGATTTTGCAAATTTTCTCCCTTTTTTTTTTAAATATAAATGAAAGATGTAAACTTTAATTTGTATTTACTGATGCTTGTGCATGACTGGGGGATCAAATTCCCTGGAAGTTGATCCAACGGGCAGGTTTGGAAGGTAACCTGACTTGCTTGGTGCAGGTGCAACCAAGAAAAATTTATCGCGCGTTTGATCAACAAGAGGACAGAGAAATTTCTTATATTTTCGGGACAAATAAAATGGTGTAATTTACTCTTCCTTTCGTGACAAACTAAGATGATGGACAAGTTTTACCGAGTACTATCATTACAGAGAAATAAAATGTCATCAAGCTACATTGGCGTATTTTTAAATAAGAAAGAACGTATTTCCTATTAATCCAATTATATTTACATCCATAGGAGAGGCATGCGATTGTCACCAACAAGCACCAAAACAATATGTAAGCCACAGTCAGCAGAATATTCAGGAAGACCAAATATCCTAATAAACAAGATTATGTGAACTATGTGTGAGAGCCACATTGAAGCTTCTGGGATTTCAGGACACTTCTTGCAGCTTCTATGACTACTTGCCCATTGACATAGTGCTGCCGACATACAGGCATGTAGACATCAGCTCCGCCAATCAATTCTGTTTGTGTCTCCTCGGTCTTCCTTAAGGTAAAGAAAGCACGTTTCCCACAAAGTTCACATCGAGCCGTTAACTTCATCACAGAATCAGCAAGTGGAATGATATCAAGCACAGATCCGAAGCTCCTTCTACTTGCAAGAATTGGATTAAACCATAAGGAGGGAGTAGGAATATATGTAAATTCACCAATGAGCATGCATCTCAAAAAAGAAAGTATATTAAATAATACCTTAAATAGTCGCCATCCAGCCCAGCAACTATCACGGTTTTGCCATCATGATCAGCAGCTTCACAGCAAAAATCATAAAGGTCTTCAAAGAATTGGGCTTCATCAATGCCAATGACATCAAGCTGTTACATGCACTGGGTCATGAGTATATTCGACAATAAATACCCATATGATTGGTGAAGCACAAGAGAATGTTACAAAGAAAAGCTAGATATACACATCCAAATGAACAGTTGTCATCATAAATGGCAAAAAACGTCAAATTTTGATGCTGGCATATAACAAACCTGATCATAAGCTTCAGGCCCAATTTTTTGTCTGAATGATGATAAATTTGCCAATGCCCAACATGGTAGTTTCATGCCATCATGTGTCACAATTGAATCCAATCCATATCTTGTATCCTTGTTTGATTTTATTACAGCCACAGTTCTGCATAGCAAATATAAAGTTAGACAGGTTAACAAGACAAGAATCAAACATGAAAACCAAGTGGAGATCGTTGTATCAATCAGGTAATTAAATTTTGGTACTGTGCCATTGATAATATTCCTGATTGCCACTACACCTAATACCGAATTAAAAGCACAAACTACAAACCATGGACTTTGACATTAGTTTACAGAAGATTTAATAACCTTCCAAATCACATTTCCATGAATAAGTGAATATGGATATTTAGGCAGCAAGTAACTTTCAGCACATAGAATACAACAGCATTTTTAATGGGCATTACCTATTGACAGGGTCACCAAATTCTGTACATTTCTCCACACACACACACACACACACTAAGAGTCTAAGATTGAAATATGAAGAACTTAAGAACCTTCAACCAGCCCAGCTTCTCAGCACAACACCACAATAAAGAGTGGTACACAGGATTTTAGATGCGATTTATATCAGGAACATAGCCTGAATCCTTTAAAATGGAAGTCATTAATTTGATCAACTTGTAAATCTCCACAGAATGTTTATGAGATATATCGCCCCTAAAAAAGAAGTGGACCTTCCTTGAATCTCAATACTGCTATAAGCAGCCTCCTTTATGACCCCGGAATTCCTCATTCTCGTCCTACGTGCTGCCACATTTTCCCGAAAACCGAAAGTGGCATAAGCATTAGACAAGACAACAAATGTTCCAGCATTTTATGGGTCCAGTTCAAAGTATCTATCTGCGGCAAGCTTTACCAGATCCATATCCCCATGAATCCTACAGGCCCCAAGCAGAGCACCCCATATGGGAGGGTGATCCTTGCAAGGTGAGTTAAGAACAAACTCATAAGCTTCATGCAACTTTCTAGAACGGCCTAAAAGATCAACCATAGCAGCATAATGCTGCCCTCTCGATTGGATTCCATAGTCTCTTGTCATTAATAAGAAATAGTGCCAACCTTCATCAGCCAAGCCTCCATTGCTACATGCAGAAAGAACTGCAAGAAAGGTAACATAGTCTGGTCTAAAACCTTAATTTTTCATTTTATCAAAATATTCAAAACCTCAATAACCCTTCCATGCTGGCCATATCCAGATATCAAGCTTGTCCAAGTAACAATATTTCTATTTACTACTTTATCAAATACCTGATGGCCATCAGTAAGACTGCTGCGTTTGAAATACACATCCATGAGTGCGCTAGTGACCATGACATTTTCCCTGATATGGCTCTTTATCAGGATCCCATGGGCTCGCTTCCCATGCTCTAATGTGGCTAAGGAAGCACAGGCACTAAATATGGATGCAGTGTATTAATCTGGTGTTAAACCATTCTTTCTCATCTTGTAATAGAGATCAAGTCCAAATTCTCCACAACCCTTTTGCACAAATCCACCAATCATTGCATTCCAAGAAATCAAAGTTTTCTTTAGTAACTTATCAAACAGAAAATGGGCGGTCTTTAAATCCCCTAATTTTGCATACAATATCAACAACTTGATCTTCAGATATTCATTGGCTACATATCCAATAACAACCATTTGTGCATGGATTCTTCTAACACTTTTATATTCTTTCCTGAATATGCATTCTTGCAAGAGAAGAGTATAAGTTCCAGCACTGCTTTCAATCTTGTACGCCATAATAGCCCAACAGCTTCAGTCAGTCTTCCCATAAAACAAAGACCCCTCAAAGCCTTATTCAGTTGTATGTGGTTTTACGGAGCTTGGCCTGAAAGCTGAGAATATTTATTATTGCATTCGATCATCTTACAGCAGTGAGCAAAATCTATACCAACGAACTAAACTGCCAAAAAAAAAAAAAAAAAAAAAGAAACAAAAGAAACAATGCAAAGATATTGATGACAGCGAGTGGATTTAACCTCATCATGAACCCCAGGCCTAAACCATAACATATGACGAAGATAAACTGAAATCCATAATTCTGAATAACATTAAGTCCAGACTTTAACCCAATTCTATAACATAAATAGAAGCACGAAAAAAAGGGTTCAAACCTGCCATTGTTGCTTTCAGATTGGATTCGGCGAAGCAGTGTGGTTGTCTTGCCAGCAAACATGGGTCCTACGATCACGTGGACCTCACCACACGGTGAAGAAGATTGCGAGGTCTCTGCGTGCAGTTTTCGACTTGGGGTTGAAAAAAGTGAGGTTGTTGGTGAAGCCATCGTGGGTTTTATGTGTAGAAATTTTGGATTTGAACGAGTCGATAGGTTGCAAAGATTGGGGCTTTTTGAGGCTAAAGTGAAGAATGCAAAAGTTACAATTTTGGGAGAATGAAGAGACAGGGGAGAGAATGTTGGGAATATTATAGACTTCATTCTAAAAATAGTTAGCATTTGAGATATACTAAACAGACAAGAAAGAAGAAAGAGAGTTAAAATGTAAACTTGGTATGGCTGGCTTTGGCTTGTTTGTTAATTTTAGGGTTAAAGAGCAAGACAGGGAGCGACGGAGAGAGAAAAAGAGAGGCCAAGGGGCAAGAAAAGGGCTTTGGGTTTAAGCGACAGACACGATCAGATTATCCGCCACTTCGAGTTAATTTTATGCATTCACGGAACCAAAGTACTTTTTAAACTATAAAGAGCTTTATGATTTGCTTTTTTTTGCATTTGGGTTTTCATATTCTACATTCGATATCATATACACTTGCTGTGGACGGTGATGTTGACTTTTCCTCTGCCATCCATCCAATTGCAGAAATTAAAAGATCTGATCTTTTTATTTAGTTTTGATTGACACGCTGCTCAACCATCATATTGACCATCACACTTTCTGGTTAGCAGTAGTACTCATTGTACAGGAAACAAGCCCGTATCACCCAAAGCAACATACACCGGACATGCGGAATTGTTTGCCGCTGAATGTAGACAATCAAGTATTTTTTTTTAATTCTTAATTTATCTTTAATCTTTCAATCTTTATTCATTTACGCACCTAAATCTTCCCCAACATTTAAACTTCACAAAGTTGATCAACATAATTCTTGATTACATGTAAATGCTTTGTATATTTGACTTACCATGTCTACTTGTGTATATTCTTCACTGAAAGCTGTCTTAGATTACAGGTGTTTTCTCCATATATAGAGAATTTTCTCTCTTTATAATTTATATTGTATAGCATAATATTTTTTAGAGATGAAGTTTGCTAAAAGAAAAAAGAAAAACAAAAAATATATATTATACTAGAAATGAAAGATTGGTAAGAGGAAAATGTGTAGATGATGGCTGGCACAAGCAGTAGTGTAATAATACAACGACCCTAAAGCAAGTATTAGCTGGAAGGTAGGAGGCATGCATGCTTTGTAGGCAAGGGATCTTTCTTTGATTCAACTTGCATCATTTAATTATTATTGTTTCTTTCAACACTCTAGTTAATATCTCTTTCTCTCAATTTAACACCCCAACAAATCACTTAATTTTTATTTTCTACACTAAAGAATAAGATTAGAATAAGCAAGATGAATCCTGCCTCTGTTAGACTTGTGATTTGTGATCATTTGTGCTCATGGAAATTCCCACCCACAAAACAAATACAAATAAATCCAAGAATCAATTCTCATCTTCCTAATATAAACTTAGATCCTAGCTAGCTAGCTTAAAAACTACAATCACCCTGCTTCACTTTTTTTCTCTTTTTGCTTTAATAAATGGGCATTGATTTTGAAGTCAAATTGAAGTACATATTTGATTCAAGACTTGATTTATTTTACAAGTCATATTTGTAGATATCCACTTGGATGGCAGGCAGTAATTAAGAAGCTCTGAATTCCTGGCCGCATAATCCCATATGAGATTGTCCAAAAATCTATAAAATCATTCTTATTATTTAAATGTAATAATGTAATAAATTAAAGAACTGATTCCTCATCATCATCTTCAAAAAAATCTTTAATTTGTCATAATTTCTCAACCCTTTTAAAGAAAGAAAACAAAGCTACATAAATAGTAGTATATAAATCTGAGTTGGTGGGATGAGAAATCTGAAAATTTAAAGCAAAAGAAAAGAAGTGATGAAATTGCATTGTAGAACTGAAAATGCATGTGCAACAAAAGTTTTGAATGCATCAAATCTAACCCTAATCTGTCTACCCAAAGCCTCCCTTTCCTTTGCCCTATTTTCTCTTTCTAATTTGAATGGAATTGGCAGGGATGAGTGGGTGCACAAGCAATCCCTTCTGTCCCACTTTTTATTCTTTTTCTTTATATACATATATATATATATATAATATTAAAATTAAGTTGGATGCAAAGCTACTTTTGAAATCATCATCTTATCTGATTCCAAACATAAATACTGTAGATATATTTGGTGGCGATCGATCATCCACAAATTAATCCTATGATTTTTCCATTTCACCTTTCAACTCTCAACGTTGTTTAAATGTGCCATAAATCTTACACTTCTATTCATATACATAAAATCAATATATCTAATAATCACCCATTTATTCTCATATTTTTCATTCTATGCAACATTTTACCCTTAATTTAATCCTTAACTCTCAAAAGATAAAAAAATATATTTCTTCAAAAAAAAAAAAAGGAACAAATTGAACCCATACACACCAAAAAACAAAATTAGGAACAATACTTCCATCAAACTTTTCTCTCTATTTTCTTTGCTTGATTTTGATGATTTGATTTTGAATTGATCAGATATTAAGATATGAATCATTTATTTGTCTTTGTAAGTACTTATAAACAGGAATAGAGTTTTACTATATATTATACCTACCCCTGTGGATTTAGATATTTTAGAAACTCATTTTGCCACCTTTGGTTTTTTTTTTTTTCTTCTTAAAATACAACAAAACTAAAAATCTACTAATTGATTAAAAGAATCTATTATTTGGAAAATTCATGCTATGACTATTAACTCAAAACCTTATTAATTAAAATGGATGGACCATGTTAATGTATGGACCACCTAATTTGTTACTCCATTATTTCTTCTTTGGAGCGTGTCTTTGTAATTTACCTCAAAGCTTAAACACCCCACCAAAAGGCCCACGTGAAATTAGAAGAATAACCCTTTTTTCTCAGAAAAGGATAATAAAAACTGAGAAAAGGATTGTATTTGCAGCATGGTTTCAGTGAATGGTAAGAAGAAGGAAATGGAAGTAAACAAAGAGGACGGAAATGAAATAATAAAACTTTTTTTTTTTTTTTTGGTTTGGTGTGTGTGCGTTGTTTTATGGGATTTTAAATCAAACTCAAACTTGGAAAGTCACCATCTTTCATCGCCTCCTAGTAACTTTCTTACACGAGAGGATAGCCAAGTCTCTCTCTTTCTCTCTTCTAAAAATATATAAATACAAAAACCACAAATATTTATATCCATTTTTTTATCCAAATCCATTTTCTCTTACACATCTCTGCCTCTCTGTTTGATACACAAAATCCATTCTTTTACACACATATATATATTTATACAATCTGTTGATATCAAAATAGTAATTGGAAGGAACGAAGAAAAGAGAGGAAAAGGAGGGCCTTTAAGCCCTCTCTTCTTGTTATGCTTCCTCTCAGATCTTAGATTCTCTTACTTTCCCATCTGGGTTTTTTCTCCCTGGTATATTTAATATCATTGTCTCTTCAAAAATAAATTTTAATAAACAAAAACAGCAAAGCTTGTTTTTCTTTTGTTTTCTTCATTATTTGCTCTGAATGATTTCTGGGTATTGGATCTTTCACTCGTTTCACATTAAAGTTGGTTCCTTTTCTGCTTTGATTTTTAGGAGTCCCTGATTGTTGGTCGATTCGTAATCGATCGGCGATTGGTCTCATGCTTTTCGATTGAATCCAAAAACACCCGTCGTTTTATATTGATATAAATAACCAAGCTTTGCTTGATTTCTGTATTCTGACAAGGTACAGTTTTCTTTGTTCAATCTACATTACGATGTTTTATGTTGGATTGTTTTTTAGAACATGATCTTGAATTCTGTATTGCGTTTAAATTTAAGAAAGCAAACTCTCAGTTATATGTGGTGTTATTTGCATATAGTTATGCCTCGAGTTCTAGATCCGATGTTTGCTTTTGTCTCTAGTTGAATTTAATTTGATTGGTCTAGGAGAAGACTTGATTTGTATTTTTCTTTTAAGACAAGCTGATTATTCGTATGTTTATTCATTTTGTTTATGATTGCTTGGAGTTCCATTGAACAAGATTATTGGATATTGTGTTCAGAATGGAAATGGAGCTTGGCAAGCTATTCGTCGGTGGGATTTCTTGGGACACAAATGAGGACCGTCTTAGAGAGTATTTTCAAACTTTTGGGGAAGTTGTGGAAGCTGTGATAATGAAGGATCGGGCTACCGGTCGTGCCCGTGGATTTGGGTTTGTTGTTTTTGCTGACCCAGCTATTGCAGAAAGAGTCGTTATGGAAAAGCATATGATAGATGGTAGAACTGTAAGTTCCTACTTTTTGAACTTTCTTATAACATGATCAAGTCAGAACGATATTATTTTATTGGTTTTCTTTTATGTCATGAACTATATAGCATACAATTCAAAGATTTTTGAATTAGTAAGTTTCTTGTCCTGATGCAGTTTGATGACCATTCATATATAAATATATATATATATATATTAAATCACAATTGGCTATTTATTTGATTAAAATAGGACTTAGAAAATGAATTTGTTAAGTTATATTAGTTTTATTTTTATGCTTATATTGTACACTGTGAGGTTTGCTTGGCAACATGTTGCTATTGAGTAAGAACTACTGTGATAATATGTATTTCCCTTTCGAGGGCAAATGAAGGTGATAGATTCCCGAACATTGTGATGTCAACTGCATTATTTTGCTGTTTTGATCACCAGTATGTTATCGCTCTCAGTTGTAGAATAAATTTACAATGACTGAATGCTTATTTTGGGCTAGACAAAAAATAGCACAATTATTTTGGTTACAATTGCATTCAGATGAGTCAATGCATTCAGCCAGCACAATTTGCTAATGATATGGACCATTAGTAATTATTTACCATCCAAGAGATGATGACTTTGCAACTAAGAACCTAGAGCAGTAAAATTACAATTTGTATGAAGAAGCATATTATTGTACATCTTGTATCTGAATTCCTTAATTGTAAAATAGTGTAAGTTTCCTTGATCCATAAAACAAAATTTGGGGAAAATTTAAACAGCTTTAGTTGTTGCCTATCTTTAAGATTCAAAGAGTTTGTGCACTTGAGAAACTAGGTTTTATGTTGTAAAACTGAAATTATGTTAAACTCCATTTTCTATGTTATGGTTTTCTACTTCAGGTTGAGGCAAAGAAGGCAGTTCCTAGGGATGACCAGAACATTCTAAACAAAAGCAATGTTAGCATTCATGGATCACCTGGTCCTGCTCGCACAAAAAAGATATTTGTAGGAGGCTTAGCATCCACAGTCACTGAGAGTGACTTTAAGAGGTACTTTGATCAGTTTGGTACAATTACAGATGTCGTTGTGATGTATGATCACAACACTCAGAGGCCACGAGGTTTTGGATTTATAACTTATGATTCAGAGGAAGCCGTGGATATAGTCTTGCGGAGAACATTTCATGAACTCAATGGGAAAATGGTTGAGGTCAAGCGGGCTGTCCCCAAAGAATCATCTCCGGGGCCTAGCCGGAACCAGTTAGGTGGGTATAACTTTGGTCTGAGTAGAGTCAATAGCTTCCTTAATGGTTACATGCAGGGTTATAATACTAGTTCGGTTGGAGGTTATGGTGTTAGAATGGAAGGTAGATTTAGTCCAGTTACTGTTGGTCGCAATGGATTTTCTCCATTGACCCCTAGTTATGGGATGGGACTGAATTTTGACTCAAATTTGAGTCCAAGCTATGGAGGGAGCTCAAACCTTAGTTCTAACCTAAGCTATGGACGGGGATTGAGCACTTCATTTAATGAAAATTCAAACAGGTTTGCCAGCCCCTTTGGGTATGGTGGGGGCAGTGGAGGAAATAGTTGTATCTTAAACTCAGCAGGTCGAAATATGTGGGGAAATGGAAGTCTTATCTATGCTACTAATTCCACAAACTCTAGTACTATTGTGGGTTCTGGAAGTGGGAATTCAGGTGTGAGTTCTTTTGGTAGCATTGGAGCACTTTGGGGTTCCTCTCCTGGTTCAGGTCAAGGTGAAGGTGGTGCTTCTGCTTACAATAATGGCAATCTTAGGTATGGAAGTGTAGATTTTGGTGTTGGATCAGGAGGGATAGGCTATGGGAGAAACAGTGGGACCAGCGTTGCACAGGTATCATCCCATGGTGCTTCAAATGATGGTTACGATGGGGCATATGCTGACATTTATGAAAATGGTTCATTTTATGGGGATTCCACTTGGCGATCTTCTCCCTTAGACATGGAGCAGTCTAGCTCTTTTGGTTTTGGCCTGGGAAATACAACTTCAGATGTTATGTCTAATAACTCTGCTGGTTACATTGGTGGCTCTAGTGTTACCAATAGGCAGTCAAATAGAGGTAAGACTTGATTTCTTTTCTAATATACTGTTTTGTTATTATCCTTTTCTTTTCCTCTGATAATCTCGCTGTCTTCTTTTACTTATTAATGGCTCTGCTTCTTTAATGATATAGAACACTCATCAACAGATGCAGAGAGTACGCTAGTTTTAGACCAAAAGCATTCTTAGGTTGCACTAGTTTTGCCGATGAGTTGATTGAAGTAGATTTTTTTAGTTGCCATTTACTAAATAATTAAAACTACTCTGAGAAAAATTGCTTCCTAGGCAATTTCATTGTTTTTGACCATCTTAAGGATGCCCTTGACTGTACCTTTCAGAACCTATCTTCAACAACATTAAATTTCTATTAAAAACTTGCCTTTGAAATTTAAATAGTTGCAAGTTAATGGTACATACTTTTTCTTAAATCTTGTGTGCTTGCTACATATATCACTTGTTCGCCATGCATGTTAGACTGTATCACCATCTAGCATATTGAGTACAAGATTACTCTGCAAACCAGGTAAAACATTATGACATGATATCTGCAGGTCCTCCCCTCCAAGAATAAATATCAACATCCATATTTGCAAATGAAAACCCCTATTTATCAGTTATTAGTTGACAAACAGATAATGTTAATTTGGGTGATTTCTTTGAGGTACTCATTTCCTCTTGATCACCATCTTTTCCAGGAATTGCCGCATAGGATGATGATGGTGGGATGTCAAAAGATAATTGTAGGATATTTGTATGTTGGAGAGGGTGAATGGCTGGATTTCTACGTTTTCCTCAGTGAGATATTTCAGTTTCATGTGAAAATATGAGTAGAGCTAATTTGATTCACCTGTTTTGATAAACCTGTTATAGAGATCAGTTACAAAGAATTCATGTAAGGTTTGAGCTTGAGTTTTTTTTTTTTTTTTTTTTTTTTTTTTTTTCATTTTTTCTCATACAGGTTTTCTTTGCTGGGATTAATTAAATGTAAAATCAGATTGTGGGTATACTCAGATTATTGTATCATGCATCTCTTGGTGACAGTGATACATACAAAGAGCAGACTTTTTTTTTTCCTTTACTTGAGAGTTGTTGGATTTTCTGCTGTTATATCCAGTGAAGTTGCTGGGTTCTTGTATTTTCTAGATTGAGATGTTTGGTTTGGATTTACATTGTGAAACACTGGAGGGATACTCTTTCCCCAGAATAAGATGCTACAAAATGTGATTTATTTCTTGTGTAATTTCTTTCTTCAATCCTACTTCTAACCATGCCAGCATATACCTTTGTTCTATTCCCACGTTTGTCAACCACTCTGGCGTTCAAAATTTCGACAAACTACCTTTGCATGATAAAAAAATAAAGAAAAAAATTTCGAGAAAACTAGTACACAAGGCATAGCTCAAAGTTTAAGTTCCCAGTTTGAAATGGGTGTGGTCGGCTTCAAGAGCTGGGAAGCAAGATCTTTGTTTGTCTGTAATTAGATCGGGCCTTTTCTCCTTGATACATGGGCCTCATAATGTCATTTGTCCCTTCAATCAAGTCCAATGTTTAAGAGGTGAGACAGAGAGTTTGTATAAAAAAAATATGGAGGTTTGGAGACATAAAGCTCTCTCGTAAAAAAGTTCTTAGTTCTTTCTCTTCAACAGAATTGAGTTGCACGATATATTAATTCTTGCGCTTTGAAGCATCTGAATTCTTTGAAATTTGATCCAACCAAATTAACAAATTTTTAAAATAAATTCGTTTTGATTTTGGGGTTGCATAATGTATGTTGTTGCTCTGTGGGAAGGCATTGGTAGAAGTCAATACAAGAGCAGCAAGAAATAAACCATGATTCCAAGCCACTATCCACCGATTGTTTTTCCTACTCAAACTAACACGCAGTCACTGGAGTCACAACTTGGGCTGAATCTGTCACGCCTATATCACCAAGTGCACCCGATGAGTCATCTTAATTCCCTGAATGTGTGGTCATTTTAAGCTCTTATCCAAACTTTCTTAACCAATAGGTTCTGCAAGAGCTTCATAGTCACTTTCATTGGTGCATCACCAAGAATAGGGATTTTATCACCAAGTGGTCCTTTCTATCTAGGAATTGGCCATAAGTTCTCTTGTCAGTTGGGACTTGGGAGATCTCTGCAACAGTTCACATAAACATGGCTACTGATTTCCATCTTGTGATGGGAACAATTCCACCAATGCAATGGACCAAAAATCTGACCTCATTTACATCAATGTTCTTATTCTGCACTTGCACATTCGTATATATGCACATAATAGGCACGATTAATTCAGAGAAGAACTGTAAAGTGTAAAGATCTCATTTTTTTCCAAGTTGTCAAAAGCTATGCTACCAAAACATTTTCCAAGCAAAAAGGAAAAACGAACAAGTCAAATTAAGAACTCAATGATGTCAGCAAACACTATGCAAGAAAACTACCATAATAAGAGATTCTATAAGTAAAATGACAGTATCAACAAAAAAATTCAAAATGTGATTTTAATTTGTGTGGTAACAGCTGCAAGCATTATATGTGATAACCTATAACGCTTCACCATCTACAAGACTATATCAACTAAGCCAAAACCTAACTTATCTTCTTCTTCTTGTTTTTGTTCCATGGCATGGCATTGCCTGCCGGGGGCATCACCAACCCTCCTTTAACATCCTTTCTTTTTCAAGAATGAACATTCCTTCTTTATACTTCTGACTTTCATCATATGCCTTCTCCTGCATACATTACCATAAGCCATATTCACTTTGAAGTTTATACCAATAAATTTTCCAAGAAAGACAATCTAATCTACACATTACAGGTACAACTGCAAATAGAAAATGAGGCCAAGAAGAAATCCCTACGCCTTCTTCACCAAATCCATTATAAGCAAGCCAATCACTTAGGCTTTGCTTGGTAGGAAGGATGGAAAGCGGTGAAGATAGAAAACTTGTTAATCCAATGGTTAAAATTCATAGCCACTTTCCTACTTTGTAGCTTAACCATTAGATTAAAAAAATTTTCATCCTCACCCTTTTCCATCCTTTCTTCCAAGCAAAGCCTTAATTCTTGTCAGGTTCTAAAGTTCATTAAGGTTTAAGGCTTTTGATTTTGTCATATGAGATTGAAGTTAGAATATACTTGATCTTTAGTCTAAATGGATAGAAAAAGCAATACTGGTTATTTTTCTTCTAAATTAAATGATTATACTAATAACTACTGGCACTTTTACAATAACTGAATCTAAAAGAACCTATTGGATGAGATGGAAGTGAGCGAATCAACTATAATTAGAAGCTTTCCAAGCAAACAATAACTGAATATAAACATGGGTCTCATTCAATTCCTATTGACATTTCAAGTTGAAATTGTGAAATTAAAATGAAAAGTGTAGGATTAGAAAAACTAATAAAAGCTTACATATTTCCAACCAAGAATTTGTTGGCAAGAGCTACAGTAAATGTCATTCACTTTGTGCAATCCGGTCGCCAACATCCGCTCTTCTGTCGGCCCTAAGCTTAAATTTACCCTGCACACACACACACACACAAAGAACCCTTGAAAAATAAGCAAAGAGAAGACGATTATTAGTATGGAAGAGGATAGTAAAACGGAAAAAGTTTACGCGTTGCGGAAGAGGTAAGCACGGCCAAAACGACCCTGAAAGTCCTTTGAAACGATGTCGTTGTAGGACGCCGAATCCACCTTACAAAATTTGCACTTGAAGATCCTTGCCCCACTCAGCGTCTCTATGAACAGCCTCCCCATCCTCTCCCTCCCAATTTCTTTGATTCTCTTTTTCTTTTTATTTATTTATTTGATTCCCTCAATTTCAATTCTTTTTCTTTTCAATCAATCTGTCCCTTTCATCCAAAAAATAAATGATCACTTTCACCCTTGCTTTTCTTCATTCGGTTAAAAATATGGTGAATGATCCAATTTTCCAATTTATTAGCGTCCTGTCCTGTTTTCGAGAATTTGGGAGCGAGTTCGGTTCGGGTACCGTCACCTAAATCCGACCGAAAAGTCCTTTCAGATAGAGAGGATCGAGGAAGCGCCACGTTTCGTTACGACAAGGGCACTTTGGCCACTATCACTTGTAAGGTTGGTTGCGTGCTTACGTGGCCAGGCTTTAAACTTTTGTTGTCACTTCCGCAACATGTAAGGCCATGTTTGGCAACCGTGGATTTTCACTCTTAAAAAACACTGTAGACCAAAGAGAATATTGATTTGAATATCTGCTTTTAAATTATCTTAATTCATTTTATAGAATCTGGTTTGTGAAGAGTGGGGAGAGCAAAGAAATGTGGAAACCAAACACGTCTTAGAAAATCTTACGGGTCCGTTTTAATGTTAGAGATAATATGCCGGACGGAATAGGATCAGGTTGTAACTACAAAAGGGTGGGGACAGAAACAGAGGAGCAAAATAAAGGAGAGTTCTCTTTGTTTATCTTATGGCGGATAAAACGAGAGCCCACTCTCATTCCTTGAAGCTTGCTGCTTCTTTCTGATCTCTCTCTCTTCTCTTCCTTTTGCTTCTTCTCTATAACTGTAGCACGTAGCTCTAGTTTATAATGGCTTTGGCTATGGCTTCTGCTGCTAATTGTGTAGTATACTTTAGCAGCAACGCTGACAACATTCCCGTCTTTGAACTCAAAAACCATTCTTGTCCTGCAGCCTTTGTCATCAGGCCACCCAACAATCTTGAGAAAAGAAGGTACCTTTAACCCTTCTTAAATAAAATTCGTATTTAAATTTTTTTTTCTTGTTTTCTTTAATATTTGGATACTTCCTTTTCTGGATGCTGAAATTGTTGATTTGAAGACTCTTTTGGATGATTTTTAAATCTAGATTTTATGTGTCTTGAGGGTTTCTGTCTCCAAGTAGAACAAATGAGTTATTATGTTAGGAATTGAATCAGAATCAGATATGGGGCGATTTAGAGCACGTCAGAGTCTTTAATTTGCTGATAGCCTGATACTAGTTTAAATTGGCTTGTTTATTTCATTTATGCCAATGGATAAAAGCACACTAGCTTTGGCTGCAATTTAACCGTATGAATCATCCCATTCAAATGTTTCTTCAATTTACTAAGGTTACTCTTCAACTGGATTTGCATTTGCTAACATTGTTTAATGTTGTTATTGTATCTTGATGCCTAATCTCTTGCTAAACTACAACTTGACTTTTAATCATAATAATGTCAGATTGTCGTGTTCGACGACAGGAGTCATTCCACGAGCAACACCATCAGCCACAGCTTTGGAGGTATGGAAGAGCAATAATATGTTTGGTTTATTGTTAATTATGTATTGACTGGCTTAAGTTCCTTTTCTTATGGTTGTATGTTTGAAGAATGATGGAAGTTTCCACGACACTGATATTGTTCCAACCCCCAAAGTTATAATTGACCAAGATTCTGATCCAGATGCCACTGTAGTGGAAATAACCTTTGGTGATCGCCTTGGAGCTCTTCTTGATACGGTATAAATCCATTTACTTTCCATTTTAGAAGACCTATATTTTGCTTTCCATTTGAAATTCTCACCTTTGTAGGATAAACTTTTATGTATAACCTAACTATTAGTGAATGAGTTGCAGATGAATGCACTGAAAAATCTTGGGTTGAATGTTACTAAAGCAAATGTCTATCTGGATTCTTCTGGGAAGCACAACAAGTTTGCCATCACTAAGGCGTAAGATCTATGCCTTTTAAGTTATTTTCAACTTGCATTTTCATGTACTCAGTTTAAACTTGTCAAGCCTTTCTAGCAGTTTACATTTTCTGTAACGTTTAGCTATATGCAGTTAACAAGTGTAACTTTCTTTTTGTTTGTGGTTAATACTCCTATAATTCAGCATACATCAGTTATTAACTGAACTTTTTTACAAAAAATGATAAGTAGTTAATATAATATTTGGCTAGGATTAATTTTAAGTGAGATTGGAAGTACCTGATATACCTCTAGAAACATCAGAAGTGATTACAATTGTAACTGCACATACTCCTAAATAATTCAAACGTGACAAATGGTATTATACGCATAACTGATTATATCTGTCTATGACTGCAAGAGGGTATAATGTATACCTTTTATAGGTTTTGAATCTTCAAAAGTTCAGATCACCATTTTGCTTGAATTATTGGGCAGAAGTTTTGCTCCTCATTTCCCTTGAACTAAAATCTTGTTATTGTGGCAAAGCAATTAGAATTTCTTTATCTGATTCATGAAGTAAATAGACTCAGATAGGGTTAAGTGCAACTCTGGAAATTCAATGCAGTTAATAGAACACACAGATAAAAATTGAATGTTCGGTACTAGTTGTTAACTTGTTATAATAGCTATTTTAAATGCAATTTTACTAATATAATGGTGGTGCTTTTCTGTAGTAATACTGGAAGGAAAGTTGAAGACCCAGAACTGCTTGAGGCAATTCGCTTGACAATTATAAACAACTTACTAGAGTATCATCCAGTAATCAGCTCTTCTTTTTCCTTATTATTGATGAAGAATCTCCTAGCAAAAGCCTATTGACTTGTTAATTTGTGGTCCAGGAATCAAGTTCCCAGTTAGCAATGGGTGTAGCCTTTGGTGTTGAGCCACCAAAAGAAAAGGTATTCCTCTTTCAGAGTTTATCATTTCTTCTCACCCACTGAGTTCAGGTATTTCCCCATTTTGAATGTTTAAAACAAGCTTTTTGCAGCCATAAGAAGACTGTCATATTAACTTTGTTGTAATTCCAATGGATATTTTTCATGCTTGCTACTGAGACCAGTGCAACTGTTTATAAATATTACAAATTGTCTATCAATTATTGAGCTGAGCATGACATCCCACATCCATCCTGTCTTAAATTTTGCTTTGCTGAAATTCCTCAGGTTGATGTGGACATTGCAACCCACATAACTGTAGATGATGATGGTCCTGACCGTAGGTAATGGATACTGCAGTCTCTCTCTACATTCATGGTCTTTTAGCCTTGTATAATGCAATCCCTGCCCTTATAATTTTGATAGCTTAAGACTCTAGCCTTGACCTTTTGCTAGTTGCCTCCCATGCCTGATGATTTTTGGTTTGTTATAAATGAAAGGGTTGATATGCTTTGGCTTTTAGTATTCTTCATTTCCATATAATTTTAATTGGTAAAAAAATTTGGTTCAGCTTGCTATATGTGGAGACAGCCGATCGTCCAGGGTTGTTGGTGGATCTTGTAAAAACTATCACTGACATCAACATTGCAGTTGAGTCTGGGGAGTTTGACACTGAGGTGATCAGTTATTCTTTTTCTTTGTTTTTTTGTTTTTTGTCATCTAAGACAAGGTGATTATCTATTCATTTTCCTTTTCTTTTTTTTTTTCTTTTGAAGAATTGGTATTTGCCCAATGGTGTTAATTTTCTCTCCACTTTTTTACCTCGGTGACGTAGGGTCTGTTGGCAAAGGCAAAGTTTCACGTCAGCTACAATGGTAAAGCCATCATCAAGCCTCTGCAGCAGGTAAAGAGCAAAATGACTCAAAACTTAGCCCTTAGGAAAGAAACCAGTTCCAGCCTGACCTAAAACTTCAATAAGTCATAGTCCACCTGCTAATTTCACATGCAGAGAGAAATGTAGGCTTTCTAAAAAACATCAAAGTAGAGTATATTTGTATAGTATTGATCATATAGGTGGGGCATAAGTCCTAATTGCTTGCTGTGGGCATCGTTTTAAAGACGTAATGAGCTGTTGCCAACTTGTGCTCATGAGTTTTGCGATATCAAAATCTGGCAGGTTCTTGCTAATAGTTTACGATATTTCTTGAGGCGTCCAACTACTGAGGAGGCGAGTTTTTGAGCCACCATCTAAGCCTAGCCAAGCCAAGTTTTGGAGCATACATCAATGGGATTTTAGAATTATCCCCCAATTGACCAACGGGGTGGATTTAAAATGTTCCTCGCAATAGTCTTGTATGATAGGAATTATATAATTCCCTGTCACTGCAATGACATTGTATAACTAATTAACTATTTTATTTATGTGGCCGTGACTCGTGCATAATAAATCATATAAAATGTAACTTTATTGCGGCGGACATTTGAGTAGCCACTGTGGCGTGCTTCCTTGTAAAAATTTTCTTACTTTTGTGAAAGCTCCATAATTGTACTCTTGATTCAGGCGAGGTTTAGGTTTCTTCTCGATTTAAGGATTAAAATCAGTTGTCATTAATGTCAAACTTAAATAAATCTTAAATACCACTGTTCTAGATCTTATCGGCTGCTATAGCCTATAGTACGTTACTTGACGCAGAAGATTTGGCATAGGTAAAAGGCAACACCATTACTGCACTGCTAATCAAACAACCTAGACGTGGTTCATTGATGTTTCAATCTTATCATCCCTAATAATTCCATACTTGTGTATCCTCCCTTTTGGTACTTATCGTACTATTTTTTTTTTTTTTGAAGCTTTTTAGAACTTGCATGGTTTCAAATTAGAGAATCCTTACCAAGAAAGATATTCTGCGAAGAAGTTGAATATAATGGGACATGGAACATGGGACATCGTATATCATTGGATATGTAAACCAGTCTTATTACATCACAGCAGAAAACATTACTATTCAATTCCAGGAAACTGGAGTAGAAGGAAGACAGAACGGGAGGCGGAAAAGCAAGAAATCAAAAGCCTTCAACTTGTCAAAATTTGAGTAAACCCACAACTATACAAAACATAGGAAACATGCTAACGTTCGAAAATGTGTATCATTTGATTTTCCTTTTCCCTTACAACCCCCCTTGACTTCATTTACATTTGCTACTCCATAAAGTCTCTTCTTAAGCCACCATAAGATAACCATGAACAGGTAAAACAAATGTTATTCAAATAAACATTTTAACGGCATCAAGAAATGAAAACATGGAGAAGAAGATATATCAGGAACTTAAGTGGAAACTTCTGGCTGGAGAACAAGAAAATGTAGAGTAGAGGATTGTATTTTCTGAAGCGTTAGGATGAACAGCACCCACCCTTTTTAGCCTCTGTACCAGATTGCTGGTCCTCATCCCCCTGTAAAACCAGAGTCTCCCCATTCAATGAAGGGTCCTGCTTCTTGAGCTCATGAGATATCATAACTTTCCGGCTCAATATGTTGTAGATCTCTTTAACAACTGTCTGAAAGGCAGCTGCTACATTAGAGGAATCAAGGGCAGAAGTCTCCATGAAAAACAAACCTTGTGCCTCTGCCAAGGTCTTTCCTTCAGCAGTGGATACTTCCCTGGCATCCCTGAGATCCAACTTGTTGCCTACTAAAATGGTGACTACATTCATGTCAGAGTGAGCTGTTCAAAATGACAAGGCACATGAGTCAATCTTAGCCGTCAAGGGCCAAAAAGCAACAAATCTATAATATTGGCATGGAAGGCAAAGGAAATGACGCACCATCTAGTTACTAAAATTTGCCACAATATGGCTAACTGTCACTTTGTAAACAAGATAAAATTAACCCATTTTGAACCCGTGAGTTTGGATAGATCAAAGAAATGAGATTAGCTTTGAGAAGGTCTCCACATGCATCATAAGTGTAATCAATAAAACACTACTTTGTCATGGTTCTTACTGTGAAGTTCATTTAGCCATCTGCCAATGCTATCAAAAGTCTGTCGTCTGCTGATGTCATACACGAGGAGAGCTCCAACTGCACCTCGGTAATATGCAGATGTAACAGCCCTGAAGCGCTCCTGACCAGCCGTATCCCAGATCTGTGCCTTAATCTCCTTCCCATTTATATCCATCTTTTGGGTTTGAAACTCTACTCCTATGGTTGACTTTGAATTAGGATAGAACTCATCTCTAGCGAATCTTGCAAGTAAATTTGATTTCCCAACAGCTGAATCACCAATCAATACAATCTTGAAAAGGTAATCCTCAGTTTTCTCTTCCTCTGAAACAAAAGCCATTTCCAACCTTCCAAGGATTGTCACTCTATAGAACATATCAACAACGAATAGCGTTCAGCATTCAGTTTGTTTTCTGGGACTAAAATTATCACCTAAGAAACCCCAACCTTAGTATATTCAAGAACAGAAATCGGTTTAGATAAGAAAACAACAAAGGCAGTTGGAAAAGAAAACTTGAAAGGCAGGGAAAGTATAAAAAGTACAAAAGTGCAACTCAGCAATTGATTGTACGCAGAATCTGAGAAAATACCTATCTTGTGAAGCAAATATTGGGTCAATTGAATAAAAAAGCAATAACTTCTACTGCACTCTTTGCATCCTGCAACGTAGGCTAATCTATCCCAAACGCTCTATGTGTTAGGTAATAATCCCCTTCCCAACGAACATGTTAAGCTCCCTGCAATGACAACACAATACAGGGAAACACTAAAACCATTAGCAAATGTTGCAACTGATTCCAATGACGAGTCAGAAGAGAAGGATCCTCATGTATAAACAATCACCATAAATAAATATACAAATTGCTAAGGTTTAGAGTAAAATAACTGTGTGCAGTTAAAATATTTATGATAATTTTTTATCTGAATTTAAAAAAGTAAAATAGTTAACTGATTAAGTGCAACAAATGATATGATACTCATTAATGTCTTACACATAGAATTTTCAAAAGGCAAGGAACAGTACCTTGATCCCTCTGTTGAACTTGCTTGCACCTTGCCCGACGCATGAAATCCCACTTAAGCTCCCTCTACCACTTAGATCTTTGAAGCTCAAAATAAGGACATATGATAAATGTCAGATCATTTGTGCAAAATACATTTTCAAGACAAGTTGTTAGAGGATTCTGAAAAACCTCAAAAATGTCAAATTAGAAGTCTCAAACAATACCTAATACAATATGCAAATAACAGATTGGAACTAAAAACACATCTCACATATCAAGCCTGACGCTTTTATCCCAAATAGTAGTGCACCTAAGATTCCTATGTTCCATGTTGCCTCTTAACCAGTAAAACATGACATTGGTTTTTGTACGAACTTTAAAAATTACAGATATGACATTAAATAACAAAAACTAAGAATTGGTAGGCCAAGAACTGATAAGATCCTTCAAACAACATTTCTATAGCTATGAAGACCTTCAAGAAATCAATCATGTGTAACAGATCATCAGCAACTGCAACATAAGATGCCTGATAGTATTGCAATATGCATGAACTATGCACTTGACTTTACAAGGTAACATATAATACAATAGGATTGCTTTTGAGCATTACCGCTGGACCACGATGCAGAAAAAACATAGAACTTCATATATAAACAAAGCCTCGTGCTTTCACTTTTAAATGTGGGGCTCTGTTAATAATAAATATTAGCAACAACAACGACAACAACAGATGCGATTAAGAAAGCGGCATTGACAAATGCTCAAGAAACAAGAAAAATAGATATCCAAGTAGTAATAACTGAAAAAAAAAATCAAATTCATTAACGCATGAAATATTAAAAAAAATTAAGTCCCTAAAAGTTAAAGAAAAAGATCGTCTTTCTTTGCACACACCTGCTATAAGAAGAATTCAGAGGCTCCCAGCAACCTTTGTTTTGTCTCAGAATTACGATCAAATCAAAGGGTTAAGAATGGATCTGATATAAAAGAATGCAATGATTTGGTAATGTGAATGCCTTAGAGTACAAAAATCAAAGGATTTAACGGTTCTTTGTGTGTGACAGAGGAATAATAAGGTTTCATAGGAGGTGAGGGAGAGCAGATACCAGACAACCCCAGATTTGCATTTACTCTGGCTACCGGTTTAGCCTCCCATTAATTTACTGGGCTCATTTTTGGGCCTGGTTTTTTCTTCCTTGGACTGTGGACCCAGACTACTAAACCATATAAAAATTATTAGTACTACTATATATATTATATAGTTCATGTGGTGGACAACATCGTTCTCGGTTCAAGGATGGTTGCCCAATCAGATTCGAATTTCTGGCAGTTGTTCTCCTAGGATTGTACATCATTTCCTACTCCCCTGGAATGGGAGCTGTCCCATAGATTGTTAACTCTGAGATTTACCCACTAAGATACAGAGGTATTGGTGGACGGATGGCTGCTGTTTCTAACTGGGTCTCCAATCTCATTGTCAGCGAATTCTTAAGACTTAACCTTGGCAAAAGCTGTTGGTTCTGCTGGCACGTTCCTCTCGTTTGCTGGATTTTGTGTGATTGGACTCCTTGCCTCTAGTGTTACTCATTTTCCTCTTCTTTCCCTCCAAAGTAAATTCGCTTTTGGCCGGAAATAGAGTTTGTCTTCTTCTCCCAGTTCCCACCACACCCAAGAACAATCTGCATGGTGGCGTTAGCATTCAAAATAAAGTTTTGAAGCTCAACATGTCCTAAAATGTTATATATGCATGCAGGGCTGTGGTTCATCTCTGTTCCATGAAGAAATACATCATGTCATGGAATTTTTGCCTTTGGACTTGGAAGGTAACTTATGAGACTTAAGCGATCCAAGACAACATGTTAAACCACAACGGATGCCGACACTTGGTCTCATCATAATCACTTCAGTTCATAGATTTCACCCTTGGGAGTGCAACCCTTCACCACTTTAGGACAAAAACACGTCTGCTCTGCCAGCTAATGCTTGATTAATAACGACAAAGAATGAAAAAGAAAGTTATTCTCTCCTACAAATTTACACAGATATCTCCGTGGTGGGGTTGAACCGTTTGGTGGGCATTGCTAGATGTATTCAAGTAGGACAGACGGATGGTGATGGTAGCACACAGCAGATTTAACTACTTTACACCAAATAGGTGCAGATCAAGGGCTCTACCATGCCACAATATGCATCCACCTAAAGCTATATTCAATCCCTCGACAATAATGCACTATTCCCATTGGCAGCAGCAGGGAATATTGTGGGAAAGGAAAGAAAACCAATACTGAACCATTCCTCCTACATTCTGCAGGAATCAGATGGTGATGCATAAACATGCCATGGGCATTTACCAAACAACAGAAAACTTGAGGAAAAATAGTTATCAACCACTAGTTTACTTCTGCATCTACCGCAGCTCACAGATGATCAAGAAAAGTACAAGAACAAAATGGTTGTGATATGTGATCTTTACATAACTTTACGCAAAACCTGACACAATTGTTACCATCACATAAAGCTCAAGCTACAAGAGGCGGCGAGAAAAATTAAAATGCTCATAGGCAAAGCATATCAACAAACTCTCCATCGTCACTATGTAGAAAACGGACAATCAGTACTCAGTGGACCTATGCAATAGAATTTGGGTCACCTAAACAAAACATAAGGAAAATAACCCAAGTTTAATCAACCCAAAACCCACAAGCCAAACAACTCCACCCTTGAGACAACTAGGGGGAAAAAACCCAAAACCTAGTCAAAATCATACATCTAAAAGTCAGTCCCTTCCACACTAGCCTCCCCAAAATTTTCTTTTTTACTTGTACAATCATTCTCTCAAATTTCTCAACCACTGTACAAACCATCAAAACACCCCCTTTATACAAAAAAACAAAAAAAACCCAATAACCTAGTATAATTAGCCTCTATGAGTAAATAAACATCTCTCCTCTAAGGACTGGATGAAGAAGCCTCTCGTCTTGGTTCTCTCAAATACCTTAGAAGTGTTTCGGCCTGCAAAATTAACATTTAATAAATCCTTCAATTGTCAATATGAAGCAAACATTACTTAATGCTGAATATAAATGCATGGATAAATTGAAGCAAAACTCAGTATTCTGTATGAGATACATGTTGCATTTTAATGTGTAGATAACAACACCTCAGCAACTCTGAGAATTGAAAAACACTCAGTTCTGATCATCCAAGTGCAACCACTTAATAATCGAGTAACGTTTAATCAACCAGTATAAACCACATTGGGATTACAAATCTAGTGATTATCAAGCATTCAACTTTATCCTCAGGCAATCAATCAAAGAAACAAGGTACTTCCAGAGAAAGCTATTTCATTATCTTCATTTAAACACAAGGCAATCAACAGCGACTAAAATTACCTTATGCTTAGCTCTAACACTCCCGGTCTGAGAAAGCGCCACAAGAGGAGGGATCCCACCTTCCCTAACAAGCAGACCACGATTCCTAATGCTATCAGCACACAACTGCAACAGTGTCAACACTGCGAACTCCTTCCCCTTGACAGACCCATCCTCAATCGCCTCCACCAGTGCCGCAATCCCACCTTCCTCGACAATAGCTTCCCTTCCTTCCTCAATTCCCGCCAAGCTACTAAGAACAACCATCGACTTCTCTGACATCCCAGTCCCTTGCTCTCCCACCATCCCCACCAGTGGCCTAACTGCTCCCGCACTGACCGCCCTTTCTTTGTTCTGCCTGGCCGAACACAGCTTATAAAGAGTTGTCAGTGCATCCTTCTTGCCTCTGTTGGATCCGTTCAACAGAAGAGATACTAGTGGTGGGATCGCCCCGCATGCTCCAATGGAAGTCTTGTTTTCTTCAATCAAAGCTAAGCTCAGAAGTGCACAAGCAGCGTTTTGCTTGGAGGCTTCGGTTCCTGTCTTGAGAACATACACTAATGATTTTATAGCTCCAGCTTTTATAATTAGGGTTTTGTTCGCTTCGAAAAGTGACAAATTTAGTAACGCAGTCACTGCGTGCTCTTGAGTCCAAGGATCGCTGTTTCGTAGGAGCGGAATCAGAGCAGGGATCGCACCGGATTCCCCGATCAACGCACGGTTATCCACGCGGTTCTTCGCTAGTAGCCTCAGCTTAGCCGCAGCCGATCGTTTCACTGCAATGGAAGACGATTGGAGGCCGTCGATGCAGATCTTGACTGTCGGTTGAAGATCCTCTGGCGAAATACTCTCAATAATTTCTGTCGAGAAATCCTCTCTCTGCAGAAAGCCGTGACACGGCTCCGGCTCCAGCTCAGGCTCAGCTTCATTACTACTCTTATTGATTAACGCGTTTTCGGGTGAGGGCAAGCCCGCTAGGCGCTGCAACTCACCGGAGATATCGCTGCTGCAAGCGGATAAATCACTGAAGGCATGAGAAATGTCCAAAAATTCCTCGTTTTCTGACTCGGACTTAACCGATTTGTCGTTGTTTTTGCAAGCTAGTTCACCGAGACGCATGTCGATAACGGATTCGGTGAGATTTTCGGAGACAAATCCGGACCTTTCAGGAACGGAGCTGGTGAAGGAGCAGCTGCTGTTGTCGTTTTGGTAGAGATTGGAGCGTACCGTACGCATGGAACGGCCCGTGTGTCGGTGGATTTTGGTGGTCGAAGCTGAACCGGGGGTGTAAAAGTTTCGACCCAAAGGAAACCGGTTTGAATTGGAATGAGAATCTTCCAGCGAAACCATTTTTAGAAACAACAAACGATTTTAAGAAATACTAGCAATTAATGCAATTTCGCAACTCTTGTTTTGTTTTTAAGAGAATTTCATCTCGATTTTTTCATTGTGGGAAGAGAAAGAGGGAGTGGAGAGGAGTTAAGAGTAAGAGTGGGAAGGCTCGACTTTATGGCCTGGATTCGCTTTGTACCCGGGAGGGTAAAACTATAGTCACATACCGTGAAAAACAAAAACATTGACAGAACACGTGGTTAGTTCCGGTCTTGTCAGGTCTTATTGCAGTAGGCCCAACTCATGACGTCGATCTTTTAAAAAATCAACGGTGGTGATAAGTCCAGATGTGACGGTGGTCACAGCCATGTGTTGCCATCGCTTTTGAATGAACCTGTTTCAAGCCGGTCCCGGCTTTAAATTTCACCCAAATGGACATGGTAAAAGTGCCGACCCAGGTGAAACATTCGTTTTCACTGTCGCCTGATATAGTTTAACAACAGTAAATTCATTTGTCAGATAGAAATATTTCCATTTGAGTCATTTATTTTAATTTCATACTAACATAATAATCCAGGTGATGCTGTTAACTCACATCTATTTAAACTTTAGCAAGTAACATGTTAACCAAATCAGGACCCATTTCAATAGTACTTATTACCCCAAGCTGTGGATATTTTAATTGTAATTAAGCTTAATATCCATTTGATCATCGTTTTTATTTCTACTAGTTAATTGAATAGCTTTAATTATGATGAAAATAAACTTGTTACATAAAGCTTTCTAACTTTTTTTTTATTATTATTTTTCATTGGAGACGTGGTGTTTGATTACGGCGGGAATCAGTTTACAGTTGTGATGCCAGGCATGGAGGGCACCTGGTGGCAACTGGGTTCTCAAGTAATTTCGAGCACGGTCGAGTGAGATGAAAAACTTTATGGCCTCGTGATCGAAATCTAACGGCGAGAGCGCTTTTGGTTTTTGAACCCAGCACGATGAATAGGCTTATTTTATCGTATGCTGGAGTTTACTAGTACTAAAAATCTTAAACGTACATTTTCTTTTGGGTTTTGAATATATAATCTTACCTTAATGCATACTCTTTCATTCAATGAATTAACATTAGTTGATATAGTTTTTTTATATATTTTTAAATTAGGCTTATTTGTCGCTTAATTATGTAACACGCTGAGTTGTTTAGCACCCTAACGACTCTGGTTAATATAATTAAGATTCAAAAGATGGTGTCTGTCCGTGCACATATATATTTATATAGCATATAATTAGGACTTTGCAAGCATTTAAAAATTAGAGTGTATATATATATATATATATATAACAATTAATTATTATGAAACAAAAGAATAATAAGAAGTTTTATTAATTTATTTATTTAATTTTGGATCTTAAGATATTTGATAATTTAAAATATGATAAAAAATAATACAAAAATAATACAAGTTACAATTTTAATAATATGATGTATAAGTTTGATAAAATTAAAAAATATATATGTTATATTTTATATTGATATGAATTATTATATATAATTTTTATATAAAATATAATAAAATATATAAATTATTAATACTTTACACAACATAATACATGAATTACCAAATAATATCTCATTTATGGTTCATTCAAACACACACTTATCCATAATTCATGTATGAAAAATAATTCATATAGAAAATTAATTTGCCTTTTCAACTTAAACATTTTGACCATTTATTAAATCTCATTTAATAATTTGAAATACATTTAACGTATTAAACTTTATAACTTTCTAATTTTATGGCATTAATGTGCATATAATTATTAATCATGATAGTTATACCTAAAGACTCCTCCAAAAAAAAAACAAAAAAACCCAAAAAAAAAAACTAGTAGCTTGCCAAAGTCATCAAAAAATAATTTTTTTTTATTTTCATCAAGATAAATTTTATACGAAGTTCAAATAAATATTATTTGTGATTTATAATTGATCATAATATGGACAAAATTTAATAATTTCAATGAAAATGCAATATAAATTATTAAAATTGTTTTTGATATTATAGCTTGATGTTACGTGTAATATAATAAATACAAGAAATAATTATATGGCAAGTTAATATGATTATTATTTAACCATCTCGATGGTTTGAGTTTAGTTGAACTAAACTAGTACGTGCGATCCATGAATACGCGTATTTGACAAAAGAAGAAATTTAAATTATCCCACAAAGTGGGAAATTAAAGATAATTACAACAGTAATTCGTGCCTCTCTTTTAAAAGGAGTAACCTTTTTTTTTTTGGGTGAGATTCATGATGGCTGCGCAGACTTGCAAATCCATCGCTTTTTGCAGATTTGACACGACGTGGTCACCATGTTCAGTTCTTTTGAGGAGACTTTTACTTTTCTTGTTAAAATAGCAGATGGTCAGATCTCTAACACGAATTGTTTATCAAAACGGGGGCTTTGAAACTTTCGAAAACCTCGTATAATGATGAAGTGTCCACTGAATAATTGGTGGAAGACATTATTTTCACTTAAAAAAAAAACTGATGATAATGCGTGCTCGATGCTGGTTGGAGATTGTTGTAGTTAACTATACGCGTACTGTTGATATTGCGGTTTTTGCTAGTTGCTTTATCAGTTGTTGTTTTAAAATATTGGAGCCGTGGTTCATGCGATGTTGAATCCGTGTGAGAAATCTTGAGATTTGGGCTGCCAAAGGACAGCTATCTAGGTTGCTTATTAATGGCCGTCAGTCATTAACTTGAATAATGATATGGATTTCAAACACTTGCCGGTCACAAATAATCAAATGGCACACACGCACTCCACTCTCTCATGCCAGCAGAGCAAAGTTCTATCACTAATAATTTCAAATTTTACTTATTGTTGTCAATTGCTTTGATTTTATTTGGTTGGATAGTCAATTCGATTGCAACGAAATTAAAAATAATAATAATTAGTATTATAATTATAATTAAAAAAATTTTAATAAAAATTTTATATTAAATAAATTTTATTAAAATTAATATTTAAATTTAATTAATAATATAATAAATTTAATCACATCACATAAAAGATATAAGAAAATCTAAATGAATATTTAATTTATAATGAAATAGCTGGCATTGCCTTATTTTATCACTAAAAGTTGGACAAGTAATTTTAGCCTTGAAATTGATGATTAAACCCCTAAAAATGTTTAATGTTCTTAGCGGAAAATTTTTTAATCTTACATCGCTTCAAAATTTAGTCACCATGTGAGATTAAGTTGAATAAAATTAAAATATCTCTCCCTAGGACAAAGGTTGTATAGAAGATCAAACTCATGAATATAGCATAAATATATATATATATATATATATATATATATATATATATATCCAACACACGCACAGCCATACAATTGGTAATCAAGTAAGTCACGATGACCAATGCATATAATCCATTCAAATTGTCAAACCGATGCCAACTAATTAAATCCACTTTATGAAGAGTTAATTTGATAGTGCTGGGCTGCTCACTACATCACACTCCAACTCTTGTTTCCATGTTAACATCTTACTTGCTAATTCAAATCCACCGAATTTCAAATTTGAATGTGCTCACCGCTCACATCACACTGGCTAGCTAGTCTTTTCTATCAGGTTAAATTTGATTGGAATGCTTAAGGACAGGAGCTTATGGCATGTTTCAGCTGCTATTCTCAACAGACTTAATTCCCACCAAGGACAGCTTGCTAATGCTATCTTGGGAAGTAGTTTCAGATGGAACTTATGTTTTATGTCAAAGAGAGTAATAGAGCAGGGATCACTTATATTTTTTTTGGAAGAAGATATTGCATATGTGTGGACAAAGTAGAGACTGCATGCTGGAGGGATGGAGGAACTGGAGTTGGCTGTGCAGACGCTTGAGGGGAGGGCACTGGATCAATTCTTCTACGCATTACCTGGAATGCATTCATCTACCAGATTTATAATTCTGCCTATGAGACTACTCCACAGTTGCTCAATCACATAATAGATATGCAGTCTGATTGAGGCTTGCAGGTTCACAAAAGATCGCTGCTGCTTCTGTTTAATCAAAGTTAATGCAGGGAATGGGGACTTAATGACAAAAACGTTATTAGCGAATTAATTGTGTAAACGAATTATACATAAAGGTTTGAGTTAAAATTTACTATCCTATTCCTGGAATAAAAACCATAATGATGATTAACACGTAAGTAACATGCACCATGAATTCATTCATTGTTGATGTAAACAGCTTGATTTGTCAGGAGCGTCAGATAGCAACTTCCAAACCACTCATTCAAACATGGTAGATAGATACTACACAGTGGATTTAGCTTTATTAGATTGCTATTTTACCAAATCTGCATGCCAAAGAAGAGATTTGGTGTCGGCAGCAGTGACTCGCAAATAATTTTTTCTCAAAAACTAGATCCTGTTAGATAATTCCTACTTTATGGCCGGTGTTGACTGAAATCTGAATCAATTCAAATAATCCTGTTTTGTTTATTAAACTTCTCATTGAAAAGTAATTTGTCTATTCTGAGAGGAAGATTATCCGCAAGCAAATTAATTACTAGTTGACTAAAAGTAGGTAAAAATATGTGGCATTTACGTGAGCAGTGTGGGAGCAGTGACCAGGACGGCTGATGGATGCTTTTGAAAAAGCAATTGTCCGGGAAAAATAAAACGAGAATATGTGATGGTATAGAGGTGGGCAATGGACAATGACTTTTGGGAGGGGAGGGCCCCATCTAAACCATGGACATAGACATGGCTGAGCCAATTTTTCGGTATCCAATAGCCAAATGGGCGGTGAACAACGTTGCATCCCATGCATCTGTAGTCCCCTTGGTTTAGCACTCAGTATCAACCTTTCGGCTTAAAGCAATGTCCGATGTCAGTTCTTCTTTGATATCGGGTATTCCTCGAATTTAGGCAGAGGCCCACCTGGTCTACATCGGGCATGGATCTTTTAGGCCAGCTCAGGCTCAGGGTGGTCCACTAAATTAGGCCCGAAGTTTTTGGCTAGGCAATGGTCGAAAATGTTTCTGCTGATTATATCTGATTATGTGAGACCAACAACTCCCAAAGTGATCTGTAGCCGCGGTCTAAATGTGGGCCTTTGGGGCAACATCCTTGATTGATGGACTCAACTACCTTGTGTTTTAGATTTGAGACATTTGAGTAGTCCATATTTATGGTAAATTTTTTTATCTATGAATACAAATTTGAATTTAATTTATTAAATAGACAGATACATACATTTGTCATCAAATCAAACACTCAAGTTCTCTTAATATGAATTTTTTATAAAATAAAGTCCTTATGATAATAAAAATAAATGACGAAAGTTAGCCTTATGCGATGGGTGCTCAACGTATTGAGAGTACCCGTTTGGAATGAATTTTTTCTTTTTTTCTTTTTGAAGTTGAATAATATGCTTGCCATGAATAAAAAATAGATTGGACCAAGCTCCAAACGATTATCTTAGGCTCGCCAATATTAGAGGGGGAAAGGGCTCATGAGAAGCAAAGTTTTCCGCAAGGGAGAACAAAAGTCCAAATACATTAAGGAAAGCTATGATATTCTTAGGTTTCTTGAAAGTTTAGAGAAGTCATAGTGATAGAAAAAAAAGAGAGACTGTAGATTAGCAATAAAATAGAAGTGGTGGTTGAAGAGTTGGAATCTTTGGGTGTCCAAAGACTTGCACAAGATTTATACGAAAAGCCCTTTAACTCATTTTTGGTCTAAATACAAAGACACACTACCAATCAAACGAATCGCCAATTTTTTTGTTTCAGATTATCACCTTTCCGAGTAATAAGAAATGGCCAATTAATATCCTAAGATTTTAACTTAGATTCGCATTTGTCGCAATCTCACCAACCTCATTAAAGATTGAAGGCAATCCTTCATAAGCTAACTAAAATATAAAATCTAATTTCTTTTGGTTTAATCAGATACCCAAGCTTTGACGCTAGAGCAAGACTATATGTTTTTACATAATTAGATTGATTATTGTTATGATTTGGAAGCCCCGGTCCCCTGTGTTTCTCATACTCCATACGTCTATTCGAGCTTGTTTTTGTTCGAATCCTATACTTTCAGTTGATTGTTTTCAACTAATTCCCAAACTTCATTAAGGGACGAGGGTGGAGTTGGTGGGGCGGTGGAAGGAAGCAAGGAAAGGGTTAAATGACTTCTGATGATGATGATGATGAAAACCTTAACAAATGGCGCTGACATGCAAAAACAGATATTCTCAAATATCAAAACTAGCTAGAAATAGCAAGTTATGGGATTAATAGAGAAAAAACCAAAGCAAACCTTGTTGAGGGATTGTTGATAAAACACAGCATGGCAGTTCCTTTTCAAATTTCAGGAAGGGCAGTTTTCTTGAATCTTTGAAACTTTTACATTCACATATATAAGACTAACGTATAGGCATATGCCATATGCTGGATTTATTATTGGCTACACATTTTTTGAATAGAAACTTGTAAAAGCGGCCTTGCCAAAGAATTTTGTACTCAGAAATTATCTCAGAGCAACTTGTTTTATTGTTTAAATTACTAGTTGGTTTGACTAAGGAGATTAATCAAATAAGTACATGTTAAACTAATTTAGTATGGACTTTCTAAAATGAGAGAAGAGGCTAATGGAGAAATGACAAGAGCAAACCAGGACAAATGCAGATGCTGGTGGTGGAGTGGGTTCCCCCTCGAGCAAGGTTGATCAAGGTAGTTGGAAGATACGTGGCATATTGTGCCATAATGAGGCTGGTATAAAATGGTAAGGATAGGTAAGAGTCGTTTGACCAGGGAAAAGCATCTCTCCAAACTCATACCTAACCCCAACAAATCCTTTCTCTCTCTGTGGGATGGTCAGGTCTTGGAACTGCGAGTTTTGAGGGTTCAAGCTTTTGACTCGTTTACGGATGGTCTCAAATGCTTTAACAGAGATTGCCTTAAACCATTAATTAAACTCTCGCAAAGCTGGCTAGTTTGACAACGGGTTTTTGTTTGAACAATGGAAATTTTCAAGCATTAAAAACAAGAGATCAATGAAAACTAAGCTATTTTATGGGCTGAATACATATATAGAGTATGCAAACTAAACTTCATTTTTAAGTATTGCTTAGTCGATCGAGTTGACTATTTGTTCCACTCGATGAATTGTGATTTTTTCTTCCTGAGAACTATGAATTGTAACTCAGAAATAAACACATTGTAGTACTCTTACTCTATATCATGCGATATACATGTATGACATATTATTACATGTGGCATAGTTGGGGGTCGTGACTCGTGAGGGCTGCATCAGAACATCTATTCCCCCGACTTGCATGAAAGTTGGAACCTATTGAAAGACACAATAAGGAACTCTGGTCATTTCTTGTTTAAGTTGAGTAAGAGATAGTGTGAAAAGAGTGATTTCGGGGAAAGAAAAAAGAAACATGTATATATTGGTAGTAAATTTAGTTCTCAATTTGTTTTCTTAATAAATAAAATATACTAAAATATGAACTTAATTTCTCGAACTTGAAGTTATCCAAATCCAACATATGATAAAAATTTCACATTCATATTGATCATCATCACGTCCCTCTTATATTAACCCCTCTCTCTCTTCTTCCCCACAAAGCATTATTATTTCCATCTATTCCGTTGTCTTGGAGATACCCTTACCAAAGAAACTCTTCCTATCATCTGTCAGGGAAATATTTTGCAGTGTCTGCCAGTTGAAGGGAGCTGGTCTCACCATGGCAAGAATGTTAAAACTATCTTTATCTGTGTCCCTTTTTATGTGCTTGATTTTATCATCCTATGCACAAACTTGTGCCAAGTACGCGTTCTCTAGCAACCGCGTCTTCAGGTCATGCTCTGATCTTCCTGTCTTGAACTCTTTTCTTCATTATAACTATGGCTCGTCAGGAAAGCTCGAGATTGCCTATAGGCACACAAGGATCACGTCCTCAAGATGGGTTGCATGGGCCATAAATCCAACCTTAACAGGCATGGTTGGATCACAGGCACTTGTTGCCTACCAACAGACCGATGGAAGCATGCGAGTGTACACATCACCCATCACACAATACCAAACCCAGCTGCGAGAAGGTGACCTTAGTTTTGATGTCTCAGAATTGTCCGCAACGCATGCAAACAATGAGATCATCGTATTTGCTACCTTGGGACTTTCTAATAATGGCACTACTCTAAATCAAGTATGGCAAGAAGGTTCCCTTTCTGGTAACACCCCACAGATGCATGCCACTTCTGGTGCTAACGTTCAGTCGATGGGCACCTTGAATCTGCTTTCTGGTGAGGCTAGAACAACTGGAGGGGGAAGCTCAAGACTTAGAAAGCAAAAGGTAAGTGAATGACTTTTAGCTTTACTTTTCTTGTTTTGTTATCTTATCTCTGAAGATTCAATTTGAATTACTGTTGCTTAGTTATCGAGAGATTGTTTGTTTTATAACGATCACTTCTGTTTCTAGGCTGCTCGGTGCTGACTCTGTTTCTGAAGTATTTACTCAATTTCATGGTATTCCTTAAGCGTATAGCATTAGTTGTTGTTGACAAGAAAGCTGATTCAGGGCTTAAGGAAGTTTCTTGTGCTAGAATTGTCGATCTTATTTAAAAATGGATAGGTTACAGTCCAATCAATATTGGCATTACGCTTGCTTTACTTATAACATACGAAAATTACCCCATGATCTTGCTTTTATATTTTGAGATAAAAGTTTCATTTCTTCTGTTTTATTTGCCTGTAGGTTTATCCTGTTCAGATGTAAAATTCATTGTTTAAAAATGCAAATTATAAATAGTTATTTTTGGCAATCAAATTTAATCAACATGACTACTTACATATTCCTTGCAATAAAATTTCAGATTCACGGGGTGCTAAACACATTCGGTTGGGGTATCTTGATGCCCATCGGTGCTATAATAGCGAGGTACTTGAAGGTATTCAAATCTGCTGATCCTGCATGGTTTTATCTGCACTCTTCTTCTCAATTCGCAGCCTATGTTGTGGGCGTTGCCGGATGGGGTATGGGTCTCAAACTCGGCAGTGAATCTCCTGGTATTCAATTTGATGCCCACAGAACCATTGGGATTATCCTTTTCTGTCTTGGAACACTTCAGGTACTCAGGACACAACCAAAAACAATACCAGATATATAATCTACTCACATACATACATACGTACATACATACATACGTACATACATACATACATACATACATACATACATACATACATACATACATGTACGCACACACACACACGTTAGATACTTAATTTGCAATTATTTTCTATTTTGGTAAATGTAGTTTACTGACACAGTTATGATTTGGATTTAGGTATTTGCTTTGCTTCTAAGGCCAAAACCAGACCACAAATACAGATTCTACTGGAATATCTATCACCATTTAGTGGGATACACTGTGATAATCCTTAGTGTCATCAACATATTCAAGGGATTCGACATCCTGAAACCTGAGAGGAAGTGGAAGAATGCTTACATTGGTGTCATCGTGGCTTTGGTTTTCAATGCTGTCATGTTGGAAGCCTACACATGGTTTGTTGTGGTAAGGAGGAAAAGGTCAGAAAGTGCAGGTAAAATTCCGCATGGCGTCAATGGTGCAAATGGAAGTGAGGTTAACGGCCATGGTGTTAGGCCACAGCAGGCTTAGAAACTTTGCTCGATATATCTTCTGGCCTCCATGGTGGTTTTCCTGTTTCCTTTTTTTTCTTTATGTCTTACTCAGACAGGCATGATGTTGGACGGACCCTCAGTTATATTTATGTATGAGATTGTCTGAGGGAATTCAGGATTAGAAGTTATTCTTTCATAGCCTATAAGTAGTTCTAGGAAACTCTGGTTGTACATTGTATTCTTCATGCTTGAATGAGACTTTTCAGTAAATGTTCGAAGAGACCAAAAATCATTGCTGGGCTTGTATATTAAAAATCCTAACAAAAAGCTACAAAGTTGCTTGATGTATCATATCAAGTATAGGCAATTTCTGGCTTTCGTAGATTATCAGTGCTGCCTCATTGCGATTGCTGCAAAGCCTAAACAAATGCATCTTTCAGGAATGGATTTGAAGCAGCAACTTGTGGAGATGTAAACAAAAAACATCAGTGGTCAACATTAAGTATAAACCTTCAAGCTTCAACTGATTCTCTATGTTGGTCCTAACATTAGATAAACTAAAAACCTTTCAGAAATTTAAGATTGCATATTGCGGAAGGCTGCTTCTTCTGTTTTGAAACAACAGTCCATGTTTATAGACAATTTCATTCGACACAGAAAAAAAAATATTGGAGATATGTAAACCATTTTGTTGTAATTATTAATTACTGGAAGTACCTTCGAATTCGAAAAACATAACAACGAGAAACAAGCATTGGAAACCACAAATTTAGAGTTGAATCAAGTATCTTAGTGAGTTTTTCTATCTTCACCGCACCTGTCCCTCTCCCCAAAAACCAGCTGGTTTGTCTTTTTCCGTCCACATACGTTTATGTCAGCATTCATATGTAACGTTGCGAATTACAGATAATGATAAACTACGATTCTAAGAAATAGGAATATAAAGAGGAGCCATCGATAAATCTTTTGGTTTTGATATTGCTGTTGAAGAAGCTTATATGGCCATTAATGCTGCACCTACGAAGGTAGGTAGGAAGCATGGAAAATGGCGTTCAAATTGTCAAACTCATGGGAAGATACAGCTGTGGCAAAGGCTAAAATGATGATTTAGGAGTGAAGTTTAATGATACTTTTAATGGTGATTATGGAGTTGAGTCCATAAACATATAGGTTTATAATTGTACTGATTTTTTGTTTAGATTAAGGAGTAAAGCGATCATTTTGTAATATTAAACAGTGTTAGCTAATTTATTTAAGGGACAAAAGGTTTTTTTTTTTTTTTTGTAATATTAAACAGGTATCAGCTTTTGATGCTTTGAAATTCTTTTAACATGTAGTAGCATAGATATTACTATATGAGAAACGAAACAGGGAAGAAATAAAAAAAAAAAAAAAAAAAACAGGCAAAGCAAATTCGCAATCTAAAAATTTGAAACTGGTAACATCCCAAACCCAAATTTATTACTTACTAAGATTTTTTTCTCCAATCAGTCTAACACCGAACAAAAAAAGACATGATGAACATAAAATTCATAGATTAGAAATCAGATCAACCCTTGACAGGGTTAAAGGAGGTAAGATTCCTGAAATTCTGCCATGCTTTCTCCCACACGACAGCCTCGTATGCCTTGGTTGCGCTTCCATCAGTCGCCTTCAAAACCAGCCGATAGTTCGTCCCCGCAACTACCTGCGTCTCGCCTTTGATAACCTTCAGCAACTTTAAACTTGTCTTTGACTGCTTGTTATATTCGGCTACGGCGAATTTCGCGATCTCGGTGACGTGCGGGTCCTTGACGTTCTCTATTGGTGTCCATCCTCCGAGGAGAGCATCCTTCCTAGCATCGGAAAAAAGGAGAGGAAGGAAAAGGAGAGCCAGCAAGAGGAAAAGGAAACGGGAATTTCGATGCATTGCAAGTTTGTAACGTTGCTGTTCTTTTGTTTTTCTCGAGTCTCGGCTCTCAGCGTTTGGTCTTTGAAACTGGACCTTCGGCGTTTCAATTCGGGAATTTATAGCTGTTTCGGTATCCGTGAATGTGAAGGTACGTGGGAACGGAAAAACTCTATGAATGTTGCGATTGCCCCTTGAAGTTGATAGAAATCACGGTCAACTCACGCGCTTATATTATACGGTAACGCGGGTTAGCACAAAACTGGCCCCCATCGACATGAATTAGGAAAGGGGGAAAGCGTTAGATTCTGATCAAGAGTGGGAAACACGTGACCTGATCGGAGGGTGAGGGCCTTCGTGAGCAGTGTTGGAAGATTTTGGAAACTGCTTTCTACCATCATGGCATCACGTGAAATTGGCTGGTGGTGAATACTAGTGCCTTAGGAGGCTGTAGGTCGTAGCTAGGATGATAACGACTTAAATTGAATTAAATTTGAAATTATTTGATTTTTTAATAATATAAAATTTTAAATTTTATTTAAAATCAAAGGATATGAATTAAATTTTATTGATTTAATTTGGTTTAATAGTTTTTTAAATTTATTTTTTATTTTTATATATTATTTTAATAAATTTTATATATTTAAATAAATTTAAAAATAAAATAATTATTTTTATTTTATAAAAATTTAAATAATATAAAAATTAATAATAATATATAATTTGATTTGATTTAGTATTTTTATATTTTATTTTTGATTTGAAATTAAATTTAAATTTAATATATATTTAATATTTAATTTTAATTTAAATTAAAAAAATCGATATAAAATTTTTTATTGATTAATATAAATAGAATCAAATGATATGATTTTTTTATTTTTTATTTCCATCCCCAGCTTTAACTCACCTTAGATTGAATAAAGGCAAGTGGGTGGGGGTAGCCGTTGGCAGGTGGCGCCAACTGAAAAATTAAATCAGAACATAAAGGGTTTATGAACATAAAGAGTTTGTTTGTTTGCTTTTTTTTTTTTTTTTTTGCCAAGCACAAAGGGCGAGGGGTAGTGTTTTGAGTTGTCGTATGATGATTCTGTTTGGTCACCTTATTATTATTGTTTTTACTTAAAAGAAAAAAAAAGTAAGAGTGGTTAACAACGAATAAAATTGTTCATTACGTTATGATTAGTTTTATATTTTAATATTTATCCATTTAAAATTAATTATGACACTTTCTTTTAGCTGTCGGTTTTGCATAAAGTAATTTTTTTAAATAAAAAAAAAATAATAAAAGTATTAATCAACGAAATTTAAACATTATTATAATGTTAAAATTTAAAAATTTTATTTTTTAAATTTAAATTCATAATTTTTTTGTGGAAATAAATACATAACTAACCAGAGTAGTAGAGAAACTAGATGCTTAATATATGTGGCATTTTCTATGCATATTCTGGACATTGGAAATCCAATTACTACTACTAATATAAAATTAGTAATTGTTAGGAGAATTTTCATTTGAAAGGAATGACTCCAATTATGTGATCGATGTTTCTTCCATTGGAGTCGATCGATTCATGTAAGAAGACAGATTCGGGGTAATTGGATCTAGAACTTTCCACTCATTTGTTAAAATAAAATAAAATAAAATAAAATAAAATACCATTGGTTATGGACCATGGTCCATGGACCTTATATGGTCTCGCCGTGTTCATCGGACTTTATCTCTTTCATTCCTTTCAAGTATTTTCTGTTCGTAACCAATACCAAGACCAAAAGCTCGCTCTATTAGTCTTTACTCTTGGGAATTGGAGCCGAAGCAAATGATGGGAAATCTCCCACTCGACATAATCGCCGACATCCTCAGCCGTTTGCCTGTTAAGCATCTCCTCTGCCTCCGATGCGTTTCGAAGCTGTGGCGATCTTTGATCGACGATCCTGATTTCATCAAGCTGCACCTCCGCCAATCCCTCAAATCCCACACTAACCATACACTCATCCTCAAAATGTCCGATCTTCACGCCGCTGATCTTGCTTGTCTCGGTCCTTTCGCCAAGCTCGAACAGCCTTTGATGAGTTACAACCAAGGAATCAAGATCTTGGGATCTTGCAACGGCTTGCTCTGCATAAGTAACATAGTTGAAGACATGGCTATTTGGAACCCCTCCACTAGAAAGCACCGAGTTTTACCTTCTCTCGGTTATTGCAAAGGTTACGTTTACGGATTCGGTCACGACCCGATTACTGATGATTATAAAGTTGTTAAAATTATGCAGCTTGGTGGGGTTGATGGAAAGGCTTTAGAATCAGAAGTTAAAGTTTGCAGCTTGAAGATAAATAGGTGGAGAAAAATTCAAGATATTCCTTGTGTATATTCGTTTCCTGTAGCCGATGGGGTTTTTGCTACTGGAGCTTTACACTGGGTTCTGACTCAAAAAGTTCAACTTTCCGAGAAAAATGTGATTGTTGCGTTGGATTTAGGGGCTGAAAATTTCAGGGAAGTACCACAACCTGAGTACAAAGATAAGATATTTCAATTGAATGTGGGGGTTTTGGGAGGCTGTTTATGTGCGATAGCTAATTATGATCATGTTCGAGTTGATCTTTGGGTGATGAAGGAATATGGAGTAAAAGAGTCTTGGACTAAGCTATTTTCTATTGCAAGTGAAGAGGTGATTGGTTCTTTGAGGTTTGTGAAGCCTCTTGCTTACTCAAGGAGTGGTGATCAAGTTTTGTTGGAACATGATAATATCAATCTCTTCTGGTATGATTTGAAGAAGAAGAAGAAAGTCAATGATGTCTGGATCCCTGGTATGCCCCATACCTATGAAACAGAGATTTGGTTGCAAAGCCTCGTTTCACTTGATGTCAACAGAAGGCAGCACGATGGAGAGGATAATAAGGGTATCAAGAAGATGTAAGCAACCCTTGCCTCCCTTGAAACACAAGAATTTTACCCCTTTGCAGTAACTATTTTCTTAACATACCATATGATCATTTTAGCCGTAGAAGGTAGTTACTTTCATCTAATTAGGGGTACAGTGTCATACAATAAGGCTAAGGCTTTAGTAATTTGCAAATGCTAATCTAAGGTAGTGTTTGGTTTAGAAAACAGAGCTATTTTCTGTTTTCATTTTTCAAAAAAATGAAAAATATAATTGAAAACGTGATTGGCAATTGAAAATGAAAATAAGTTTTTAGAAAACAAAAATGAAAATAGGTTGAAATATAAAAACAAAAAAAAGATGTTTTTAATTGTGAAAACAAGGGATGTATATAATTTTTTTCCTTAAATTTTGCAAGTTACCATATTTAAACACTTTTAATGTCATTAATTAATAAATATATATTATATTTATAATTAAATGACATTAATAGTAATATTATTAAATATTTTATTTATTTCCTTATTTTTATATTTTAGAAAATAATTTTTATTTTCGTTTACCAAATATATTTTTTAAAAAACAAATAATAAAAAATAAAAAATATTTTTTAGAAAATGAAAATAAAAAATAAAAATAAAAAACATTGAAGTTTCTTATGTTAGGGAAATGCTGTCTTCTGAAAAGCTTTAATCAACGCTATTGGTTTGAACCTAAAACGGTTAGGCCCTATGAAAGGTGGGAGGGTAATATATATTACCATTGGCATTGGCATGCAAAAAGTATGGTCAAATAATGGCTCATTATGCAAGTAGTGGTATATTACTCATCATATGGCTACTGGATTCAACTTAGCCTCATGGATCTGTTTTGGATTTTTTCAGGGATGATTTCCTGTCAGAGGGGTTCAAACTAGTGTTATAGTCAGGTGAACAAGGAGGCAGAACATGAGTGGTAAAGGTACTGTAATTTCTACACTGTCGCAGTTGAAATTAATTGTTGATTGTTGCATGCTTATATCTCTATATTTCTTGCTGTAATTAAGATTGTTTATATATAAATATGTAAGATAACTTATGTGCACGGATTGATGCAGGATTGATTATCCCAGCTGAAATTGTGATAAGAGGTGGGATCGAGTAAGTTATTTATTGACTTTATTGCAATGTAGAGGTTGATTCACACCTTAATTTTTTTTTCTCAATCCTGTTGATTACCACTGTACATTTTTAACTGCTTTTGTTCAATAGAAGTTTAGTTTTGCTATGAATGTCTTTGAAAACTAGCTGATTTAATGGTTTCTTCTGATACATTTCATACGTAGTTTTTCTTACTGTTTATGTGCTTGCAAGCAAACATTGCACAGACGGACAGACCTTTTTGTTAAACTCTGTGAAAAAATGAAGTGCTTTTCTTTTTTAGCTAGCAACAATATCTAATATGAGAAAAAAACGTGCTTTGGAGCATGGAAGATGGATAGCCTTCTTATCCTGGTGGATTAAATAAATTTGATTTTGGTTATAATTTTGTTTCTGTGCTGAACCTGCTTTTTATAAGTTCAAAAGTTTAATGCTATTTGTGATCCTTCTAGTAGTTGCATAGAAAAGTTCAGTTGTGGCCTAATTTTGATGGTTTCGGTAGTTGAATAATATGATATGGCTTAAGCATTTCATTTTGAAACTAACTAGTTCCAAAATGTCAATAAGAACGTCGCACTGGTCTTCTGGAGTTGTAGATGCTAAAGTGCTGTCTTCCTTTCTTACCAGCTAAAATGTCTGTTATTTTGATATCATCTTCGAAGGCTATTCAAAAACATTGATTAATGCTGTGCATCTGTCATGTCTTTGACTCAGACTCCTTGTAGAATTAAGCTGCTGTGTAGACAAGAGGAAGAGGTGAAGTGCTTATTGGAAGAGAAACAGGGTTCAGGCCTTCAGGGTCACTGAAATACTGCATTTCATAACTACTAGCTAGTAGTACGAAATCAGAATGCTTTCTATGGCTTTTGATCTCCTAGTGTTCTTCTCGGCAAGACTATTATACGAGAGATCCTATCATTGGCTCCCAAGTTTGTCTTTAAATGCACTCTCATACTTGTCTGCAACATAGTGGTCTTGCTGGTCCTTTTGGTGAAATTGTGTTGTGTTCTGTAGAATAATCAATGTTTGAGAAATTTAAAACCTTGTTAATATATATATGCTTGGTTGTCAAAATTTGAAGTTATTTGCATATCTAAAGATGAAAACTTGTAACAGTCTTTGTTCTGAATTTGGATTGTTTACTGGGGTGCCAGCTTACGTGAGAGTTTGTAACAGTTAAAAGCATGTACTCGTTTTGGTTATTCAGTGTCCCTCTTTCGAGACCGACAATGGTGACTTTGTTGCCACAAAGAAGGGTGTTTACTATTTATCCGGCTGCACTGTTATACACTTGGTTCACCTTTCTCTGGTTCACCTTTCTCTGTGCCAACGTGACCTCACCCTCATAAGAATAGTGCCACCATGCCACCACCTGTAATTGTCACGCTCCATATTTCAAATTCAAAATATATATATTAAGTGAAAGAGGATTTATATTTGTAAACCTAAGACCAATTATTCACTTAGATTTTTAAAAATTAATTAGTTTATGATATGTTTATTCAGCTAAAAACTCAATCCATCCTTTATTTATTTTGCAAATGTTAATCAAGCACTGCTAATACATAGTAAATTCATTTTACGATTTGTGCCATGAGTTTTTTTTTTTTTTTTTTTATCAATATGTTTTTATAGTTTTGAAAGCTTCTATTGTAATTAGGTTGGAATTAATTTAATTCTTATAATATCGAGTTAATTTTAGAATTCACTCGCTACCACTACTTCACATTGACTTATTGTTAGGGCAATGACATCATCACAGCCGCTAAAAGTGATGATAAAAACAAACTTGGTGAGACCGTCCACAGCAAACAATTCCCAGCAACCTTTTTTTGGTAATTTCATATCACAAAGAGTAAAATAGGAAAATTAAAATTAAAAAAATAATAAATAGCGTAAGATTGCAGTCTTTGCTGATTAGCTTAGCCTAGGTGATGACGGCTCTAATAAGTTTTTATAGGCCGATTGCTTTCAATTTCTTCCTCTTTTTTAATCTGCCTTCTTCACTCTCTCTCTCTCTATATAACTTTGCAAGGGTTTTTTTTCTTGTTTTCTTTGTTTGTTGCGGCTTCCTCACCCTCTTTCTCTATGTGGTCTCCCCAACCGTAGCAGGCTGGGGGCTCCCTCAGTCCGATGTCTCTTTTCCAATCCCCCGCCGTTGATCAATTCTCCAACGGCAACGATCACCGCCTTTCCTCCAAGCGCAAATTTGACGATTATGCCCCTGCTTTCGATGATGACCAAGATGACGAGGCTTCCTTAGTCCCCGTCAGGATGCGAAAAGACGATCACCACCATCAAGGCACCCATCCATTCACAGCCGTTCACCCCTCGTCCCAAGACCCAGCATTCTCGTTCTCTACCTCCCTCTTCGATTCCCGCCCTTCCTCCTCCGATGCTCCATCATCATCCGCCACGTGTTCCCCCTCCCGCCTCCAATTCTTCATCCGGATGATCTCGGAGGGCAATACCATGGTGGTCCAGGCTAATTCGGAGGACACCGTAAAATCCCTTCACGAAAGGATTCAAGTGATGACCGGAATTCCAGTGATCGAACAACGCCTAATTTATCGCGGGAAACAGCTTCAGTGGGAGCAATCCCTAGCTGATTGCGCCATTCAAAACGACGCCGGCCTTCAACTCGTCGGCCGTATGCGGTCGACGGACCACCCACAAACCTGGCAGCTCATGGACGACATGATCTCCCTCATTTGCCGCCTTTGCCGAGGAGAAATAGTCCTTTCCTCAACCAAACACATCAAAGATTGCTTGACCAACTTCTTCACAATTACTCCAAAGGACAACAACGACTCTGCCCCTGCTCACTTTCAGATATTTATGGCATCTTCGGCTCCTGCCGCTTTGGTAATGCTTTATATTTCACCAATTAAGGGTAATAAGCAGTGTGCTGATACTTCAATAAGACATTTCTTATCTTCATGTAGGAGTGCGTTATCAAAACAGTTACATTCTTATTGTACACCAATAGTATTAGAGTTTTGCAAGTTACTTAGGAAGGTTGTTAATGAGGATAGTTTGTATGCGTCGTGCCGCAGTACCCTTGGGGTGTTGTTGGAAAGTGTTGGCACTTCCAAGGGTTTAATGCTGCCACCAGAGGTTAAACGGTTGATTGTCATGCAAGAGATTTTCCCCTTTGTCAGTGAGTTGGCTGATAAGTTATCTAAGGATTTGGATTCTAGCGCAGATTCTACCGCCAGTGGGGGACCATTATCGAGTGATGTCAGGGATTTCACAGCTTTCTTGAACCCTTTGCGGTCTGCCATATTTGAGCAAGTGGGGTTCCAGATTGCGATATCAGTTGAGTGGCAAAAGAAGGATTACAACAATCCTCCCTATGGGGAGGAGATTAAGTTTCTTCATGCTATATTTAATGATTTGTTGGATAAAATGGAAAATTGCCTTATTAGAGTGGAGAAAAGCTTTGCTGCTAGAGGAAGCAGTGAAGGTGAATTTCCTCATTTAGGGTGGTCTCAGTATCTTGCCATTTTGAAGGAACTGAATGGCATCTCAAAACTTTATCATGGTGCTGAAGAGCAGTTTTGGAGGGTTTTGAAGAATAGAAAGTCTTCATTGTGTGCCTTAATAATTAGGTTCGCAAGGCGAAATGATGATAATAGGTGGCTACTTGAGCACAAGGATGTCACTGATTTTGAATCCAGGAGGCATTTGACCATGATGATGTTTCCTGAGGTAAAAGAAGATTATGAGGAATTGCATGAGATGCTAATTGACAGGTCTCAGTTATTGGCAGAATCATTTGAATACATTGCTCATGCCAAGCCTGAATCACTACATGCTGGTCTATTCATGGAGTTTAAAAATGAAGAAGCTACTGGTCCTGGTGTACTGAGGGAGTGGTTTTTCTTGGTGTGCCAAGCCATATTCAATCCAGAGAATGCCCTTTTTGTGCCTTGCTCAAGTGATCTTAGAAGATTTTTTCCTAATCCTGGTAAGCTTACTCTGAACTTCTGAACTTCTTTCACACACTATACTAACTCATGATGATGTATTTCTCAGTCCTTGTTGTGCAAGAGAGATATGGTTTTCAAAGCTCATTGTGATATATATGAGATAATTACTAGTAATAATAATATACTTCTGATGCAGTTATTAGATTTTTTAAAGTTTGTGGTTTTTATCCTTTTGATGGAGAATGAGAACAGAATGAAGTTAGAGGGGCTTGATAAGTGAAGAGAAATGAAGACTCTTTTCCTGCTCACTTTATATGTCATTTGTCTGTGCTTGTGTCCCCTTGTATTGATATAAACATGGACTTAGGTAGTGGAAAGGTAAAATTCTTGTGGATTGCCCTTTGCTACTAGTACTGGTTATTTTAGTTGCAGGCTCTGGCATGGTTGAAAGCTACTAACTCGTCATACGATATGCCTTGATAGGCAGAAATAGTGCATTAAAATTTTGCTTTGCAGACTTTAAAAACAAGTGAAAATTATTGATACTTTGATAGATGCATAGTGTACTTTGTAGATTTTCCTAATGACATAAAGATGCATCCTCATAGTCCCATTAAGTGTTAAGGAGTTCAAAGCAACCCTGAATTGTTCACTGCTCAATTTTCTTCCTATACGTTCTCTTTTGGTAAGTGGGACCTATGATTTATTTCCAATCTTGATTGTTTCTCAATATGAACTGATTCTTCTGCTAGAATCCTCAATATAAGCTTTCACTAATGAGTCATTCAAGCATTTTAGATCTCTAGTTTTCATTGGGTTTTGGGCTGCTTTAAGAGCAGCTATTTCCTTTCCAAGCCTAAGCATGATATTCTATGGAAACAAAATGAGGCCTTCCTGTTTCTCTCCCCACTGTTATGAGCTTCTTGTTCTGTTGTTCCCTTATCTTGCTCAATCTCTGCAATTTAGGCCAAATATCTAGCACACAACATGATACAAGTGGTGATACAAATGTGTCTGACACATTGGACATAGCGCATTAATGTTAAACCATCTCAGTTTGAAATCCTCCCAAAAGCTATATGTCATCACTATTAAGCAAAGGCAGCAGCCAATGACTAGCTTGAGTTTTGATGTGAGAACGAGGGAGAAAGGAGAATGAAGCTAGAACGGGAAACAAGCAAAAGAGAGAGAGAGAGAGAGAGAGAGAGAGAGAGGAGATCTAAGATGAAAAGAAGAGAGAGAGGAGATCTGAGATGAAAAGAAGAGAGAAAGGAAGGCTTTGAATCTGGTGGAGATTGAAATAATTTATTCTTTTTGAGATTTCTATAATTGTTGGCTAACCTCAGTACATGATCAAATGTGTCTGCTTCTCCATTGGATTATGGAATTGACATCAAGACATTGATTCAATTTTTTTGGCATTGTCACTGAAACCTAGTTCTGCTTGTTGCTTGCATGAGAATATTCATATAACTAGGTTCCCTTTGAAATGTACAGTTATTGTTCTTATTTTCTCATATTCTAAAAGCATAGTCTGCAAAGACCCTTTAATACCTTGCCAGTTACATGGATTTCCTTCTTACTCTGACCCAGTTATATGGTGCTTATGTGTTTTCTTCGATATGCAGCTTCTGGGGTGGATCCTTTGCACCTTGAGTATTTCAGTTTTGCTGGTCGTGTGATTGCATTAGCATTGATGCATAAAGTGCAAGTGGGTGTTGTCTTTGATCGTGTATTTTTCTTACAATTGGCTGGAATGGAAATATCTTTGGAAGATATACGAGAGGCAGATCCATGCTTGTATAGCGGCTGCAGGAAGATTCTGGAGATGGATGCTGAGTTAATTGATTCAGATATGTTAGGACTGACATTTGTTAGAGAAGTTGAGGAGTTAGGATCCAGGAGAGTTATGGAGCTCTGCCCTGGTGGGAAAAGCATTGTTGTAAATAGCAGGAATAGGCAGGAATATGTTAACCTTCTTATTCGAGATCGCTTTGTAACATCTATTTCTCAACAGGTATACCATTTTTCCCAGGGATTCGGCCATATTCTTTCTAACTCAAGTCTCCAGAAGTTCTTTTTTCGAAGTTTAGAGCTCGAGGACCTTGATTGGATGCTATATGGAAGCGAAAGGCCCATATGTGTTGAAGATTGGAAGGCACATACAGAGTACAATGGCTACAGAGAAAACGATCCTCAAATAACCTGGTTCTGGGAGGTATGGACATAGGGGATTGTGTTTTAATCATGCCAATATCTTGGTATCCCTTTTTTTTAAATCTATTTCTTTTCTATTAATTTTTTGTGCTCCTTGTCACATATTCGCAGTCTTGTTTCAAAAACAGGAATATATCTTAAATTAAAGAAACATTGTCAATAATGCTACAACTAGTTAGAAAATTCCATCCATAGCCTTTACTTCTGCCCTACCTCTTTTGTTGGCTTGAGTTGTAGCAAATCACAAGCTAGGTTTGCATATATGTGAGTAGATTCTTACAGATTGTGGATAAAAAGTTGAAGTGCACTAGATAGTAATTGAGAGACTACCTCAGGAGGCAAGCATAAGTCCATTATGTTCTTGATTTTTATGAACCGACTATTAATGCCCAGGAAGTAGCATGTGCATGATTTTTCAGCTGTGAAAAGTATTCCTGTTAATACTAATTGAGGTTAAGGCAGTGATGAAACTGTTGTTAGATGATTGCTTTAGTAGTTTAGTTTTTGTCTGCTTGGATAACGACATATTTAGTAGTAGCATATTCTTCAGGCCTTGACATCAACCATAATTAATAATATCATAGATAAAAGCAAAGTGATGATGTGGGACATGTGCTATTACTTAGTTTTATGAACCTATGAGCTCTTACTATTTTCTCCCAATAATTTACTTGCTCAAATTAAAAAATGTTGCAGATTGTTAGAGAAATGTCAGCAGAGCAAAGAAAGGTACTTCTTTTCTTCTGGACCTCCATGAAGTATCTTCCTGTCGAAGGTTTCCGTGGTTTAGCCTCTCGGCTTTATATTTATAAGTCCTTGGAGCCCCATGAGCGTCTTCCTTCTTCTCATACCTGCTTTTACCGGTTGTGTTTCCCACCATATCCCTCCATGGCTGAAATGCAAAAACGCCTTAATTTTATTACACAGGAACATGTCAGCTGCAGTTTCGGTACCTGGTAAAACATTAGTTGGTTTTTGACTGCACATAAGTTGTACAGGTTATAGGATAATATCATCTGCCTTTTTTATTAGACTCTATAATTAGGTGATTTAGCTAATTATCTTTCCTTCAAGAAATGTCATTGCCTTTTTCTTTCTCTTCTAGAAACTGTTTATTTCGGTATATCATAAATAAGTTAGGGAGATGGAAGGATTGCTCGCTTCCATCCCATGGACTATGCTGGCTTCAGCTACAGAGACAGCTTTCATGTAATTACACAGTCGTGCAATGACATACAGACTTACAGAAAGCCTCTAAATAGTGTTCAGTTGCATATCTCAGAATTATTTTTGTTTGACTTACAATATTGGAATATCTTAGCGCCTATCCTACTAAATAGCAAAGTTTAGGCAATTCTTTCTACTTGAAATCTGCTTAGTATGGTGTAACAGGTGATAGAACTCGGAAGGGTATGGTTTCATTTTTGTTTGAAACCACTTGCAGAAACGAAAGAAAAATTCATGAATGTTGAAATTGTCATGCTCTGCCTGCCTTTGCCATCAGCTGAAATCCTACAAGCAAGAGCATTAATCAGAGGTGATCTGTTCCCAAACTACACATTCGTATCAACTTGACGTTAATCATTCATGGTGTTTCTCTATGATGTCGACGAAAGTTTTAACAAAGTTTGTTTGTGATATAGATTCGTCAACGTGAACGGGGATTTGAAATGGAATATTAGATCACGTGATGATTGGCCTTTCTTAGACTGAGCAGCAGTAGCCTGCCCAACAAATTGGAATCCCTTCATGATGATAACGACGTGCATAAACTCGGACTTAGATTCAACTTATGCTTGAAAAAAAAAAAGAAATAAATACAAGGAAATTAACTTCAAAAATAAGATTGCCTGCTAACACGAAGAAGTAATACTTTGAAGAAGGAAAATAGTATATATGATTAAACAAAAATATATTTTATTATGCATATATAGATATAAGATCTCCTCACACCATATCAAACTCATCATGTTGACTCTCGGAACCCAAACAATACATACATCCACCGGCATGTAATGTATGCATGTTGACCCATTTGTAAATTTAATACCATATACCAAACCCCAAAGAAAGAAAGAAAGAAAGAAATAACATTCTCCATGGTTATAATAAACAATAATAATAATAAAGGCACCTACTTTAACATGCTACCTAAAAAGGCAGCCCCTCAAACTTTGCCACCTTCCGTATATATAGTCGCTCTATTCCTCAGACTTCGATCTCAACAGGAACTTCTTCTGCATTTTCAGCTGCCTTTTCCTCCTCAACTGCTTTCTCCTCCTCTGCTGTAGGTGCTGTTGGTGCTTCCACAGTGGGCTCTGTGGTCTCTACTTTGGCCTCCTCTGCAGCTGTTTCTGGCTTCACCTCTGGAGTCTCTTCCTTTGTCTCTTCTGCGGCTGGCTTCGCTTCCTCATCAACCTTGTCTTCTTCTACAACTTCTTTGGTATCAATTTCAACAAGAACTTCAACTTTGGGAGCTTCACTTTCCTCTGCAGCCAGGGCATCTGACGTTGTTTCTTCTGGTTCTGCTGTCACTGACTCAGCCGCTGGCTCCTCTTTTGGTGCCTCCTCAACCTTGGTCACCTCTGGTGTCTCGTTCTCTGGCAATGCTGTTGCAGCTGGTTGAACCTAGAAGGCCCGAAAGTTATTTTATTTCCGATGAAGCTAAGAAATCTTTAATTGATCATTGAAATCAATGATCAACCAAGATATTAATGTTTGTTTTAAATGTGAAAGATAGTTCATGTTACTTTCATTGATCATCATTTAGTTTCATTCCATTACTGAACACAAGGGAAAAGGATTAAGAAACTAGCTACTGAAAGATATATATGATCCTGCCCTATGATCAGTTCAGCATACTCAAGGCGTTATTACCTTTGTAGAAGAAGCATGAGTTTCGAAGGACGAAAATGATATCACTGACTAACTAAAAGACAAGAATAATGATCGCCATCAAGTTGTGCAGTTGATTGTTTATTATCACAAGATTAAAATATCTAAATTTAAAATCTGCTCAAAAAGCCCAAGATGGACTCTATACCGTTGAAAGTACTCTAAAACAATCAGCTTATTATCAAAGATAAGATATTGAACAAATGAAGACTGATCCATTTCGTTTGAGCAAGATCAGGTAGGATTCTATATAACTTTAAGAAAAAGCTTAATTGCAGATTGCTCGATGGAATTAATTGATGATATATCATAAGATATCCACCAAATTGAGTTCGATGAGAAAAAAAATTGAACCAAAATATTAGTAGTTTGATTACCTCAACACTGGCCATTTGGGAATAAGCAAAGGAAAGTGCAAGGGAACTTGAAGAAAAGATAGAAAAGAAAAAATGAATATCAGAGATGAGCAAGAGTAGAGTGGTTTGAGTGTAGTGAATAGATGATGAATGTGAGAGCTATATATAGGAATGTAAATGGGTGGTTTTAATTAAAAAAAAAAAAAGAAGAAGAATTGGAAGAAAGAGAGAGAGAGAGAGAGAGAGAGAGAGAGAGAGAGAGAGATGAAGAGAATAAGCATTTGAAAGAATCATGGCATGTCACTGATAAATTTTTTTAATCAATAAAGTATAGTATTAATTAATTAGATGAGATTTGTTGGTGTAATTAAATAAATAAAATTATGAACAATGGCATATGGTGGAGGCCATTTCTCCGATCAGCATCATATATTTCTTTGAGTGGGTTGCTCTGTATAACTATCATGCTTTCATATTCTTGTCTAGCTAGCTATTAATTTCTTTTGCTTTAATTTTTGTTCAATCGGGTATGATGAATACACTTACCTTTGCTTGAAATACAAAAAATATATATATATATATATTATACACCACACATAAAGTTAGATTTTATATAAATAAATCAATTAGACATTTTCTTTTCCTAAAAGAAACCATTTCTCACTTTTCCTTTACAGAGTAATTTGTTGATTGATTGATCTACACAATAGTATAACTAATAATAATGAAATAGGTGGATTTTATTTTATAGGGAAACAAAACAAAAGGCAGGCATGGCATTGGCAACAACAAAGTCTATGTCGGTGGTAAAGTAGGGAGGGACCCACATCACAAACGACAATCATTGCCATCATAAGGGCCCACTCTCCAACTTTTGATTTGAAAAATTGCTGCCGTGGCCTACTTTTCCAACCACCCCTTTTCCCAGATGAAATTTTTGTGGGCCCCCGTCTGGATGCTTTCCAGGTAGGAGTATCGTGACACTATCCCCATCTTTCTTCCCTCTGATTTGCCACGCATGATCGCAATCGTTCATCTCATAATGTCCTCCTATAAAGCCACCACCTCCTCCTTCCTTTTTACCAAAACACCCTCGGATAGTCCCATGCCCATCAGAGTTCCAAGGCTAACTTCTTCAAAGTTTACCGTGACTTTATGTTCTTGCAACTACAAGTGCTACTACTAGTAATAATAAGGACCCACGAAAGAGTCTGAGCTGTCTTACAAATTCGAACAGGTTACATGTCGTATTCGATGCCTGGGACAACCTAAGACTAGTGTTTGGTATTTTTACCCGTTACTGATTATTGCCGATCCTGGAAAACGTTTGGTGTGAGCGGCCCACATAGGTGCTTTGATTGATGTGATATCGGTCATTTTCATGGGTTAGGGCTGGTTAATATTCTTTGAGATTCTTGTTGCGTTTCAAAATGCTGTCCCTCTTGGCAAAAGACCCTGTGGCTTTGAAAAAGCACCGAGGACGAGTGGCCATCGACATCATCGATGCTCAAAGTTAATGGCAGTGAAATTGGATGATAAAGCGAAGCACTAGTTACATGCTTTTTGTTAACAGTTGGAAAAAAACAAAAAAAAAAGGCACCAAAACCTTCATCAGTCAAATTATTTCCCTCTCGGCTGCTCAAAGGGTTAATTTAAACTAATCGGCCTAGACTGGGCCAAGAAAAAGAATTATGGCCATTACCTTTTTGAAAAATGACTTGACGACAAGGCGGTAAACAGATTTGGTTCTTTCTCTTCTTCTGGGGAGGGGGACGGGTACGCCTTTTTCTTTTTTTGATCAATTTTGCAATCAAGTTGGCCCGCTATAAAGGGCTCTGCTGGCGATGAAGAGAGCCTTTGACAGGTTCTAGGCCAACAAGGTATAAAAAATAGCTCCAGTTTCGGGCCACCAGTAAAAAGTCAGCCTAATGCAATAATGTCTTGAGTCTAGAAGAATTCAGACAATATGACGATGCTTACTAGTTAGTTATAAATTTCCTTAAAATTCACAAAGGCGAAAAAACATAATAAGAACTAAACAGTAGGAAATAAATGATCCAATCAATGGTCCTCTTTGCTTTACGAGCATTCTCTATATCTCCTTTTTTATCCCACAGAACAAAAAAAAAAAAAAAGTGCAAAAGTCTTCCTCGACAGTAGGTTTGGCAAACAAAGATTCGACATAAATTAATAAGCCATACAAATAGGACGGTGTGAATTTTCTTCTTGCTTCTCGTTGAACTGGAATATAAACTAAAGCCTACACATGGTTTCTACAGGTATTTCATCTTTTAGAGTTCAGTAAGCTTGTCAGATGAAAACTTCAATTGAACCATACCTTTGTGACAGCTGTTTATATGCTCCTGATGTTCACCTAATGAGTTTTTTCAACACTACTTCAGCCCGATGCTCAAATTTAGGGAGTGCCCATTCATGCTGGACAATGTCAAGACCGTCTTTCTCAGCACTCAGGCTCTGCCAAGAATGAAAATTAAAGAATTAGGAGGCATGCAAGGTCGAGAAATAAAAATAGCAAACCCACAAGTGAGCCTTAACTTGTAAAAGTTAAGAAATAAACAAGGATTTTTTAATTTGAAATTTCTTTTCAAGATGCTTTACAAATTTAAACCATATATCAACCAAATAAAAAATACAATGCCTTCCACAATACCGCTACTATCACCAAAATAACAGTTTGGTTGATCTTCATTGAACTAAATTTGCATGCAGTTATTATCATTTTGTGATCAATTTGGCCACATAGCAAAGTAAAAGGGAAGGGGGGCACAACCAGGAGACAGTGAGGAAAAGCATTGGCTGAAATTCCTATCCAAAGATTCTCAACAGGTAAATATCAAATCCCAAAAGCATGAGAGGTTTCTAAAGTTATGAAGAAAAACTAAGCCCTCGCCTAAAAAGTCGGATACTCATAATAATGCCTCAAAAAGAAAGGGCAAACATAAATTTTCAATGAATGAATAGAACTCAGTTATGATGAAGAGCCCCCACATACACATCAGTGCAAGCCTCTTTGACTCTGGCAACCCAAGCTGCACGGACATTAGAAGAACAAAAGATTGTGGCAGCACAATAGAGGGTAGTGGCGCTGATGGTGGCAATGTTGGGTCCATCATTGTGGGAATGGAATGCCCACTTCCCCATCTGAACAATTTTCTAATTGACAAGCTAGTATTGCCGCCAACCTCAAATAATAAACAAACAACTGGCCAGCCCATGGCAATAGCAATCATATTTCCCTTGGCAAAAAGGCTTAACATCCACTTGTCTCCCACATTTTAGGATGACAATAATAGATGTTATCCACAAGCCATTCTCCTACGAGATCTAAACAAAGAACTCCTTGTCAATAAAAAAATTGGCAAATGGATACAATAGCTAACATCTTTGGCCTCCACAATCTTGTGGCAAAGGAGGCTATACAAGTTACATGCTCAAGAACTGAGTCAAATCAACAAAATGACTTGGGGACGAGTAGAAGATATTGTCATAAATGTGTGTGTGTGTGTGTGTGTGTGTGCATATATATATGTAAAAGGCTGCAACCACTTGTTGCCTGTAAGACCAATTAAATTCTACGCACAAGGATTCTCTGGAAAGCAAACCACTCAAGTTCTGTGGCTGCTGCCTATAAGAACTATAATGCCCACTCATACCATTTAAGGCGTCATTCTAAACTTATCAGCTGAGAAAACCCTAACAAATCTACTTAAGTCGGTGCAAAATGATTTCAATTAGCATAAGACCAAAGTGTTAATAACATAAGTCTCAAATGAAATAAATTAAGCTAATTTGCTTCCTACACATGTTACTTAAGGAAAAAAATCTCCATTAGAGATAAAGAACAGGTTTATGAGGAATATAAGACCATGTAAAATTATATTAGACATGTGAAACTTGTAAGACTTCTTGAGCCTGCAACACCCAATGAAGAACAGATTGAATTAATACCTTTGTTGGATCAAAGCCAAATCCACTCATCTGCATCATACGCTGTGTATCATCCATTGCTGCAAAAAATAAAAAATAAAAAATCACAATTTACATGATGAAACCCTACAAATAGATGATAAATCCAAGAACCAGAGGAAGTGCAGATGGCAATCTAATATAAAAGATAACAGGAATTTCATGATCCAATACTAACCATTTTCCTCTCCTAGAATCAAACTAAATAAACCCCTCAAACCAAACAAATTGAGGAAATACCTGGAAATGAAAGAATTTGTCAACAATTGGTAATATTAAGACAAGATAGTCCTTGAAAAATTGAAGAGCTCAGAGAGAAAAATCAATTAAAAGAACTCATATGAAAAGCTTCTTGCATACAAAATTAAAACAGTACCATGAGCGGCTACTAACATAGCTCACATCAACTGTGCTAAGGTCAATTCCATTCTGCAACATTGATCTGAACCTTTGAGTCAATGGGAAGGGTATTTTGGCTGCAAGAGAGAAAGACAGCAAAATAGAAGAGGCAATCACATTTCCATTTACCAATAGTGCAATAACATCAATAAATAAAAATCTCAATAGCACTAATATGATCAGTTAAGTTAGAGTTTTGGCTTCAACACAACAAAAGATTGTGTCCATCACTGTGTCACAAAGAATGAAAAACAAAACAAATCCAAGCTAATAGGAAAGGGGTTAACTTTGGCAAATTCATAACATTAAACACATGGAACCAATTTCGTAAATAAATCTGCAAATTCAATCTCAAATGTAGCATTAAAAGAGATATACTCAGAAATCTTGGAAGTAAAACAGTAATAAAGAACCAGACCTGCAACAAATCCAGAGAAGAAAAAGTTGACCCATGCGAAAGTGAGAGTCTGACAGTAACAACAAGTTTACACAAAACAGTCAATTCTCTAACATGAGCAATAACACTAAAGCAGATGAACACTAGAGGTCCATGCACCATAAAAATACCTGAGGTATAATCATAGAGAGGTTTTTCTTCATCATGTCCATAGCCATGTTAGGGTCAGAGAACATTTGTGCTTGCGCATTTTGAGCCTGGCCCTTGGGGACAAACAGTAATCCATTTTCCTACAAAATGCAATAAAATTACGTTTAGTTTCTCCTATTCTAAGATGAATATATATGTAAATGGATTATTTTCATCAATTTAACTTGATTTTTAACACCCCGTTAAGCTTAATATCAGCTGTAATTCACAGCTTCTTGAATAGTTGCAATTTAATTCCAAAAAAATATATATAATAAATTGATGGAAGTCTAATTGCAAACACTTGATTATTTATGGTTAATGAGCAAGCGGCTAACAGTAGAATAAAGCTTTAAAAAAAAAAAACACAAAATTCGAAAATAAATAATTACTAGCATAAATATTGGTAATAGAAGTTTTAAAAGAAGAAGAAGAAAAGGCAAACCTCATTGTTGAAATAAACCCTACGAGAGCGAAACGACTTGGGAGGGATAAAATTAGCACCAGCTCGCAAATTCCGAGCCCTAACAATTACTTGCCTGAAAATAGAAATTCGAAAATCAATGAATCTGATACCTATGTATATTTATCGAAAATTAAAAAAAAAAAAAAAAAAACAAAGAGTTGTGAGAGACGTGCCCTTCCTTGACGATCTTAAGATCGGGAACTTGAGAGGAGCGCATAAGCTTGGAGACAAAGTAGCGGAGGATGCCGATGAGGACCATCACCACTGATAGAGGTATCAGCACCCAATCCCTGATCGCCGTGTCGAGCACCAGATCTTCCGCCATCGCTCTTTTGCACCTGCGAGGGAAACGAAGACTTTGGCTTCTGTTTTCTCTCTACTTTTGCTAGTGTCGTATCGCTTATGTGGTTTTTCTTCGTTTCGATTGGCCCCTCCGCCTCAATGATGCCGTTTATTACTATTATTATTATTATTATTATTATTATTATTTTATATCGGTTGTTCAGTCATTCACTGATTTACCAGCATCATGCACTTATGATTCTGCCCAAATGTTTAAAAAATATATAATATGGCCCCACAACTTTTAATCTATATAAAAAGTTTAACCAAATTATCCTCTTAAGATTTTTTTGCATGTATATATTAAATTGTAATAGTTATAATAAAAAATCATTAGACTTTAAAAAAAAAAAATGTATGATATTCCCAATCTCACTTTTCCTTGCATTTTAAATCTATAATTATTACATATATATATATATATATATATATATTATAGACAACTAAAAGCTGAACTGTAACTTGTGTATAAACTACGAAGTCAACCTTTTCCTTATTAAGCTAAAATGAATTTATTTAATTAAATTATTTCCTAGTATGCACACTAGGGATTCATGGTTTTATTTTAAAGAAAAGAAAAAAAGCAAAAGTAACTAAATTTTAGATCCTAACACTCGAAATTATGTAAAATATATATATATCCAATATATTGATATTCCAACTTTTAGATTTTACAAGCAAAGTTAAAAAGAATAACATATGTCCTTAAAAATATATTAAAAAATTTTTAAAAAAAATTTACATAGACATCATATTAAATGTTAACTCAACTATGTAACTCAATGCATATTATTATCCTTCTGCCTGACAAGTTAAAACAACTTATATTTCCATTACAACTTCCTCCAGTTTAGTTTGATGTTAGCATCGAAAGACAGGTCAACAACAAAATAAACAAGTACACCTACATTCAGGCTAAAGGCATAACTACAAAATATCCCCTTGCTACATTTTCATTCTGACCATAAACAAGCAACTTGTGTAAAGCTTCTCATCTAAAGAAGTCAATGCACAAAAAAAAAAAAAAATTAAACAACATTAAAGAACAAGTAGAAAAGAGAACGGTCTTCACTATTCTGTTCTACCGTCAGAGATAACCGGGTTACCAAGGTCCCATGCCCCCTGCCTGAAACAAGATAGAACCATATTATTAAAAAGCATAGACAGGACCTAGCGTAAAAGCCTATTGACTGATTAAAAAAAGTACCAAAATTAATATTTACGAACAGATCACTGGAAATGACAGAAAGATGCAAAAAGAGCTTGCATAAAATAAACTTATTAAGAGGAGTTCCAAAAACAAACAAACTCACAAATACTATATATTTAAATCACATGATCACACAAATCAACAGCTACTTAAAAAAGAGGAAATGTCAAATTAACTAAAAATGTCATGACTAACTGGGTTCATCTAATTATGATATCTAAAACAATAACAAGGCAACAACAATAAACTGTTCTATTGTTATTTGGGTGGGAGGAAAACACCAGCAGAGTGGAGCCAGACATCATAACAAAAGAAAAGCAAATGATAAGGATACAAGTAGTAAGGTAGAGAAGAAATGATCCTACGATCTAGGCGTCCATTAATTTAGATGCATTTTGCATTTATACTGACCAGTCAACACTACCAGATCTCAGGAGTTCTTAAATAAATGATGACGTAGTAGTGTGTCACGTATCCCCATCACAGATATGCTTTCACATCCAAGAAGCTCACGAAGCTTAGCATCACACAGTACCACCATTGAATTTAATGGATCCTGAAACAATAGCAGAAAGCTCCTAGAAGATTAATACCATGTATTTCTTCCACTAGATCTGAATTACTGATAGTCTACCATTATAGCCACAAAAAATAAAACAAAATAATACCAATAAAATCACAAATAATTCAGAGAAACAGAAGAAACTCCCTAAATTTAAGCCAAACAACCTTTATATGGGGGAAAAAGGCAGTTGAAACATGAGAAGATATGCTAGAGAACATAGAAAAGTATTTAAGCTGCTAAAGTAAACCTAAAGTTTAATGGGAAGAGTTGCACAAACTTGTGCCCCAGCCACCAACCTCCAGGTGGTTAATCTTTATGTACTCCCAAACACGTTTTTCAGCCTCAGCCGCTAGTATATCCCTTCCTCCACCCAAAAACTTGGCAAGCGCTTCAGATATTGTTACAGGATTGGGACTTGGCTCAACACCCTCAGTTGTGGGCTCAACATTTACTTTCACTCGTTTAGTTTGACTGGACTCCTCTGCAAGGATTAGCAAGATTATTAATCTAATGAAGCAAGCATCAAATCCAACTCATCATAGAACAAGATTGCACATATCCACACATACTTGAAGGCTCAAGTGGGCTAATATGTTTTGCCAGCAGTTTGTTCATCTTGAACATGTCAGTGCAGTCGGTCTCAAACACCAAGCGTAAGGCATCATCACAAATTATCTTTCTCTTGTTACTTGGATCTTGCAGGCTATTCTTCCTTATATATGCCCACAGCTGCTTGACAATCTAAATCAAACAGAGTAGACATCATAGAATAGTAATATCCATACATGAAAAATTCCTTTAGAACGTTGCTAACTAAAAAATTATAGTAATCTGGGTTGATCTGGGGAAACCAACCTCAGTCCTTGGCAAAGCTGGCTCACCAACTATGGCTTGAAGTGCTGGTGAAACACTACAAACTTTGTTCAGGCCCCCTGGTCCACCTCTTCTTTTGGCTCCCACCGGAGCACTGCAATAATATTATAAAACATACAAATACTTCAGTCCATGATGAAGCTTATAACCCGCATTCCACAATGTGATAAAACATTATGGACCAACAGACGAATTCACATCATGATGCATAGAATATTAGTAAAGCTGACTATAAATCTAATAAAAACACATATATGCCAGCATAGGCAATGCATAATTGCACACTATCTTATCACCCCAAAGAACATAGCCAACAACTGACCAGGATATTCAAATTCGTTCAGGTAATCTAAAATCCACAAGAATTTAAATAAAAAAAAAAATGATGATTCTCTCTTAACAATTAAGAAGAGAAAGCCAGCGATTGAGTTGCTTTGAAGCTTAGTTTCATAATGTGCACCAACTCAGCACTGTGAACTACTAACAGAATTGGTAAAAGCTTGAAACTTTCTCATGACCTTCATGGTTCTAATCCCATTAATCTAAACCCAAAATCCCTAAAAGGGGAAAAATTAAAATAAAACCCTAACTTCGCATTCCTAAACTCTTGGGCTGGAAAACCCTAACTTCAGTTGCAGAAAACATCGGAAAAAGGCCTAACGCCCAAGTTAGAAAAAAAGATGACAAACCTTTCTTTAGGCACTTCTGTGGTGGCAACGGTGGCGGCATTTTGGGAGAAAACTTCGGCTTTCGTGACAGCCGGCTGCGGCTGCAGCTGTTGCTGTTGCTGTTGCTGCTGCAATTGGGGTTGAACCTGCGCCAGTTGTTGAGCAGTAAACGGAGCATGCGGCTGCGGGTGACGCTGCAGAGGGTGCTGGCGGAAGTTAAGGTCGTGGGAAGGGATTTGTGAGTGATGTTGGAGGGCAAAATGGGGAGGAAGTTGTTGGTGTTGATGCGAAGGGAATTGTGGATAATGTTGGAGGGTAAAATGGTCCTTTGGAGGGGGTTGAGTCTGGGTTTGTTGGGGGCGGAGGAGGAGGTTGATCTGATCCCTGATGAAGCCAGCTTTATGGGAGAGGTCGAGCCCTAGCTTGGCTTCCAGCTGCTGCACGACACCGTTTAAGGTGGTGATGGAGTTGGGATCGGCCTGCCGGAGCAAGGCCTCCACCCCTCTTGCTATTTCTTGGTCCGACACCATGCTTCCTCCTTCATATAATACTTAAACTGAAAAAACGGACACACAAAAGAAACGTCTCTCTCTTTCTCTCTCTTTCTCTCTCTACTTCTCTTCCTCCTGCCCTGCTCTCTCTTTCTCTCTCTACCCGTCTCTGTCTATATTCATTAAATGACGAAAAGGTCCCTCCTGCTCAACATTTGTTCAAATTTTTCCGTGAAAAGACGCTGGTGCCCTTATTATAGCCGTTCCAAAGGAAGGTTGTTGGGGAAGAAATGCACTTCAACGAAGTTGGTCCTTTCCCTCGCTTTAAAATGCCCTGGAATGACAAAACCCGCCTTTCTATATTCTTGTTTTATAAGAACAAGGCAAAGGTGAACTAAGGGTAAACATGTAACTTCGCCTAATGTTGCAGGAGGCATCTGAACAGAACTGGCAAATTACCATAATTAACCCGATGGCCGGGCGGGTTACAACAGAAAAGGAGGTTGTTCAATGAAGTAGATGAGAGTTTCTGCTATTTCTTGTGTTTTGACCTGAATTGTTGGATAAGAATTTAGTGAGGTGGGTCAACAACTGTAGAATGTTGTTGAGGAGATGGCCTGGCACTCTGGCAGGCAGACGAAAATGGGTTGATCCAAGGGCTGAGAATTCTTTATTTATCTTATTCATTTATATGTTAAGGACACCCATATTTTCCTCTGTAATCCTTTACTTAAGACCATTCATATTTTTAGCAAGGAAAATATAATATACAAGAATGTCAAATGGCACCACATAATTAGGAACTACAAGAAAACAGACTTTAATTTCTTTGTTTGTTATGGTTTCCACATTGATGAAATGATGGATTTCATCTTAGGAGACTTGTGAACTATCCCAAGTTTTTATTAATTATCTATATATAGATATATATACACACACTATGAAAAGAAAAAAAAAAACTCACATTGAGTTAAAATTACTTAATTTTTTTTTAGAATTTTATTATGTTTCATATTGCAATTCATTCATAGATAAAAAAAAGTGTGTATCTTATGTTACATCATTAATCATCATTCAATAACTTTTTGCATGACCAATTTCTTCACTTGGATTTTATGTTCACCATGGCCATCCACATAATTTCACATTCATCGGTCAATTTCATTTAATTACATCTACTTCATGCTTGAGATTTCACATTATCAATTTTGGATTAATTTGAAATTTTACATGTATTATTTGTCTGAATATAAAAGCATAAAATTTAACTACTATAAAGAGATACAAAATCAACAACTATTACACTAATAAAATTATATAAACTAGCTATGCTTCAAATTATTGCATAAATAATACATTTTGTAAATGAATTGATAAGAAGTAAACAAAAATTCTTACTAAGGAATTTCAAATATAAAACCTCTTTTTTTTTTTTTTTGAGGATGATCAATGTTATTATCAATAAAATGTAGCAAGAGAAAATGTATTTAATCAAAAATAAATAAATGTTTCTTGTTGATTGGAAACATACATATGCATCATATGTTATAGAAAGATGAGTTTGACAAAGACAACTGCTTTACAACTTTTAAAAGTGGATGGAACTTGGATTACTTCAATTTTTTTTCTTTTTTTTTTTTTTGGCTTTATCCTTTTTTTTTTATTATTCTGGATTACTTCATGTTTTGGCTGCTAAGAAATGAATAAAGATTTTGGTTAGGCAGGTTGGAACTTGAAAGTCTATCATGTTTGTAGCTGATAGTTTGATTATTAGAATGAATAATCACAAAGCTAGATATTGACAGCAATCAACTAGTAGCAGTCAATGAATTTGTACATTTATTCTATTTGTTGTCCGGTCCTTCATGTAATTACTTGATGAGCTTCAAAGTATGATTCTTTTCATGTTTAATGATGCATTTTTCGTGATTTAGACTTATCTTTGCCATGTGTATGGTTGCAGGAGCAAGCTAGAAAAGCATTAGAAGTGCAATGATTCTTTTCATGTTTAATGATGCATTTTCCTGATTTAGACTTATCTTTGCCATGTGTACGGTTGCAGGAACAAGCTGGAAAAGCATTAGAAAGTGCACTTGGCGGAAAGAAAAATGAATTTGAGAAGTGGAGCAAAGAAATTAAAAGAAGAGAGGAAGCAGGTGGTGGAGGTTGGTTTGGATGGGGTGGAAGATTCGGTTGGTATAATGGTGACTATTTTTGGCAAGAAGCTCAACAATCAAGTCTAGCCGTTCTGGGTATTATTGTCATGGTATGATGTTTAGTTTTCCATTTTGAAATGGGTTTACACATCATTATGAATAAGCAGACCCTGTCCCCATCCCTGCTACTCAATTAGTTTTGGGCGGGCACATGACATTGTTCTTTGTTGCATTTGCTAGTATCTTATAATTGCAAAGGGCGAAGTGTTGCTGGCTGTCATCTTCAATCCATTGCTTTATGCTTTGCGAGGAACAAGAGATGGTTTCACCTATGTAACATCAAGAATCCAGGGAAATAGATATGCAGATGTTCCTACTGATTCTAATATGTTTAAGAAGGAAGCATATAGTCATGTTTCTGCTGAAAGTGTTTCGAAAAAATGGGGAAGCAATTGAAATTTTCTTACAGGTTTGGACATCACCTCATTGTTCATGTCACTTGTGTGGCGATGGTTATTGCATTTGAATTTTAGTATCCAGAAATACCTTTTGTGAAACTTAACGAATGGGATGGAAGTCGAAATGTTTATAAGAATTTATGCGTTTCTTCTCTTTACTGAATTCACTGGATTTCTGAAATTTAAACTCTTCAGTCACAGGTTTTTGAAGATCAGTTTTACCTTCCTATCAGCACTTTAAAAAACATTGAAATGGGCTCAGAATTCTCCTCTTAGTTTCTGTCCACCTTCTGTAGACACTTAAGGGTTGTCTTTTCAAGATTCATTGTATGAAAATTAAATTTGTTCGTTCTTTTGGCAGAGTTACTATTTGAATTCCTTGTCAACGCATCACTTTGAAACATAGAACTGAGATAATTTGTTGAGATTGCTTTCAACATAGTCACTTAAACTAGAACATAAGGGCAGATTCATGTTAATTGTGTAAAACATGCTGAAATACAGCACTCTTTTACCCAAAATTCTCTTGGTATTTTGTATTTGATTACTTGAGCATAGCTCATGACTAACCTACCAAATTGTGACTATCAATTCCATTCCTGATTGTTTCTGAACATCCTGTAAATCTTGCTCAAATCAAAACTCTGCAATGTCTGTTTTATATTCAGAGAATTGTTTATGATTTCAGCCATTCTAGTCTTGGGCCCTTGGTTGCTTTTAGAACTTAAAACGGGATGGAGGACCATGATAGTTATTTCACCATGATTCAAGCTGTGATTCCCCATGTTTCATTGTTAGAGCTAGGACTTACCTCATGATTGAGGCTATTGCAGTTATGGCCTGTTCGCCATTCTTAAGTTGACATGGACTACTGGTAGACCACCGATGTTAATGCATCCACCATCTAGAATTTTAGCTGAGGGAAGCATGGAGTAAGACAGTTGGGTAAAAATACCGTATCACATTTAAGCAAGTTAGTTGTGTTCTACATAAAATCTATTATGGTGTCAGAACCCCGTCCCTCTTGGTCGAACTGTCTTACTTTGGTAGTGGAGAGAGCAGAGAGATTCTTTGCCCAACAATAATTTATACATTATAAAGTGGGTCTTTTTCAGGAACAATGCATGATAGATTCTGCTGTTGATTGTTTGTTTCAATAATAAATTAAATTACATGATGCAGGAGCATTTTCGCGTGAATCAGGCGTAATCATTCTGCGGGTCCTTTCAATTAATCCCCCCATTCATCAATTATTCCATTAACCTCCATAAACTCTAACAACTTGAAATTGAGATCGATATTTCAAAATTGAAAGTATTAACTCTTTAAGGGTGTGAAATATTATTGGGAATGGATTCAAATTTTCCTTGAAACTCTTGTCCTTGTACTAGTGTCAAAGAACCGGTACTCTAAACTGAAGCCATGGAAGCACCTTTGACAACTTATCCGAAGGGTTGCAACTTGCAAATACATGTAATTCAGAAGGACTAGTGAGAGACTCAAAGTTGATTCAGCGTACGCAAAAGCCTGAAACTGAATCTCTACTTACATCCGAGGTAAAACAAAGGGCGCATAGCATACGCTATGCATAAACCCTCCCAATTCTAAGCATATTTTTTCCTCGTTCTAACCATTATATCCGTGAGAAGAGGTCAAAAGGCATCTATCATCCACCCAATCGTAGGCTGTCTCTCTTTCTCTTTCTCTATTTGTTTATTGTGTGCCCTGTTAAATAAGAAACTAATTTAAAAGCCCCTCCTCGAATCGTGACCTTCGTGGAAGCTAGTGCAGGACTGACCTTCACGATCTCGCCGTACCTCTCTCTTATTTTCGTTTCATGATATATAATTTCGGATCACAACATGACCGCTTCCTCGAGTGTTTGAACTTTCCTCAACAACCCATCTCTCTCCTTCTTGCTATCCATCCTCTCTTTCGTTTTTTTTGGTGTCTTTCTCTTGTTTGAAGGGTTATCCTACTCCTTTGGTAGGTTTTCTTAATATTTGGTTTCTGCTAACCTTTCTGGTTTTCTTTGACCCAATATACATATTTTAATACTATTTGGGGTTCCCTCATCTTTTGTTGTTTTCTTCTGAGATTCTTACTAGGGGTTTCTTTCGCTTCTCTTTTCTGTTCTTTAGCGTTTTGGCTAACTTTGTTAGTAACTACTATTATATTTTCAGTCAGTGAGTTTAGCCTTTTTCTATTGAACTAGCTCTTTTACTGTTGGCCGTTAATGGGGTGTTGATGTCTCTGGCGGTTGGTGAGGATTCAAGTTCCGAAAGCATGGGTTTTGACCAGGACGGGGGAGATGATACTGAAGTTTCTGAGACAAAACCAGCATCAAAGATGCCTCCAAACGAAGATAACGTTGAAGAAATTCACCCTGGAATCAGTAAAAACGCAAGCGAGAGTTCTCTTTGTCCAACTGAAGAAGAAGATGATGACGAAGAGAGGAAGATTGAGTTGGGCCCTCAGTGCACCCTTAAAGAACAATTAGAAAAGGATAAGGTTGGTTGGTTTGTCTCTTTGTTCATATTTCAGTTTCAGTTTCAGTTTCAGTTTCAGTTCTTTTCTTTCTTTTTTTTTAATTTTTTTTTTCTATTCCTCTGTCTTTTATTTTTGGTATCTACTTCTCTTTCTTTTCTTTGATATATTGTTAATGTCTAATCTTCTCTGTTTTCTGGTGGAATTTGATGATTCAGGATGATGAGAGCTTGAGGAGGTGGAAGGAACAACTTCTTGGGACTGTGGATTTCGAGTCCGTTGGAGGTTTGAGTTCTTTCATTACATCTCTCTCGTCTTTTATTTCTATTCTTTGAAACATGAGGATTTCTTTGCCACTTGATGAAAAGTGAGATTCCCCCACTTGATGAAAACTAAGAAAGGTTCCAATGAACTGGCTTTCTTTGTATCCTGACATTTTCTTCTGTTGTTTATGATGGTATAGAAAATCTGGAACCAGAGGTTAAGATCCTGAGCCTTGCAATCAAATCACCTGGTAGACCTGATATGGTGCTTCCAATTCCAGAGGACGGAAATCCCAAAGGTTTGTGGTTTACCTTAAAAGAAGGTAGCAAATACAGCCTGCAATTCGCATTCCAAGTGAGCAACAACATTGTATCTGGCCTCAGGTACACTAATACGGTTTGGAAAACTGGTGTCAAGGGTAATTCCTCTTTTTCTCTCTCTTGTTCATATGAAAGAATTATTCTTTTTATCTAACCTTTAGGTTCAATGTTCTTCACCATGAATTCTTGTAGTGGATAGCGCGAAAGAGATGATTGGAACCTTCAGTCCCCAGGCAGAGCCATACACACATGAAATATGTGAAGAAACAACTCCATCTGGAATTTTTGCTAGAGGAAATTATTCAGCTAGAAGTAAGGTAAAATTGACAATAGTTCTATTGTTTCATTATCCTTTTTACACCATAATTTCACCAAATGATTTATAAGGGGAGAAAATGCAAAAGCATTTTAACCGGTTCATGGATATCCTCTTGTAATTCTGTAGGCCATGCTGTCGTTTTCTTTGATAATAGAAAAAAAAAGAAAGAGGAAACACATTATATTTGAATCCAATTTCACTCTCAGTCGGTATTTATTATGTCACCAACTAGAGTAATGGCCTTATGTGTAAGAATTAATATACTGATAAGGATCCCATTAATGAGTTGTCAGGATCCATGTTTGATAAGCCAGACTTCGAGATTCAAATTTGTGGGTCATATGATGTTATAGACATGAAATGGTGGATAACTTTTGTATTATAAGCCTTACCGATTTCATTTCCATTACTCTTTTCTCTATTTGCAGTTTGCCGACGATGACAATAAGTGCTACTTGGAGATTAACTATACTTTTGACATCCGTAAAGAATGGCAATTATAGACTAGTAGACTACGTTCCAATTTCCAGTGTCATTGCTTTGCTTTGAGTGTCCATTGTTTGCCAAGTCTCCTTTAGATGTGACCATAGTTGATTTTCGTTGTTCTTATTTGCCATCCATATCCTGTGTGAGACTGATCATCTACACAATGAAGAGAGTTGATCAAAATTTTCTGTTTTCCCTGTTGAAGTTAGACATTCATTCAGTAGGAATCAATTAATAAAAAGTTAAGCTGTTGACCTTCCTTCCAGGTTGATCACTTGGGAACCGCATTGTGTTAAGCTTTAATCTTTATACCTGCCATTGGAATTACCAGATTTGTAATGGACAATGGAAAGTTGAAACTTTAAAGGCTTCCTTCCATAATTGCATCTTTCTTTTTTTTTTTTTCCTTCATTGTGAAAGTTAAAGTTAGCCAAAGTATGTTCCTTTAGCTTTATTTTGTACCATCTTTTTTATGGCAAGTTGGCAACCAATTACTTTCTTTCTTTTCTTTTCCAATGGTTTCACACTTTCAATTGACACCCAAAATCTCCGGCCTGTCATATTGGTGTGAATGTGGGGTTCGAGATGTTAAAATTTGGAGCATAGAGGCGATAACTATGGTAGAACCAAGCATTTCATAGCCTAATCTAAATGGGGGTTATACAATTTTCAAGTCTTAATCAAAATCTATATATATGTATTTTTAATTTTTATCAACTTAAATATGTCTTTTATTATTTTTTAAGTCTCTTTAATTATTGATCTTTAGATCAACCAATAATTATTAAATTGGCGTTTAAATATTACGAATTTAAGGAAGTTTATATATGTAATTTTTTTTCAATCATATCAATAATAAGATTGAAAATTTTAAAGATAGATTATGAGCTAAACAAAAAAGAAAAAAAGGTAATCCTCTTTCGTTCCTTTCATTCAACTATTTAACAAAGACTTGGTTTCAAAATCCTTTGCCCTTTAGATTTTGAAATTTTAAGGGTGCCCAAAGCCCAATCCCCAACCTATAGAGTAACACAATTTAGAGGCCTAATTTAAAACGGGCCTAAGCTTCAATTTTTTCTCAATAGGGTTGGATTGGACAATCAAGTTTCTTTCAACACCGGATCTTACCGCCTTAGAAGAGCAACTCTGTTATTTTACCCTCTACTCTCTTGTGGATGTGTCCTTAAAATATCGACGGCCGGCGACAATTTGCAGTAGATGATTAACTTGAGCTTTTCCTTCTGAGTGGAAAATCCTCTATCAAGTTCGCCAGTAAACTCTTTTTTGTAAGCTATTTATTTTTGTTAATCTATAGTATTTTTTCCGTTGCCGATATCTCCTTATATATCCCTTCCTTTATAAGAACCCTAGATAGTTGGCTATGGATTTTCTCGCTTTTATTTTCTCATCATCCAAAAGGAACAGTTTTTTTTTTCATTTATTTTAGGTAAATAAATGCAATGGAAGATATTAGGAGAATTTAATTTAATTGATGAAAGGTATTGTGTTATATTAGCGGAAAACGAGAGAGTTAAAGAGGGGAAAAGGATGAAAACAAATAGGAAAGATGGTGATAGCGTATATGGGGAAGGGGACTCGAAAAGGCAGAGGATTGTGGATTCGCCATCTTCACCTTCTGAAGAACCACTGGTGCCTTACAATGATGATGAAGATGATGAAAGGAGGGCACTGAGTCACATCGGCGGTGGAGAAGAGGATGGTCATAGATTTGAAACTGAAGAAGATGACGATGATGATGATCCATTTGGGCAAGGGTCAGTTCTAGAAAAAACAAATCGCCAGGTTGAAGTACGAAGAGACTGCCCTTACCTTGATACTGTTAACCGCCAGGTAAATAACTTTTAAGTGTTGAAATTTGAATGGGTATGTAAATTGTCAATTACTTGGTTTTATTTTTTCTTTTAAGATTTGGTAAATGATTATTAAGTTCTGTTTTACAGGTGCTGGATTTTGATTTTGAGAAGTTTTGTTCGGTCTCTTTGTCGAATTTGAATGTGTATGCGTGTCTGGTCTGTGGAAAGTATTACCAAGGAAGAGGGAAGAAGTCCCATGCTTACACTCACAGTCTAGAAGCAGGACATCATGTCTACATCAATCTTCGAACAGAGAAGGTGTATTGTCTCCCTGATGGGTATGAAATTAATGACCCATCATTAGATGATATACGCCATGTTCTTAACCCAAGGTTTGCTCATATCTCACTTGACTGCTTTTACTTGCCCCTTCCCTTTTCCTATTCTTTCGTATCGTCCCTTAAGCTTACTTTGTCCTTTGCACATGCATGCATATGTGCATTTGCATCATATCATTTTCCGGATATCCAGCTTGTATGAAGTTTGTGCCATAACGTACTGTGGGTTATCTAGCTTTCATAAATTTCACGTTTTCTTTAGAGCTTTTAGTTAACAAGTTAAAAAGATTAGTGATCTAGATTACCCTTTATTGGTTGATATTTGCATATGATTTTCTTTAAAAAAATTTTCAATTTTCCATTGGTAATAAGAGGTCTTCACTTTCTAGAACTTACAGTTTTTTCTTGGGCCCCATATTTGCAGGTTTTCCAGAGAACAAGTTGAACGACTTGACAAGACCAAGCAATGGTCTAGAGCACTTGATGGTTCAGATTACCTTCCAGGAATGGTAATAATCTTTGTTCTTAAATTCAAGGGCACATACTTAAGATAAGTGTTTAAAATTTTTCCTTCTTTTGTGTTAGATATATCATTATTTGTGCAAATCTTCAGGTGGGGCTGAATAATATTCAAAAAACTGATTTTGTCAACGTCACCATTCAATCTTTAATGAGAGTTACTCCCTTGAGGAACTTTTTCCTTATCCCTGAAAATTACCAGCACTGTAGATCTCCACTTGTTCATCGATTTGGAGAACTGACACGGAAGATTTGGCATGCTCGAAACTTTAAAGGACAGGTTAGATCATGCTTATATTAGTGCAAGATTGTTATTCTGGAACACATTGGATTGATGGTTTTTCAAATTACATGTGTCAACAGGTGAGCCCTCACGAGTTTCTACAGGCAGTTATGAAAGCCAGTAAAAAACGGTTTCGAATAGGTGCGCAGTCTGAGCCAGTTGAATTCATGTCATGGCTTCTTAATACGCTGCATGCAGATCTTAGAACTTCTAAGAAAAGTAGCAGCATCATCCATAAGTGCTTTCAGGTTCTAATTAAAACCTTGCTATCATTATTTCATGTTTTGACATCTTGTTTAAGCTGGTTTATTGTGCTTAATTTACACTTTGGTATTAATAGGGGGAATTGGAGGTTGTAAAAGATACACAGAACAAAGCTATCAGTGAGAAGAAAGAAAGTGGTGGGGAACAGAATGGAGCTCTGAAGATTACTGATGGTGTAATTGAGAATAATAACATTGCTGCTGAAACTTACAGAATGCCCTTTCTGATGCTTGGATTAGATTTGCCAGAACCACCTCTTTTCAAAGATGTGATGGAGAAAAATATAATACCTCAGGTATTTTGCGTGCTTTGTGGGTTTTTTTTCCTTCTGATTATGGACACGGGTGGGAAGGTATTAAAAGAACATTGCTTGCTAGCTTCAATGAGGGTGGTTCCTTGCATGATTCAATTGCGAACAAATATGTTCATAAGATCAAAATTTATTATATTTTTTCCGCTTTTTACCACTATTTAAGTTCTCTTATACCCTCCTCCACACTCCTTTCTTCCATGATACACACGTTGAGTGGCTTTATAATGGGTACTAAACATGCAAAAACAACACAGTTAAACCCATATTCATCAGATTAACAGATGTCATTGGCGCTTGCGACCTGTAATATATAAACCCCTTTATCAGGTTTTTGGATAGGGTACTTTAAGTCTAGATGATAATTTAGATGACATGTACTAAACGCAAGTTATGAATAGAAAGAGAAGCTTATGCAAATCAATGTTGATTGTTCATAAAAGCCAAATGTCTTTTGATACCAAAAATAGTCTTTAAATGTTTTTTGCTGCTCTGTTGATCAGACAGAAAGAAGGAAAATGCTCTTATGAAATAAACTTGGCGTGGGCAACCAACTAGGGAATTTATGATTCCTGATTGCTTTTAGTGAATCAAGATTAACTTTATTTATGATTGTTTTAGGTTCCTTTGTTTAACATACTGAAGAAGTTTGATGGTGAGACTGTAACAACTACTGTTCGTCCTCCAGCAAGGATGAGATATAGGGTCACCAGATTGCCGCAGTACTTGATACTTCACATGCGCCGCTTTACTAAGAATAATTTCTTCAGAGAAAAGAACCCAACATTGGGTGAGTTCTATGTTCTTGGACATGAGAATTTGTTTGATCAATCTCTGGAATGTAATCATTATATCTCTTGGGACCTACCCTGGTTTTTGTCGCTTTATACTAATTTGTTAATGTTTATCTTTTGCAGTGAACTTTCCTGTGAAAAACCTAGAGTTGAAGGACTACATTCCTCTGCCAGCACCAACCAAAGAGAATGAAAGGCTGCGCACCAAGTATGATCTGATTGCTAATATTGTTCATGACGGTAAGCCTGATGAGGGGTTCTACAGGGTCTTCGTACAAAGAAAGTCGGAAGAACTATGGTAATTTTCTAAATAATTTTGCATTCATTTAACTGAAATGCTACAAATGGTGGATAATGCATCTGAGTTCATGTTTTGCAGGTATGAGATGCAGGATCTGCATGTTTCTGAAACACTTCCTCAGATGGTTGCATTATCTGAAGCTTATATGCAGATATATGAGCAGCAACAGTAGGATAGGAAATCCGATGAACTGATATTATTGGCGTATGATTACTTCTTGTTGTTGCCTTTAACAACACTCCTCCATAGTGTAACCCCTTTTTTTTATATTGCTATATTATTTTTTCTTTTAATTCTCTTGAATTTACAAATATTAATTAATACAAATATTGTAAATATTAAGGGTAACGAATCTAATGAGTAATTGACAACCAATAAAAATCTTATAAAACTTATGATAAATGCCTATTAACTTAGTTGTTGGGCTATGAAATTTGTACCCTAACCACAAATTCTTGACCCTTAAGCGGGCATTATCGGTCAAATTTGTCAAAACCAATTTCACCCGATAAATTTAGTTACAGTATAGAAGTACAAAATTCATGAATCGTGTGTTGGATTTTTCCTTCTTTTATTATGTTTAGGTGGATTTTCAGTTTTATTCGCGTTGTCGTAGCCTTGATCGCCTTTCCTAAAAAAATATATGTTGTTTTCTGCTTTCTCGATAGGTAAGATTTGAGTTGGACCTCGTGAAGACGCAGGGGAAGAAAATAGATAATGAGATGTTGTGCAAACCAAGGCATGGCAGCAACATTTAATGAGATAATTAAATGAAGAAAAGTTCTAGAGCAGCAAGCAATCCATACTAGAAAACGAGAGCTCGCATTCACACTTGTATTCGCATGCTTAGCTAGCTCTATAAAATTGACAATAGTTGAAAAGGAACGCCTGGAAATAGCCATAGACCCGGAAGAGTTAATGGAGGGGGAGAAGATGCCTACTTTAGCTCTAGGAATGATGATGGTACTGATGTTATGGTCGATACTTCTCCAGCTCTGGCGTGCCCGTCTAATGGCAGTGGATGTAAAGACTGCATCCTTGATCAGATGAAATACAGTTGTCCATCATGTGTGCCGCTTATTCGCTGCATGGCGCGGTGCTTGTGGGGTGGCACCTCCAGTTCAAACTGTATTAATCGCTGTGACTGCAATGGTGGGAAGCCAAGACTCTCTGACTGCAGGAAATGCATGTCACGGTGCAAATGCAGTTGTGTGGTTTGAATGAATCTCCATCCAAGTATGTTTGTATTAGTAGTGCCTTTCTATTGTAAAATACTCCCCTTAAAGTGTTCTGTTTCTTGAAAATTCTGTATTTGGTTCAGTGCCTAAATTGCATGAAGTTCAAGTTCACTTGACTTCAGTTAGATAAGGGAAAACATTGGAATAACTGCTAGTAGAAATCCGCGTCCATAAGCTGTAGGAAGGCATGGTACCTGATCGGCTGACATAGCCAGGGATTTTTAGATGCGGCTGCCTGTCAATTATCACAATGGGGATTCTTTTTCCCTCGTCACAAGATGCCCTTCAGGCTGATTATGCTGGCAGCATGGTATTTCTGAATATGCCAGAAAATGGAATAACGAAGGCTCGCCCAGAAGAGCTTGGCAAAACAAATAAATCAAAGGACGACAAATTAATCTTTAAATTCAGAATAAATCAGATTACGTGTGTACTTGAGGATTAATACAAAGAATATGAATTGCAAATGAAAATGCAGTATTTACAAGCATCTTCAACGGAAACCAGCTGCTTATATATACCTGGCAGCTAACTAGCAAACAAAACATACACATTTCTTCAATGAATATAAATGTCTAAATCTCACATTTCCTGTTTTCAATTATCTTTGCAAAAATGCTTTGAAGACTACATGATTGCTTTAGTAGTAACTGCCACAATGGTGTTATCCCATGCTACGAAGGAAAATCTGTCACCATATTCCTCCACTCCTTCAACTAGTAATTGCCAAATTAAGGCCCCTGCCTCAGCTTGCCTCTTCTTCGCAGCCTTATAAATTTTATCATACATGGTCCCTGGTGGCTGTTATGTAATTGTGGCTCATTTTATTTTCATCATTTTTTATAATTTAAATAATAATATATTTTCGAGACGATGCATTACAATCAGTTAGTCCGCTGGTGCACGCAAAGATTAGTGGGTTTTTCAGTTATCGTATGCCACGTAAAATCTCAAGGATGCGCCAGCTCAGCTCATATACTACTTTGTTTTGGTTTTAGGATTAATTTTTACAAAACAAAATGTTTGCCCCTATTTGTTTGTTTTTTTTTTTTTTAAGCGTAGTTTAATACAATAAGCTGCAAAACAGACTAGAAAAGTCAACCTACAGTAAAGACGCATCAAGGTCTCGTTCATCCTCAGTTTCTCCAGGTCGTCGCTCCTGATGGAATCTAGCGTTTACTGCCGTTGGATTAAGAGTTGAAGACGGTTGGCCTCCTAATTGACGGCTGAGATTTGATTGTAAAGGTTGAAGATGACGCAGGCACGGTAGGCTGATTGGATCTTTGTGGCTGCAGCCTCCTGGGGGAGATGTACGGTGATTGGGACAAGGCTTTTTCCCTTTAGATACTGTTTTCAGCCATTCAGAATTTCAAATTATCATCGTCTAAATGCGACTAAATGTCGGCTTTACCCTCAATTAGTATTGTCTATACAGCTATCTACGTTAGCTAATATTTTGGGGAAGTTTTTTCTTTTCAATTTTTTTTTACTCTGTTATAAACGATAAGAAGGCATGAATTTAGTGGAAGAGATTATCACTGACAAGGAAATTCCAGGTTCCAACATACCGTCAAGCCAAGCGCTACAAACAACTAAATTAACATTGAAATCAATAATTATACAGCAAACAGACCATTTCAGCTCTGAGAATTTCCAGTGAGATTTCTTTTAAACCAACAATGGCAACGTGAGTGGCATGTACTCTTCCTCTTTTATCTCCTAAAACATCGGTTTCCTCAATCCCGTGGAGGAACAACCTTACCAGCGCAGGTTCCAAAACCAACATTGTAACCATCCCCCTGTATGGAATTTAAACTCAAAAGTGATTACCCTATACTTCACATGTTTCAAAGATCCAAATTCTTTATTCCTCCTATTGGTGGTGGTAAAAGACTACATAAAAACATTACGAAAACATGACTTCAACATCAACTAATTCCACATTCAATATAGCAAATTTCACTTTCCACATGGATTTGGAGATCAACAATTCTAAATTCTCCTCAAACATTAGATTCAAACACTCGATCTACTAAGCCTCTGAATTTCAGAATTTTGAACCCAAACCACCATGTAAGCTTACACCAGTGAGACCCAGAACCAGAAAGATATCATAAATGCTTTTGCAATTTTTTGACCAGTTTAAATTTCCTTTCAGGCCAAAGACTCAGAGCCTATCAATTAATTGCATATGATGGGGAAATTCACGAATTACTCAAATATGTTAGCAACTTGGCTTAAAAACCTAAGTGGAGCAGAGAAAGTACCTTGCAGCAACCAGTAAAGATTACTTCATCCCCATCTTCCAAGAACTTTCGAGTTGTCCCATTTAATGACAACGGTTTCTGTCCATTCCATGTTAGTTCCAGCAAACATCCAAGAGAATCTGGCTCCTGCTCAAAATACAAGAGGCTAAACTCTGAGCAAACAATGCAGATTCATTAACAGTTATTGCTCACAGAACCAAAGAGTTAAAAACAGATGCAACATGACCCAATGACTATCATATTGTAACTCACATACCGGCAAGCAACATAATCGACACTATACCAGAAACTGTTCTCAATTATTTTCTCTTCATTTATGCAATTAACAATAAGTACTGAAACTCTTGGCACATTCAAGGACAAATTATATGTATCACTCAAACATGACAGCTTAGTAGCATAACCACTCCACTACAATGAAAAACCAACTAAAAATGCCGAAACCTAATCAATGTGTTTCTTCCACCTCTTACTTTATATAGTTAAGAGAACTGGCTTAAATAAGCATCTCAGGGCATGCACATACATTATATCCAAAGAACCCACTTGGTTGTCTTCTTCAGCACACATCAAAAGAACACTGAATACCAGAGGGCACAAGGAGTAGTGGATAAAGTTTGACAAATTTAAAATGCATAAACACATAAATGATTACTTGTGTATGTGTGTGTTTGTGTGTGGACAGGTAGACATATACAAAGGCAAAAAGATAGAAAAGAGAAAGGTACGTAATAAACATACAGGCCCACTAATGGTCCCTGTTCCAAGGAGATCGCCTGGCCTCAGATTGCAACCATTGATTGTATGGTGTGCTAGCTGTTGAGTCAATGTCCAATATCTGTTACAAAGGTTCTACAAAATTCAGTAAATATATATATTTTTTTTGGCCAAGAATTCAGGACACATTTGAAAAGCAACAAATCAGCATATATTAAATCAGTATAGAAAGAGATGCAATGTCTTCAAATTCAAGCAATACTCAAAATTTCCCAGAAATCAAAACTAGCATAGAGTGAGGCAATTGGATTCACTGATACATAACGCCATTAAGGGAAAGGACAACTCTCATCTGAAAGCACTTTCAAAAAAATAAGAGCAATAGTGAAATGGAACTCCTTACAGGTTATTGAAATTACTTCTTGTAACAACACTCGAATCCTTTTGTCCGGAAGGTTTAATTTGAACCTAGCAGCAAGAAACAAGTTCTCACCTCGAGAATTTCATAAAATTTATAAATTTGAAGTTCAAAAGAAAGAAAATTTTAAAATGTATATTGCTACCAATACATTATGGTTGACTGGGAAAATTGTATTAAAATAATATAGAAGAATAAGATAACTACTGAAGTATTGAAAATCCAAATAGTGCTGCTAGATGCTACCTCCAATGCAATATCATAGTTTTTGGATATCTTCTCAGCCAGATATGGCAGTGGATGGGGATCCTGCAATGCCAACAGGGATCTTTAGCTAGTTTCATTAAGAATAATCACCATGAAAGAGAATAGGGAAAAAAAACTAGAAACTCAAATGGCTTTAAGATACAAGACAACTAAGAAAGACACCTACCTGCTTAGGAGCATCACATGCAAAAGGCTCTAGAGCATCTAGTGTCACAATCCAAGGGGACATTGTAGTACCTAAAAGATGAGGAAAAAACAAGTAAATTCCTACTATAACAAGCTGTGGAGAATCACACAATCATCATTAGCTTTACTTATTTTTAGCCCAATGTGGCCCATGACTTCCCTTGGTTTATCTAATATTTTCTCGCCAAGATTAAATGTTTAAGAGATTTCCTAGTGTTTGTTATTAGGCCCTCTATCAATAGTAAACAGTTTCTTCCCAATATGATAGTTTATTCCCTTATCTAGGATTCTATGAATTCTTTATTATTGTGTTCATTAATTTGGCCCCCTTCCAAAAGAAGCTATGGTTTTGCCACATATCAGTGATTGCTTGATTGGACATACTCCTTGTAGCCGGAACTCAGAAGAAAAGCAGGAATAAGTTATGGTTTTCTTACCAAAACTCTTCCCAAGAAAGGGTCCAAGAGGGACATATTCCCACGCCTGAATATCTCGAGCTGCCAAAACCAAATTTGTTTTAAATACAATATAGAAATTTTTATTGAAAAAAATGAGGATGATGAAGTGAAGCAACACAAGGTAATCATACCACTCCAGTCGTTCATCAAGACAAGTCCAAAGATATGATCTGCTGCCTCATTAACATCTATGGTTTTACCTAATTCATTTCCTGGACCAACTACAGCAGCCTGCAAGCTTAGTAAGAGACCATATAAGAGAATAATTCCTGGTGAGGTACAATGAGAGAATAACATGACCACAATAAAACGAAAGGCTGACCATTTCAAGTTCAAAATCTAGCTTCAGTGAAGGTCCAAAATATGGTGGAGAGTCCCCAGCTGGATACCCTTGACCCCTAGAAGAATACAGAATTAAGCCAGTTAGAATCAAAGGCTGAGTGGACAGCTATGATGGTATCTCAGTCACTAATTATAAATAACAATTTAAACATTTTGACAAAAATTATAAAGTTCCATACACTTACCAGAATTGTAAAGTTAAAATATAAGGAATAAGTAATTTGAACTTCTAACCTTGGTCTAATAATATTTGTTCCAGAGATGACAATTGATGATGCTCGTCCATGATATGCAATAGGAAGATGGAACCTGGATAGTGCACAATGACCATGCTTTATAAGTTTCCAAATGATAGAAGGTAATATCTATAAGGTTTGACACACAACAGTTTTCATTCAATCAAGCAATCACTCTCCATTTTTCAAAACTTTCAAAATAAGCATACCAATTTGGCGGAATTGGGTTTTGAGGTCCACGAAATATAGTCCCACAGTTCTTCGCGTGATGCATGGATGAAAAGAAGTCTGTGTAGTCTCCAATTTCCGTAGGAAGAACCATTTCTACGTTGTTCTAAGATTTCACAAAGAAATTGAAACAAAATTGAAAACAAGCATCTTCAGACAGATTATATATTGAAACCCATGTGTATATTCTTACCATCGGCACAAGCGACTTCTGCCTCAAGTCTGCATTATCACGCAAGGTTGGTTCTGTAGCTGCACGATCCATATAATGGTCAATTTCCATTTCAGCTGAAAACTATATTGTGCTTTTGAAGGACCATAATATTTAGTATTTCTCATGCTATCAGCAAAATCAATAAGTAGAAGTAATGATGAACACATACATGACAATAGCTTTTGAAGAGTAACACGAGCTTCCTTCCAAGCAGGTCGCCCGAGTGCCAAAAATTTGTTCAGAGTAGGCTGGCACAAAACCAACCAAATCGCAATCAATTGATTTAGCTTTTCACATGAGCTCCTAGGTTAAAAATTCTTAACAAACTCATAATCTTATTCGCAACTTGCTTCTGCAATTGCAACATGGATTAGGCAATTCAAACAAGAACTTGTAGTTACTATGATTTAGTTATCACTGCCATCCCTAAACTGAGCTACCTTCCGAGGGGAAACGAAGGAAAGCGTATTGCATGAAGCAAGCAAGAAATGAACCTGAAGGAAGCAATCGGAACCGGTGAGTATGGGGCCGTTGAATAGACCGGCTTTGGCGATCTCGGAGAGGTCCAAAACACAGTCACCAATTGCGACAGCGAGACGGGCTGATGCAGTCGGCTGGGGTTTGAATGCTCCATATGGAAGGTTTTGGATGGGGAAATGGGAGTCGGGATGGACTTCAACGAACGATTTCAGAGCCATGTGTGACTTGATAAACGGCGTCGCAGAGAGGTGGGCCGAAGCTGAAGGCTGAAACAGGTGCAGAGCGGAGAAGATAACAGTGAGAAGAAGCGAGTAGCGAAGAGAAGTTACTCACTAAGTAGTGAGTTAAATCACTTATTTATCAGTGGTCATTTGCTTTTCGTTTGTTAATTAATCCTATTATTATTATTATTATTTTATTGGGCTAACGTGAAATTCCATACTGGTTAAATTAAAAAATTAATAAATGGGATTTGGTGTGGTAGTTGCCATCGTTCCAAAAGGCTACGTGGAGGAGTAGATGGGGATCATGGGGCTACCAACTTTTCAAAGCCCTCCTTCCTAACGAAGATTAACCTAAATTTACATGTATTATTATATTTTTTTTCATTAGTATTAAAAAATAAAACTTAAGCTATTGTCTAAGATCAATAAAAAAAAAAAAAATCCAGGCTATTAGTTGGTTGGTTTTGAGCTCAATTTGGCGTATTCCATCCCTTGTCTTTGTGAAATGAAATGAAAGCCTTAGCTTAGTTGATAGTATCCAACAAATAAAGGCCATATAGGTATTACCAGTAATTGTTTTTTTTTTTTTTTAATATTCCCCTCACATATATCATTTACTAAATTCAGGATTAATGTTCTTTTGTAACACTAGTTACTACTTTTTTTCAAATATGAAAAAGATTAGAATGTACTTAAAACCTTTGACTGTGTTGTAATCTAACCATGCAAAAGGCGATAATTCAACAAGCAATGCAAAATGGGATCAAAAGTGTTATTAGGGATATGATATTAATATCTTATCCAACATTCCAATTTATGAACAAAAGTGTGGTTTGATTATAAATTGGAGTTTACATCTTACATTTTCGTGGCATGAAAAACGTGATGCATTCGAATGTTGGACAATAATACAAAACCAGTTATTTATAGAGGGCAAATTTCTAATTAGGCGTTATTGACTGACCCATTTTGCAAAATTATTTGAAAATTAAATTAGGTTTTGCATCTAAGGCAAAAAGGCCATAACTAAACACCCACATAGCATAGCCATTGCCCAACCAATGACAACACCAAGCTTCCGCAAAGCTGGACTGATCCAGAAGGGGTTGTTGGAGCCTCAGCCATGGTCCAATCACAGTTCTCTGACGCTGCGACTTTGGGCTTCTAGGTCTCCGGGCTCCCCAAAGGCATCACCTCCACGTGTAGCTTTAGACCGTTCTGGCAGCCCTCGGTCTTGCTGCTTACAAAGTATCGGTTCCCTTCCCCATATGCCATCTAAACCGTCCGTATACATCCTTACGGGGTTGCTCATATCGCACGATTCATATTCATCCTTGCTCTTGAGCTCAACAATGCTCTTCTGTGCTGCTGAGTAGGCGAACCCTGTCCAACAGTTTAATAGCACCTCATGAATCTTTATTGAAGTATATGGTATATACCGAGATATTTACTTCAAATTAACCATAAACACAAGTAGAAAAAAAAAAAGCTGAAAAAAGTGTGAACAATAAACCCTAATAATTGTTTTTTCAAAGCTACCTGCTTCTTCTCGAGAAACAAAGAATAGTACTGATTAAGCTCTTGGCCAGAAAAATATTGCTGTTAAGCTAAGGTGAGACCACGTTGTAGATAACTTCTTTGCACTCAAAATTTTTTATGTTTTTATTGAAATTTATCTTGAATCTCATAATTTCACATCAAAAATTAAGTGAAATTATAAAGTTTAGTTATTTTATATTTTATATCGAAAATTTAGTAAAAATATAAGATATTTCATCTTATAAATAAGATATTTTAATTTTAATTTGATAATTCAAATAATTAGATATCAAAAGAATAGTTAGATAATTAGGTTATAAAAAAGGTGTAATTAGGATTTGAATTAAATTTTAAGTAAGAAATTTTTTATAATTTTTCTCATTTTAAAAGTTTTATAGTTATAAAAATTTATTTAATAACGAATTAAATTTAAAGTTGGTTATTTTGAATTAAATCGAAATAAATATATTTGTGTGTTTTTATTTTTGATTTAAATTTGTTATTTTACTCGTAAATTTAGTTTATGGGTATTATTTATGCGTGTTGATTTTTCAACATTTTCTTCTATTTTATTGGAAAGCAAATGATATGTTTCTTTTTCTGGATTTTCATTTATAGGTCACAGCTTTACAGCTTGATCCATTCATATTTTCTTCACGAAGGCATTTATGCAGAGTAAGAAACACAGTTGGCTTATAGGTTGGTTTTTTTTTTTTTTTTTCCTGACAAATTGCGAAGGAGAACATATTTGTAATTTGTTTTGCTTTATATTTTACTAACCTACAGTTTTGTACGAGGAGGGTAGCAGTAGCAAATAGAGTCCCTCACATGCTAGAGTTATGATGCTTTATTGATTTTCTTACACATCAGAAGATGGCAAATAAAATGAAACATTGCACTCAATGTTTGTACAAATGCTTGCTGTATTTTTCCTCATTAACAAAACAACCAATAGTTAAACGCAGCTGGGATGTTTTTTAAGCTGATTAGAAAGAGCAAAGTAGAAGCTTACAAATTTTGTCTCCAACCCTGAAGCTCCTACCGGAGGACCAAGATGCCACGTCAGAGGAAGGGTCCCACCCACGGTCACCTCCGACCACATGGTGCACATGTGCTCCAGACCCTTTCACTCCAAGACTCGCAGCCATGACAACCAGAGTCATCACCATCTTCACAATAGCCATTGTCAGTGAACAGGAAACTCGGAAAGGAAAAGCAAGAAACTATAAATGCTCCCTAAAAAGATTGATTCTTTGAGAGAGAAAGACTGAAAAGAAAGAGCCAAAGAGGTAAGGTGCTGAAGTGTTTGTTAAGCAAGAAAGAGGCACAGTAGGGAAAGGCTTCCAGGCATCTTTCTGCACGAAACAAACAGAGATGTTTATTGTGAAGCCTACAAAAAAATAAACGTCTCCTTCAAGGCTTCAACTGTCAAGCTTTGTCAATTTGGAGTATCCACTCTTTAAGGTCTGGCGCTGGCGGGCTCCCCATGCACGGCCTATCTCTTTCTAGCTTCATTCCTAATGACAATAATACCCTGCGGTTGGTTGAAAGTTGCACACCCGACTCATTGAGTAACAAAACAACCATCAACTACCATTCTGATATCTACCTGAATTTGTTTGCCGTAACAAGAACTTTCCTGTCTTCCATGTTTTCAACTGTCGTTCATTTCGACAAGGAAGTTGCTCAATGGATAATTCAAAAGTATCTATGTTCAATAGTTTACCATATGACCCATTTGATCATTATGAAGGTAATATAATAATGAAATGAAATAAAATTCACGAAAATATTACTACTTTATTTCGTCTTCTATTCCAACATTGCATTAACAGCTTTACGTCTATGTGTGAGCCTATTAATTTTTGACAGTTTACTTACCAAACTACTGCCATACACCATAGAATCATGGCTACGGATGCATCAATTAATGTCTAGAACATGGTAAACTTCCTCAAATTTTAACGTATCAGATTGCTGTTTTTGAGTTTTTATTGAAAATCCACGTGTTCTATTTCAAGGATGTGTTTTTAATCTTGTTGAAAGCATGTGGCATTTCGGCTTTTCATGAAAGCATCGTCAGAAGAACTGAACAAGATAGAAAAGGAATTGCCGTCAAACAATTAGCAACCAAACTTTTCCAGTTGTCATTATGTGAGCATACCTATATACGTACATGACCGAGAATGATCCACCCACATGAAAGTTCTTTGGAGCGAAATCGCTCCCTGCCTCGTCAATTCATGGTTTTGGGCCAATTTGATTTGCCAAGTAATATTTTGAACCGTGTAACTTCCTTTGTCATGCCTGCTCTTTGTCCCTTTTATGGTTTTCATAAAGCAAATCATCTTTTTCCTTGGAATTTACTTAGAGATGATACGTTATGTGTTTAAATATGGGTTTTCCGCATCATCGGAAGATCCGCCAAGGTGCTACAGCAACCTCACCTTTCTAATTCTAGCAGTACTAGACGGCCGTCCTATACAGTACTGATCTACTACACTCTCTCCCACACAGTCTTTTTCTTTTTCATTGTTTCCTCCCCTTCCCTTCCCTTAGATGATTGAAGTATACTCATGTCGCTTACTTTCAAACTTCAAACCAAGAATAATAAGAACCAAAAGCAAATAATTTATGGAAACTTGTTATAGAGAATCAAGCTAATGAAATATTTTCTCAAGTACATTATTTCTTATAATTAGTCAAGGGATATATGTTGATCTTTTTTCAGCTCTTTTATAATTACCAAAACCTAGAGTGAGAATGTAGGGTTATAGGTATATGACTCTCCAAATTTCAAAATCTTATTATCATACAAACGCAAGTCAAGTCATTTTTATAGAACTCTAGAAACCATTTTAGAGAGGTTCACGGTGTTCTGACCTTTGACAAAGAAGATGAAGCCGGATAGTGAGTGGTCAATGACAATAAGCCCTGGCCTAGCTAGGTGCCAATGGCAATGGGTCTAGACGCTTTAAGTAAACCTGGACCAAAGTCCTGTATATGTAATTTTTGCAACTAATAAAATTGCCAAAAAGAAAAGATGATTATGCCTTAGGAGAAAGATTTGACCATTCACATCAAGTAAGCAACGCCACGAACGATCAATGTTAAAGCAAGCCAGCAACATGTAACGCAAAGCATATGACACTAGAAGGATTGTTGATCACTCCCAAATGTCTCTGCCGGTGAGTAAAATATCATAATGTCAGCCTTCTCAGGCAACTTAAAGCTCACCTTCTTTGTCAACTTCCCACTTTGGCTTCTGCTAGGCGAAGAACGTGAAACATCCCCTGAAGAAAGATCCATAGAGAAACTGTCCCCTGGTGCAGAGGGAACAGATTTACGTTCTCTAGAAGAAGATGGATGTGCCCTTCTAGAAGAGTGTTTGAAGACATAAAGTTCACCTCCATTAAGACAATCTTGCTTCAACCCTGCAGGACCAGGAGAAGCTAATAGCCAGTCCTCTAGAGTAAACTTCCTCACTTTTGTAATCCTCCTCTCCGGTGATTGCAATGGTCTTTTAATCTGCTTCTTCTTCTTCTTCATCTTGCTCTTGTTCAAGCACTCGGGCTTGATAGCTTCAATGATGGATGATTTTTTACTTGAACTACGAATATTTGAACTCAATGCCTTCGTTTCTCGCTTTGAACTGAAGTGCTTGCTTACTTTTGCCCCCATTAGACTTCTTCTTGGGAAACAAAATCACCAATGACAAATAGCATGGATGATTAGCGAAGTTGGGAGAGCTTGGATTAGTATTTTTAGGGGATTATAAAGAGCAAAGGGGGGTGTCAAGATGGAGAAGTCTAGGGATCGAGAGCTGTCAATGATCGAACTTAATTAGAAGTTGGAATCCAACTTAATTCATTTGATAAAAATACAGTGATAAAAGCAACAATGTTGGAGGGGTACTTATCTGTTTTCTTGGTCATGGAGCATCCAGGGAGTGCGGCTGCAACATGTATAAAGTTGGAATTTCATGGATCATTGACTTTAAGATTGCCAATTGGACTTTGCTTAAGCGGTTGGAAGAATGGATTTTAACTAACGGAAAATCTGAGTAGCTAGCTTGCAACCGCAAGAGTACAAACGCTCCCCAAAGTACCGCACAGACTAATTAGATGCCATCGCTAAGAACAGCTATGGCTCAACATTGATGATTGAACAGAGTGTAAAGGGCCTAACACTTGGTTCTTTCTTTATTACTGAATCTGATTCATTCAAATTGGTAATTAGATTCCCTTTTATAGATTACCAGGCAGCAAGGTCTCATACAGCAACAATAGATAGGCTCCAATCATTGAATGATTAACCAGTTAAATCGACATCTATATATGTCTAGCATGATCAAACAAATATAGCTTCTGGACTGAACTGCTGTCTGATCCATTAGCTTGGCTGTTACCGGTCACGCAATTGAGGCTAAACTGATGCATCTAGAAGAAGTGAGCGTTCTTACATCTTTTGGTGCAAAGCAACCTACAAAGTGTAGCAATTAACTTAGTCTGGATAATATATAGCATTGATTTTTAGATCACAAATGTGATATAGCCAAAGAAGATTTTAGTTTTGTACATTGTAAAGAAGAGATAAGAATTTAGAGCTTGTGCTGCTTAATTTCTCCAGAAATAACTACTTGTCAAGACAGAATCAACAGGATAAAAGAGAAAACTTCCATGGACTGACATTTTCTTCCATCTGTAAAGAATGGGGCATTTAAAATTTCCATTCATCTTCATTATGTTTCTTACACACATTTGTACGGTAGTAAAATTCTTGAAAACGGGGAGAAGCTTCTCAATTTTAGCAGAGCCTCAAATTTTCTGCTTCCGTTAATGCCTAAGATGCTAGCCTTTGGTCTTTGTTTAATGCTGGTTTGCTTCTGTAGTCTGGTTTTCACCTTGCAAGTAAGGCTCTTGGAACCTTTTAAGCAATTCTAACCAGGAAAATGTTAGTTTTTTCTGGGCTGTGCAATTATTGGACCTGCAGCTATGCCTTAAAAGGACTAACTAATTCTATCTTCTCTCCTGACTACTCTAAAATTCAATTGCCAATAGCAGATAGATAGATATTCCAAATAAGGAAAGAGTCAAATTGCCAAGAAGGAAAAGAGGCAAAAAACAAAACAAAAAAAAACAAGTTTTCCATCATGTTGATGAAGATTCTCAACACAAAATTTTGGTCAGCTTTGAGGCATTTAGAAATTCCAATCTAGCAGCTAACTTGTTCTGTTTCTTTGACACTTTTCGAAAGGTTATTTAAAGAATGGTTATTTAAAGCCAGGGGCTTTCTAAATCGTCCACGTAAGTATACTCAAATAAGAATGATATCAGCTAAATCGGAGATAGGGAAATGAAGTGGGATAGATTACGCTACTAGCATCTTCCATGACAGCTGTGGGTACTCAGCCTCCTTTGGTTTCTACGTCCAGTTTTAGTAATCAGGCAGCCGCATTAAATTTAGGCAATGGTTGTTTGAAAAAAAAAATCAAAATCAGGCAACTATAATGGATAACTAAGGGGTTATCAAACTTCATTAAGTGACGGGGTTATGCGGGAAAATTTGAGGCATACAATCCAATCATCTTGAAGTTGCAGCAGCAGGTATCGCATTCATGTGTCGTTTTCAAGATGGATTTAGAGATGAGATTATTATTGTAAAATCTTCTTCAGATTAGACACATCTTTCCGGCAAGCCTGTTTGAAAATGACCTTGGAACAACAACAACAACATCAAAAGAAAAATCCTTGTTGAATTCCTTCTGTTCAAGTTGGGTAACTTTGACAATGTAATAAAGAATGGTCCTCTACTTCTACCTTATACAAACAACATTGACTTTGAAAGTGTCGTACAATCATAAAATGTTCTATTATTAGTTCTTTTTTCTTCATTATATGATAATAATTTTTTTTTTCAAATACAAATTTGATTTTTTGATATTTCAGTATTGGAAAAGCAGAAAACTTCGACCGTATGTATAAGATATTTTAGACAAGTGGAGGGGCGAAAATACAAACTGAGCATTTCCGCATGTGACCACTTTGTACACGTGGAAAATCAACCCCGAATCTGAAACAGCTGTCCTTCTAGCCTCTGTCTTCAAGTAGGAAAACGAAAGTAAAACAGAATAACTTGTTTTATCATATTCCAGAAATTAGTGACGAAAAAAAAAGTCCCACTCTTGTTTTGCTTGGCCTCCTCACCCTCTTATCAGTCTTGTTCGCTCAGTCACTTTCGCTTGCTCTCATGCAGGTTTCTATTTTTTCACAGCAACCAAAAGCTAAACCCAGATTTCTAACTCTCTCTCTTGCTCCCATAATTCTTTTATGTTAGTAGCTGTAAATGTTTCTGTGGTTTTACTTTGAACCTTCAGGTACCAAAAATTGAGTTTCTTTCTGCTTCAGATTTGATTTTGAGTGGTTATTTTCATTCTTTTACCTTATTAAATTTAATTTTTTGTTGGTTTATTTTTTCTGGGTTTGTGTTATTGTATTCTGTTTCTTTAGATTTTTGTAACTAATTAACATAAGATTTTGAGTGGAGTTTTAAAGCTTTTGGTGGCAGCTGGAATTCGAAAATTTCAATCTTGGTCATGGAAAGCTTAGTGGGAGTAGTATAGATTCTCTAATTGGTCAAATTTTTCTTGGTTTAGGTATCGTTTTCATAGTTGAATCCATGAAATTCTTGTTTGGACACAATCAAAAGTTGTCATTCATATAAAAAAGTTCACATCATGGTTTGTGCCTGATTGTTATGTAGAGTAGTTTAAGGTTTCAATATTGCCTCGCTTAAAGAAGGAATAAATATGTGGTCTTGTCAGGTATACCTACTGTGCACTTTGTCTGGTTCTCTCATCTTGTTGGAATATCACTATTTGTCTAAAAACATAAGTGGAGAATCTGACTCCAAAAACTATGGACATTGTTATCTTTGTTCTTTATATTTTTCCCTTTTCTTGGGGGGGGGGGGGGGGTGTTTGGCAATGAGGACGTTTCAGGTTGGATACTGGCCTTTTCTATTGGTTAAAGTCACTACCCTGTAATAAGAAGGCTAGAGATTTGAATTGAGTGAAAGAATACGTAAAGACATATGATGTGCATGATTTTGGCCTAGATGGAATTTTAAAATCTTTTTGAGGTTGCTTATTTTGAATCAGCAGGTGCTTTCTGTCTATGATATGTATATTTGTTAGCTTTAGTGATTGGGCATTGTGGACGTAAGGCTCTACTTTTCATTCATTGGGTGTGTTTTGAAGTGCATGCATGTTTAAGTGATTTGTATGAGCCTATGCTTTCTTGCCGTGTAACATTTCTGAAGCTAGCTGATTATAGCTTTTATGCTGGAAATTTGTCCCTGTTATTTGCTAGATTTCATCCTTGCAACACTAATTCATCTTCTATATGCGCTTGGCTTAATAGCTTTCAGTGAGTCCCAGTTGTCATCTCTTTCAAGAGTGTGTAATTTGGTAGTTCAGGCAGCAATCTTTTTCCTGTGCCACAAATATATTTGTGTGTGTGTGTGTGTTTTCTTCCAACATTGACACTAAAGTGAAGAGCCATGCAAAGGGAGAATAATACTGCCCTATCATCAGCTGCTACTTCTCGGCTTCGGCACCGGAAACAATCTAATGAGGTTAGGTACACAAGTGTTTATGTTTTGTTTTGTTCCTTTTTCATGTTTATGATCATGGGTTCCTGATGTTGTTGCATTTGTAAAGAAGATTTCCCTTTGCAAGCAACGCAATTTTTTATCTTAACTTCTTAAAATTCAAATATGCCATCAGGTTATTCCAGACCCTAGCAAAGCAAATGGTGGAAATTTGCTTGTTGATGACCATAACAAGTACAAATCAATGTGGATCCGGGCATACTCTACTGTTTGGATGATTGGGGGTTTTGCATTAATTGTCTACATGGGTCATCTCTATATTACAGCTATGGTGGTGGTTATCCAAATATTTATGGCAAAAGAGCTGCTCAATCTACTCAGGAAAGCACATGAAGATAGGAGTCTTCCTGGATTTAGGCTATTAAATTGGTGAGAATACCATGTTTACCTTCAATGTATTGGCAACCAAGATTTTTGTGCGATATAGATTAGTCTTCAATCTTGCTAGCATCTCCTTTCATCTCATTAGAATGTATTCATCTTTGTTTTATGGGCACAGGCACTTCTTCTTCACTGCAATGTTATTTGTATATGGTCGCCTTCTCAGTCAACCACTCGTCAATTCTGTAACTTCGGACAAATTTTTGTATCAGTTTGTCAGCAGTCATATCAAGTATCATATGGCTATCTGTTACTTTTTTTACATTGCAGGTTGGTTAAGCATATTTTTTTTATGTTTTTGACTGAAAGCGTGGAGGAATAATTATGTCAATGATATATCAATTTGTGTCTTAAATTTCAATTTTGACCAAAAAGGGACTAGATGTTTTTTATTTCTGTGAATATCTATATTGTTTTCCTATATGCTAGATGGTTTTCTTTCTTGTTATATGGTAAATGCACCTTGGAATGTTCCTTTTATATAAAATAATACCTATGACCATTGATATCTTTTTTTTTTTTTTGTTCTTGGGATCAGGTTTTATGTGGTTTATTCTTACATTGAAGAAGAAGATGTACAAGTATCAGTTTGGCCAGTATGCATGGACACATATGATTCTGATTGTGGTGTTCACACAGTCATCCTTTACTGTGGCCAATATTTTTGAAGGAATTTTTTGGTAACTTTTCTTTCTGAAACACCCTTCCTACCTCACTTACACTCAGATGCACACATATGTATGTACACATTCAAGAAGAAAAAATAAAAAAGGTCTATGTTTTGTAATTTTAGTCAATTGAATGTTGGTACTTTGACTGCTTAACCCAAAGAAGTAATTTTTTCCAGGTTTCTTCTTCCAGCATCGCTTATTATTATCAATGACATTTTTGCTTATATCATTGGTTTCTTCTTTGGAAGAACCCCATTAATCAAATTATCTCCAAAGAAAACGTGGGAGGGATTTATTGGAGCTTCTGTTACGACTATCATCTCTGCATTTGCGGTGAGCATATTTTTTTTTTCCATTTTGGAGTTGACTCAATCTTGTTTGTAGTTAGGTTTTCATTTATCTTCTGCCATTTTTTCATCACTAGATAGTAGTCACTATTTACACAAATAGAATGCAATAATCCATGTGACTATATAAATATTCAAGTTAATCTGGTTCTTTATGAAAAGGTTAATGCAGTAGCAGTTAGTTTTTAATGCAGGCAATATGACTGATCCTTCTTACTGATTGCTTCAAGGGCCTTGTCATTTTCTTTATTTGTTCCTTTTTTGTCTTTGTGGTATTAACATTAGGAGTCAGTTGATATTTTACATACCTCGATGAGTTCAATAGATTACATTTTGAGGCTATGTAGTGACAAACATCCTTCTTAATGATCATTTGTGAAGGATTTATTAAACATCTTGTTCTCTTAGGCATGAATGCGAAAGTTCCTGTAATCCAAAGATCTAATGCTAATGCCTTGATTAATGGTGCTGAATAACAAGTATACTAGAAACATTCATTTTCTTTGCATTCTTTCATTACGCTCCTATAATGGGAATATGTGAACCTTTAATGGAACTGGGAAAGTTGCATTATATGCCTTTTGTTTATGTAGAGATTTTCATCCTAGTATGTGTTCATGAACATGGAGTGAGTTTTTGCATATGCAGCTTGCAAATGTCTTGGGTCGTTTCCAGTGGCTAACCTGTCCAAGGAAGGTAATTATTGGATTCAACCTATTCTTTGATCCTTCGCAAGCATGCCACTTTCTTTTTCAGAAAACTTAGGGTGTAAGGCTAATGATTGCAGGATTTATCAACTGGTTGGCTTCAATGTGACCCAGGTCCATTGTTTAGGCCTGAGTATTATACTTTACCTGGATGGATTCATCAATGGGTAAGCTTACATATAATTATATCTGAATTTATTGCCCTAATTATTCCTTCAGTTGGTATGATTTGGTCTTCTTAAAAGAGAGTATTACTCTTTAACTTTCCCATAAAAGTTTAATATGAACTTCTAGTCTGATCTTTCTGAACTCCCCCGTTAAAGGGGAAAGACTAGATGTTTGAATTCTGATGGACAGTCAACAGAAAAGTTATTGTTCAATTTGGATGTATCTCTTAATGAAATATTAACCACTGCAATGGATGAGATGCCTTATTACCGTTCCTGCTAGTTACGTGTGTCTTCATCAATGTCAATTCGTTAAATGATTATCACTTCAACTCAAAGTGCATGGGTTCTTTAAGTCCTGTGGTCAAATTCTAAAGCTGGGAACTTTAGTAGGGATAGGTTGAAAAGTTAGTCGTTATTCTTGTTTCAGTTTCTTTGGAAAGAGATCTCCATTTTGCCAGTTCAGTGGCATGCTTTATGCCTTGGTTTGTTTGCATCAATTATAGCACCCTTTGGGGGTTTTTTTGCGAGTGGTTTTAAAAGAGCTTTTAAAATCAAGGTATGAACTCCTTTACTATTCTCTATTCAGATTTTTGCATAGCTTTCTTTGAGATACCGACTCAGGTATATATTCTGTAAACTCCCACTTTCAATATTCTCCAGGATTTTGGTGATAGTATTCCTGGCCATGGTGGAATTACAGATAGAATGGATTGCCAGGTGAAAAAATTGAGAATTTTCATCCCAGTTCAACATGTTAATTAGAGTGTTGCTATGCGACTCTGACTTGTTGGGTGATTTAATGTAGATGGTGATGGCGGTATTTGCATATATCTATCATCAGTCATTTGTTGTGCGTGAAGGCATCTCAGTTGAAATCATCTTGGACCAGGTAGGTCTTTAGCGTTACGCTTAGCTGTTCTTCTGTTTTAACTTCGGTCCATAACCTTAAATGATACACTTAAGGATGCTTAAACTGAGTGTTTCTTGCTATTATGCAGATCTTGACGAACCTTACTTTTGAGGAGCAGCAAACTCTTCTTATAAAGCTCGGGCAGATCTTGCAGGAAAGACTTGGACATTCCTAAATATGTGGCTTAATTCTGTGCAAGCTACCAATCATCCCTTTCTTTCCCCAGCATGTTTGTGTGGTACATAACAACAAAAGAGGAAAAGAAAACGGTTTTGTGTATTATGGTGTTTTGACGCTGTTTCGATTCAAATATTCTTAGGCAGAGGTATTCTTTATGGGCTCACTCTGTATATTTTTTTTGTCAAGCCAGTTAATTATTAATTAATTCACATGAAATCTTAACAGATATTATCTGTTCAGTTGCTTCTCAGTTCTCTCATTATTTTTTACTTTTTCTGGTTTGAGTATTGCAAAGAACTAAAATAAGCAGAATCATAGTGATAACCATTGTAATTGAAAAGTGTTATAACCATTGCAAGTCTCCAACACAACAAGACTTTAACTGAAAACATAAAACATTTTAAGTTATACAAACGATCAAATATGATGCTTTTCTCACGTCTCAGCAGCAGATACAGTTATCATTACTTTATGGAGAGCGGGAAAATCAAAGGTGCTTCATGCTTGCATGCTAAAGAGTAAAGAAGAAACTTCAGCTTGATAAAATACCAAATTCAAGAAGCATGGCTGGATGCAAGAGCCACCAAAATTTTAGTACTAAGTAAAAGAGAGAATTTAACATAACCAAAATTCATAATTTGCCTGGCGTCCAGAGGCAAATTTATCTCAGCATTGCCATTCCAAAAAACAAACCTAACTATTAAGACACATCAAACAATAGCTTTAAATATGGTACATCTACTTTTACGAAGCAAATCTGAATGACATCCCGATGAACAACATCAATGATTAATCATCTTTTGGATCCATTCAGATGAACAAAAAATTTAGACTCACCTTTTCATTACTTTTCTTGCCTACCTCCGATTATGGGAAAGAAAAACTATATTTCAGAGTTCCCTCAGTTGATCATTGTGATTTTGGTTTCTCAATCTTCACATATGGGAGACCGCCCATAAAATAAACAACTTTTGGGGCCCATCCCCGCTGCTGAGCACGACAGAACATTAAAAACGTGTTTGCAAAGTAGCAACTGAAACCCATTAAGAGATGCCATAGGGCATGACCCTGAGGGTTGATTGGCCAACTCGATATCTGTTTGCAGAATACACGATCGCAGAACCAGCATAAACTACCTAGGGAAAGAGTAGCCACATACAATTTTGCAAGCCGCTTAGCAGGGCCATCTTGGGTGTGAATGTAGTACTTATACATTCGTGGGATACAGAGAAGGCAGAGAATCACATGATGCACCTTGAAGCCAATGCCAAAGCGAATGACAGAATGAACAACAGCAAAAACAGCACCATAGAGAAAAAGGAAAGTGGGCATCGTGCTGCGATAGTGCCAATCTGGTGAGTACAGGATGTACATATAGAGAAGCATCTCCCATACCATAGGAGTTTCATCACTTTGTTGTTGCCTGGAAATAAATTAGAGTAAGTTTATTCCGATGCAAACCAAGGTAAACAATTACCATCCATGAAGAAGATACCAGTACAACTTAAGGGAAAAGATCCAGAGATACAGATAATGCATTCTATGGTCTAAATAAAAGCATTCATGTCAAGAAAACTGTTTTTTTTACACCTTCCAGTTCAACATGAGCGCTATACTCACACAGAACATTATTAGTCCACAAGTTTATCAATTGATACACCATAAATTATTGAAGTAAGAGCATAAAGAAAAAAATATAGCATTCGATCAGCCAACTTCCCATTAATTCTGAACTATAGAATGCATAGGCAAGATTGATACGTACACATGTTGCAATGTGGCATGATATAACATGCTTCCAATGGCAAGTATCATATTAGATACGTGAAGAATACCGAATCTTTTCTCAAACCTTTGTCTTAAGGCATTTACAAGACCAACAAGTGCTAAAAGAATGGTCGGGATATTTGATATGGTATTGTAAAATTCTGCGATATAGGAGGAGTAGGCATAATTCTTCTCGCAACACTCAATAGTAGATGTGACAGGACCCCAAAAGCTTGATATTCCATCTGCCATTCTCAGCTATAAATGCATACAACTGGGGAAAAACTCTATTGGTCTCCGGCCTCAGAAGGTTGCAGCGCTCATAAAACATTCAAGCCATGTCCTGCTAAAAACAAGTTCCAATGTTACAAATGTAGAAGGGCTGGAAAATGACCATAAAATATCACAATGAAGCATAGTAGAGAAAAAGATGGATGCACAAAATAATTACTTTGTTTCAAACATTAAGGGAAACAATTAAGCTAAAACAATAAGCTTCACTCCTGTTTAAGCAAGGCTTTAAAGAGAAGGCCAAACAACAAAGAAGGAAATTATTGAGCTTTATCACAATCTCCACCCAATAATGAAAACCAAAAAAGCAACAGCATAAAAATCAATCAACAATTTCACCACTAAACATATTCAATCTATAAAGCAAAACTATATCAGCTGAACAATCAGGCACTCATGAAGCTTAATTATCATTTTAACCAATACCCAAACATTTGCATTGTTTAAGCTATCTATAAAGAATTAGATACCATTCACATCCTCGAGAGTTCCTTAGGCAATTAATCCAAAATTCAGTTGCATCATGCTATTAACAGAATGCTCAGATTCCAGTACGAGGATTTATATAATATCTAAATCCCTTGCCCCAAACAAACACAAACAAACCACATGTGTCAAATTTCATTAAACAAAGCAACAAGGAATAATAGAAAGCGAAGGAAAATCAAACCTTCTTTGCGGAGATAGATCTCATTATTCTCTGCTGGAATTAAATTTATCGTGCTCTCCGTCTTCATATAAATATAAATAAAAGAAACTCAAAGTTTAAGAATTTTTGAAACGAAACTAGGGTTAAGGGAGAATCTGGTTTTTAGGCATTCGAGGCAACGATAGAGAGAAAAAGAGGGAATGTCCCCAGCACGTAGGTAGCAAATTTGAGAATGGGCTTAACCTAAATCATTTGAGAAAAGCCCATACCTCTTTTCCCAATGTGATGGGCTCAGCTGCTTCTCGGCCCAACCAATGCGACCTTTTCAGTTTCTTTGTAGTCAGTACACATGACCACGTGCATATTTGGTTTACATATATCATTCCTGCAATGTACCGAGCTTGAACAGCAGCCGGATACATACAAAGGGGGTACAACTTGGTCAAATTCCAATTAGCTTTGACTTGGTTCATTTAATACTAAAAAATTGAACTAGTAATAAACAAAATTTCCATTTTTTGTGTGTTACTGGTGGAATATTACTTTATCGTTTAACCTTTATTAATTAATCACGGATAATGTTTCATCACATGAAATCAGATTCATTGTACCTAGACATAAAATTAGGTTCATTGAACTTGGTCATTACAAAACCAGTTAAAAACCCTTCAGTTTTTACTTTTGAACAAACTCTGGAATCTGGATCGTCCATGAACTGAATCGGCGTCTATTTTCTACGTAGCTGTAACGATAGTAAAATGGTACAAGAATTGAAAACGAAGGAGGAGGTGGTTTTTCTCTTTCAATATTAACTTCAAAGTCACCTTTACATCCCCTTCAATCATTTTCCCGCAAAAAGAGCGGAAGGGAAAAAGTGAGAAAGCAAAAGGGCAGGGGAAGTTACTTTTGTTTGTTCATGATGGCGAGAATTCCAGTAAGATTCAATAGGATAGCGGCGGCTTTCGATGAAGCGGCCAGGGCGCCTCCAATACGGCTATGTGAGAGTAGCGGCAGCGACCACTCTCCTGAGGATTTGACTGATCTTTCGGATCTCGTGAATTCTTTTATTGAGAGCAATTGCGGGGTTGAAACTGATGAGGGTAAGATTGAGCAAGAGAAGGAAAATGAGAACGATGGATCAGAGGGTTATTGGTCAGGTTCTGAGACCAAAGATACGTTAAAGAGTTTGGTTGGTAACAACATCTATGATGGGAACGAAGATGATGTGAAACACAAGATTCTCGAACAGACAGAACTTGCTTATGGGAGTCTACGAGACAGGTCTTCTGAGGGTTTTAAACGTCAGCTTATGTCTCGTTTGCGAGACAAGGGCTTTGATGCTGGTAAGTTTAACTCTTTGATTCCAATACCTTGTTCATCAGTTAATTTTCCATGTAGATGGCTTTTTAAAGAAAAAATGACTTATATTGTTGCATTAGAAAGTATACATTTGATTTCAATTGTGAAACAATGAGTTCTTTACAAACTGCTTAAACAGGACTGTGCAAATCTCGGTGGGAGAAATTTGGGGGGCATCCAGCTGGGAGTTATGAATATGTAGATGTGAATATTAGTGGAACACGTTATATTATTGAAGTAAATCTTGCTGGAGAATTTGAAATAGCTCGACCAACAACAAGTTACGCTTCATTAATCGATGTTTTCCCAAAAATTTTCGTGGGAAAACCAGAAGAACTCAAGCAGATTGTGAGGCTGATGTGCAAAGCAATTAGAGAATCAATGAAAAGTAGCGAAATGAAGATGCCTCCTTGGAGGCGAAATGGGTACATGCAGGCCAAGTGGTTTGCTTATTACAAGCGTACAACCAATGAAATTTCAGCTAAAAACGCATCACAGAAGAATGATGCAGTTGCAACCAAAATATCAGTTGGGTTTGAGACGGTGCCGACGGTTTCTTATTACTGCAGAGATAATTTTGCCAGTAAGGCTGGTTTGAAAGTAGGTTATTTGACTGCTGCCTTCAATGCAAATGGCAGTATTGGTTTGCAATTGTAGTCATTCCAGGGAATTGCGTGAATTGTACATAAAAAGACCGATGTTTATATTAGCAATTGAGTTACAAATATGCTTTGAACAGGGGTCGACATATTGGCCTACTGACTTCTTTATGATTTGATGTATCATATATAGTTTCTGTTAGAGCTTTGGAATGTCATCAAGATTCTTATCTACCCTTAAATTTACAATCGACGTCGTTTTTGAATTTGTAATGGCCCTGGGTTTGACGAGAGACGACCTTTAAATTCTGAGCCCTCAGATATGTTCATTTTATTTGTCAAGTCCGCCCAAAGTTCTTGAAATTCTGAGCCCATGAATCCATGCCCTAATTTCTTGAAAATTTATTTTCAACTTTAATTTAGGAATTAAGTAACTTATTTACTTCAAATTTAACTTGATAAATAAAACTCAACATCTTCAAATGTAATTTTAATATAAAAATCATTATTTTACTTTTTAAACTTAATATATCTTGATAAAAAAGGACATTTTGATTTTTAATGATCTAAGTGTCATTTCAAAAACACTAACTCCAAATCTATTAATTCACTCATTCATTAAAACTAAATAATAATATTCCAAAAATAATAATAATATTAAAGAATATTTCATTCATTGTCAATAAAATTTTTAAATTGCACAAGCCAAAATAACATAATCACATATATTCCTTAAAATATATTTAAAAAACTAATTAAAAAAGTGAAATACATATTAATTTTTTAATTTTATTTACAAAATTAAAAAATTTTACTACTAATATGTAAAAACGAATTCTAATAATATACCGCAAAAGTGAATAAAATCTAATAAAAATGGATAAAAAGATGATTTTAATACAAACCACTATCAAATAAAAAAAAAATCTATGAGCACAGTTGCTCTTATTGCATTTATGACATGTAAAGAAAAATATTGTTTTTGGTAGGAAAATGAAAATATTTTATGTATGCACAAAAAGAAAAAAAAAAAAAGAAAAGGGGAATTCTTTCCGAAAAAGGAAAAATAATAAAAAGGAGAAAATGACTTCAAGCAATAGAAAAGAGAACCTTTCTGTGTCATCATCCAATCATTACAGAATCACCATCACCATTGAAAGCAGTAAAATCACAAGATCATGAGCCAGTACACAAATTTAACGGTTCTGATTCGCCCTTTAAGTAGCAATCCGGAACTAGCAACACCGAATCCGACCCGAACTTTTAAACATAAAGAACAAATGAAATTAATCCACCTGTCTCCATAGTGAAAAAGGGCAAAGAAAAGGAAAAAAAAAAGGAGAGAGAGAGAGGAGATCTAAAGAGAGGGAAAGAGAAACAAAAGAAAGGAAAAATTCCCTTTACTTTAGCGTCACGGCAAATTCGCCACTGATCTAACGCAACCGAGTTAATGGAAGGAGTGGGGGCTCGACTCGGGCGTTCCTCCACTCGGTACGGACCAGCCACGGTGTTCACTGGGCCGGTAAGGAAATGGAAGAAGAAATGGGTCCACGTTTCCCCATCTAACAGCGGCAGCAGCAACAATAATCACTCACAGAATCACCACAGCAGCAACGGTACTTCTAACGGTAATAACGGTTCGCATCTCGTCCTTTTTAAGTGGACCCCAATATCTCAAAGCCAAAACAACAACAACAATAACAACGACAATAACAATGGAAACAACAAGGACGATGCTGTGGCGGAGCCCGAGGAGCCGCCAAGGCGGAAATTTAAATACATTCCGGTATTTCGTTCCTTGGGTTTTCATCGATTTCGATATTTGGTTGTGATTTAAAGTTTTTATCATGCTTCTTTGACTTACTTAATTACTGTATTAAGTTTCTTGGTAGGGTTTTACTGTGAATTAGGATCTGATTTTTGTGTTTTTTTTCTATAATTACTCGATTTGTGAGCTGGGGTTTGGGTTAATAGTGTTTTGAGGGTTTTCTTTTGTGGTTAGATTCAAGAGAACTTTGAGTTAGCTTGCTGTTAGATTCAGGACTGACGTGACTGATGGTAATTTGGTTTTTGCTTCTCTTATGCATTGACTCTATATCATGTTTATTTTATTTTATTTCTTTGATCAATGGCTGAAAATTTAGAAGATGAATGTTGCTCAAATAAATTATTGTTCCATATATTTTGGGGTGTTCTGGAATCTTGTGGTGGAATCTCCATTTTTGCTTCACTTTTGTCAATTTTATAATTAGCTAAAACCTGTTCCTGGCTTGCTTCTCATTGATTTTTAATTGCATAGCTAATTCGGAAAGAATGTATTATAGAAAATTGAGTTGCTTGTCATCCTTATGCTCATAGATGCAGTCCGAGGTTCGGATATCTGTTGAGAACCAATAATATAATGATATTAACTGTTGAAGTTGAGATAAAAAGGGAAGAGGGCTAAGACTTATATGATATATCCCTTTTCTTTTCTCAGGCTAGTCCTCTTTAAGCTAAACTTGGTTGTGCTAGTGCATAAACCTATCTGATCTCATCTAGTATGTGAAATTATAGTAGCATGATACATGACATATGAAAACCTTATTGACAGAGCCAAATCCACATGGAATTTGGCGTCAGAAGTCTTGCCTTGGCCCCAAATCCCATTAAAATCCAGATTTTACAATTTGTTGTTTGGGTTGTCAATTGCATTGTGTGGGCATGATGCTCAATGTTTCTGTCTTTGTTCATATCAAACACAGAGAATACATGCTTTTGTCTGGTATTCATATTCATCTTAATTTTTGGATTAGATAATCTGAAAATGGTAACATTCACAGGTTTGTCCAACTGCATTTTTAGCAATTTTTTGATGGAAATAAGTTATAGGGATCAGTTCAGTTTTAAGACCATGGGAACATTATAATTATTTTGACTGGTTGAACATGCAGATTGCTGTGCTAGAGGAACAGAAAAAGGAAGCTGCAGAAAACCTTGATGATGAAGCTAAACCAAGTGAGACTGACCCTAATGCAGCAGAGCCAACTTCCAGGAATGATGATTTTGATGAAAAACCTGACATTAATGACGTACCTATGGAAGAAAGTGAGGTGAGCTGCTAACTGTCAATCTCTTTCCCTTGGGAATAGCTCAGGACAGGGGCCCTTGGTTTGAGTTCTTTGAGAAACTAATACATAAATGGCATCCCAACATACTTAGTAGAGAATGGTGATAAAATTGAAGTCAATTTGATGGGTGACTTTTGTAACACTTTTTTCATGTCACTCAGAAAAGTCTATACTAATTTTAGAATGCTACAAGGAATAGTTTCATTTATAACTGTTAAGACCCATAAAGAATGACTGAAAATTTTTCCATGAATTGAAAGGCTTGCCTCTACTATTGACTTATTTCAGTTCTCTGTATCAGGAGGATAATAAAATAATGCGACAAGATCTGAATGAAAGCACTCTGGATTTGAGTTTGGGTTTGACAGCCCGTGATGGTGAGCCTGATTCAAAAACAAACCATGATGGACAGTTGGAAAGAGTGAAATCAAGTAGCGGTAGGACATGAGCTGTGCATGTTGTTTCAGCTAATATATTGATGAAGATGATAAGTAGACATTGGCTTAAATGATTATGACTTATTTCTTAGAGATTCAATTTTCCGTTGGGCCGTCCATCTTGCAGTCGGTTGTCTTAACTTAAGCTAAATGCATTGAAATGGCTTATCTTTGTACTTTTAGTTTTTATTTGATACTCCCTTGCTAAGCAGATTGGAGCTTGTATTGGTTGAGAACAGAACAATCTATTTTTTGTTGGACATCCCATATTCTTCTTTCCCCTCTAGATTTGTAGGACATGTTGGGGACAGAATATGTTTTGACATACAGATTAAATTGGTTCTCTCAATGGCTTGTTATGGAAATGTTTCTGACTCTGCATAATTTGTATCCATTATCAAAATGGTCCCAACTGTCACAATGCACAGGTGACATGCCTACCAAGGGTAAATTCGTGAGGATGCAGGGTTGCTTATGCTAGTAGGATTTGAGCCATATTGATGGACTGGTACAACAAGATGTCTGTGACGGGTATGAGTGCCATCCATAGGGAAAGTGAATTTGCAACTTCCTCTATGAAATCCTTATTCTAAGTAAATTTGTACCAAAATAATGAAAAGAGAAGAGAGGGAACAAAAGCATTGAAAAGTTTTTAAAGCCATTATTACCCAATCAAAACTTGTGGCAGTTATGTAGCTCAATATCTGTTGATGCCTCTACAATAGAATGACCCAAATTACCAATTTCCACAACAAAGCATGTTCGAATAATTTAAAGCCATAGAGGCAAGTGAACTTTAATTGACGGCAAAACATTAAGGCAAGATGACTTAATACTGATATTGCACCAGAAAACAAAGGAGTTCGGAAATTTTCGTCCTCATTCTTTTACAACAGCTAGCTCTGCCTCTGAAAGATAATCATGCCTGAAAATGTAGAGGAAACATATTAAACAGTGCATCAGAGAGCAGCCACATAAAATAAATGGCAATAACAACAAAGCAAGAAAATAAAGGAAAGATCATGGTATCGAAGTTTACGAAAAGTACTGTCCAACAGAAACCTTTCAGGTTTTTCAATTACACCATCTTTAAGGTGGAAAAGAAGTATATTATTTACTGGACATATCAAACAAGCATTGTTAAAATCATTGGTATAAGAGAGATCTCTTTGTTGACTGTGATAATAGATCCAAAGCATAAGGCAAAAGTTGGAACGAGGGAAGGGAAGATCATTGGTCGAGTTGACTTACTGTATTTTTCGTGCTAGTTGGTATAAGCCTGTTCCTGCCATAACAACATTTACGCCAAACAGATTCTAGTTTTTCTGCATTTTAGAATCAAGAAATGACTGAGAATCAAAAGCAACCGAAATCTCCACTTCATAAATTATAAAAGAAGATGAAGGTTCCAATGAAGGCAGTGATCTAGGTGTGAATCTGCATGTGTACACTTGTGTGTTCTTCATATATTTCTCTTTGATAATGTTAAATTTCTGGATTGCTAGAAGCCGGATAATCCAATCAATCATCAAACTTACAAGAGTCATTACAGTGCTGCAGCACGACCAGATAAGTCCAGTGCAAGCAACGGCTGAGTAACAGATAAATCAGTCAGAAATCTAGAAGAGGATTGCATCTTGATGTAGGAGTAATGATGTGCAACATTTTAAGAGGTGGTGAGACATGTGCAACAGACAGATAACGGTGCATTAAAGCTAAACAATGGCTATGCTAATGCCCCATTTGAAGGTTGGTGCCCAAAAGTGAACTGAAATAAAACAAGCTGTTAGATTATGCATGTTTTAAAAATTGACAACTGGAATCAATTATAATACCTTGTTAGTATAAACTATAAAGCAATAAACCTATTCTACTGATTCTACATGTTATCTGCAAAATATCTATTTATATTGCATTGATAGGATTATCAGAAGCTCATAACACCTCACTTCCCTCCTTCAATTCTGTAATTTAAATGCAAATCACAGTTGCAACCATTCTTCACTCACATGCAATGAGTTCAATCCTATACTAATTAAAATGCCATGGAATCATGGGATATTAGTCTTCTTTCCACATGGTGCAGCCACAAGTTTATCTTAAATTGATTTTACAAAAAAAGGCACATGCTCCAGTATTGAGGATCTATATGGCTTCGTTTGTTATCATTTACTTTAGAAAGCCAACAACTTGAGTTTGATGTTTACAAGAAGTCAATCTACTAGGGCATTCAAATTAAAGAAAGCTCAACATAGCCAGAAAAGTTTTAAAGTTTATCAAGCTATACGTTTCACACTTCTAGCAAAAACAGATTAAAAGAAACCCAAGTACGGACGACAGTGAAGAAGTTTAACGATCCAACTTCCAGAATCCAAACATAACATCCAACGGTAGTTCAAAAAAATCATAAGTCCAAAAGCTTGGATCTTGTAGCCGAAAAATGATTCGGATTTTGTTTTCTTTAAGTAATCGCATAGTTGATACTCAAATATCGGATTACAAGAACGACAGCGAGTCAACTTAATGGTTTCGGGTCCAGCTTGGTGGTTCCAAAGAGCTTGGAGCTTGGAGCTTGGAGGACGCCATGGATACAACTTTTTCTTCCTCTTACTCTACTGAATGTTTGTTTAACCAAAAGTAAGATTTTGTTTTGGGTTCAGTTAATCTTGGTCGGTACCTGATATGTGCTGCACGTGTTGGTTCATGCTCAAGCGAGTAACCAATCAGTCTTGCCACGTATTCACTTTCCCTATTGACTCTCAAACGCTTGCTTTCAGTTATTGACTATTATTAAAATTGCTTTCAAAACCATTCAGTTGATGGACTATATTTCAGTTTGGGGCTTTAATGTCGATCAAAGTAAGTTTAAGGTATATATCCTTTTAACATTTTTCTAATATTCTGCTGCTTTTCATATGGCATCTGCTGATCTGCAGAAATTCTTTATATTTGATTCTGCAGGCTTATCCTGGTCTTGGCCATTCAATAAGCAACGTGGAGCTGCAGTTCCTCGAATCATGGATCAAGACTCGTGAACAAAGTTCTTCATAGAGGTTTGATTATCTTCTAGTTATTCTCATTGGTTTGTAGCGAAATTGTTAGTTAACTAATTACTCACCTTTGAGGATATCTTTCATATTTTGATTTATTATGAGTTTAGAGTCAACGTCTGTATTGTTGCTTTATTTAAAACAAAAATTTCTAAACTTGGAGTACAGAGAAGGGTGTATGATCTAACTGCTTCACTTTCATAGCAAATCGTTACCTCCTTTCATATAAAGTTTCTGTGATCTCCTAAATGCGTCATACTAATCGTAACCATGCTGTCAGCAGAGAATACACGATTCACTTGTATGGGAAAGAGCCTGACTTGATCTTTGTTATATAATACTGAAGAAACTCTAGTTTGCCACAAATTCAAGTAGCTTAGCTTAAACTGAAATGAATTCAGAGTGTAGGTTAGGAGAAGAGAGGGAAAAAGAGATGTTGTGCCGTGGCCCATAGGAGATTCTTGCACTGCTAATTAATTGTTAATCGTATTTTCTTATTTGCGTTCAAGCCCGAGACGCTAATGTTTACTTTTGACTAGTGTATCCAATCAAGATGTGGTCCCAGTCAAAATCAACAACTTTAAAGACCTGAGCTTGGGGATCTTCCAAGCTTTGAAAAACGGATTGCTATCAGAAGATTCTGAGATTTTCGACTTAATTCACTGTCGAACAAGTACAGTTCTTGAAATTTATGATCCTGGTTCCTGGAAGGCGACCTCTTTAATGATGATGAGATGAATTTGAAGTAGGAAGTACGGGCTTTTTTAGAGCGCATTGGGTTTCATTGTTGGCCAGGGACAGTGACAAATCGAAGAATAGGTCCCATTACATCAGTGCACCAACTGCAACTCCAAACGACGACGAATAATATGATGCTTTAAGCCCTGCATCGCACTTGAGCACTCCCCCAGCCAGCCTCTCCGAATCCACGTTACCAACCCCAATGTTCTCTTTCTCATCAACCCTTCTACATCGAAACCCTCTTCTTTCGCTCTACAACTCTTGTCCGTTAGATGAAGCCTTTCTCTTTCTCTCTCTGTGGCTGATCATCAACTTTTAACTATGAAGAAACTCTACCGCAGAGGCACGGTTCATCCATCACCACCAATCACAACCGATCATCTGTCCTTCCTTCCTGCCACCATCTTAACCCTTGCGGCTGCTCTTTCCCCTGAAGACAGAGAACTCTTGGCCTATCTCATCTCTTGTTCTTATAACGATTTTGGGAACTTTTCAAGCCACCGCAAAAACACCCCAAAAAATCCAACAAAAATAAGCATCAGCAACATCAGCAGCAGCGTTCATGATCATCCACCTCTGTTTACCTGTGATTGTTTCAGGTGCTACATGAGTTACTGGGTCCGGTGGGATTCATCGCCAAACCGGCAGCTGATACACGAGATTATAGATGCTTTTGAAGATGGGTTAGCTCAAAGCAAGAAGACAAAGAGCAAGAAAGACAGGAAAAAGAAATACAATGCTGCTGATGGGTCTGGTGGCTTGAAACGACCCGATTTGAGTTTACTAAAGGATGACTCAAGTGAGTTGAAATCAGTGGAAGAGAGTAGCAGTAGCAGTAGTGGTGGTGGTGGTGGTGAAATTTGTGGGGATGACGGTGAAGAAGGAACAGGCAAGGGTTCAGTAAGGAGGTTTGTGAACTTCATTGGAGAGAGGATTTGGAATGTTTGGGGCCAATGAATTTAGACAAGAATCGAGGAAAAGTGGTGGGTTTAACTTTTAACTCCAGCCTTTTGATATAAGACTTTCTTGTTGCCCACCATTTTCTAGCTTAAGCTCTCTGTTCAATACAAATACAACATTCAAAATTAGTTATAAACTTATGATCGGTGGAATGGAAATGAGGATAACAAATTGATCTTTTTTCCACTGTAAAGCAAATTTATTTCTTGCATTTTCTGTGTTTCTTACCTTTTCCTTCTGTTTTTCCTTAATATTTTCATAACTTTTTTATGCATGTTAAGGATTGAAATTGGATTCTGTCAAGAGATGGCAATATGCTTTGATTGATCACTCAATTTAGATTTCATTAATCACAAAGTTAACTTCAATATAATCAACAAAAGTACATTTTTCATTTGTTTTTAATAAAATAACCACTTGCTAATGCTAACAATTGCACCAAATTCTAATTATTTTTTTAATTAGAATTTTTATTACTTGAAAGGCAACATTATTCGAAATTTATGTTCCTGTCTCCCTGCCTTCTCTAAGAATAAGAACTGAACCTGTCATGGGACTTCCATTGGAGGATTTACCGGTGGAGAAATAAATCAGGCCAGTATCTGTTTATCTTCAACTACGTGTTAAAATGGTGTTTATCTCATATCTTAGAAATCTTATATTTAAATTGGATCATTTCATTTATTGTCAATTAATTTTAAATTGAATATTTAACGTGATATTTGAGTCAAAAAAAATTTTTTATTGTTCTTTTTAAATTTATCACGTGAAAGACTTATTCTATTTTTATATATATATGATAATAAGATCTGTTAAAGTGATGTTATGTCAAATTCTATAATTTTATATTAAAGTTGAACTCTTTCACTTAATTGTTAGTTAATTTTAAATTGAATGCTTAATAATTCGAAGCAAAGCAGCAGCCAAGCAAAGTCTTGCTAAAATCAGTGATTTCTTCTCCCAAAAACCACATTTTAGGAATCACAATGAAAAAGTCAAAATGGGATTTTCTTAAAATAAAAGAAAAACGAATAACTTTTCAATTGGTAAAACATAGTAAACAACAGTATCATTTTTGCCAAGGAACCCAAGGTTCTAACCTTGTTGATCACAGGGATGGTCTTGGCATAAGAGCCAAGTTGGACCCACCATTCGATGGCTCCTACTTATATGATCAAAGATAATATCAAACTTACATTATCATTGCAGCTATGCTGTTCATATTGTTTTCCACTATAGAGTAATTCCTTGATGAAAACTGAAAACCAAACAATTAAACCTGACTAACCAAGCAGGGAACAATACAATAGTGGGTACAAATCCTAAATCACTCGATGTAACTCACTTAAATCTGCCACCAGCACCCTCCAGCCTTGGATAATTAAAAGAACATCAAATATGTACAAATTATTACGAAGTAATCTTGACCTTAAAGAGGGAAGACGAATAGCAATACCTTCGACTAGAGTCAGGCGTGTACGGGTACAGATGAGCTCATAGATACACATCCCTTTAACCGTTCAAGAATGACATTTCGGCTGACCAGTGCTGACTGGGAAGTTAATGGAAGGCCATCCTTAACACATTCATCATACTTTTCCAAGGCAGAAACAATGTCACAGAAGTCTGGCCGTTTTGCGGGGTTTGGTGCCCAGCAGCGCTTTATGAGGTTTGCCAGCACTGGTTGACAACTCTCCGGCATTGGAGGCCGTTCATTCTGCCAAACAAAGTATATCAAAATTAGAGGAACTGCATCAAGTCCCTGCATTATTGGAATTAGATTAAGACACATCACAATTTTAAGCAAGAGGAACACGCTTTTACAAACACATCATAACAGAACTGTCAACTGTATGAACCTACCTCATGTCTTTTATGTGTAACTGAAAATAGATGAGTCTGTGTAGCTTATTATACAGTTCAAAATTTTGTTCCATATGATACTATTTCTCCCTTACATCTATTATTGTGTAGCAGATAGTACCTTTCGAAGTCTATTTCAAATGGTGTCATGTATTCCTAACATCTCCTGTTCAACCCCTCTCCCCAATATAATCTGAAGCAAAATAGCTTTGTAAGTGGTAGGTGGCCAGAGGTTTCATCAGGCAGATATTAACATCAGAAAAAGCATGCCATTCCAAGTGTTCAGCTATCTTTTATTGGAAGCACTTCCATATTAGAAGATGCTTGCTTCATTTAAAATTTGAGAGTACTTTTGCTTTCTGTTGCTTAGATGAAAGCAGAGCTGTTTGGCGCATACCCGCATCTGACATGGGGGCATTTTGTAATAGGCATAGATAGCACACACCACATACTTATGTTCATTCAAGAGTTCAATAACATTGGTATGTTAAAGTAAAGAGTTGGAGTAACATAGCTATTGATAAGTTCTATCTTGCATGTGAAGTCCTAAGTGGAAGAATTTCTATCCCCACAAGGTTCCCACGAAAGCTCTCAGAATCTGAAGCAGTCAGCAACTCGACAATTGATCTAAGGGTTAATCTCAGCCGATTGTTATTTACATTTTCCATAGTGCCCACAGAGGCAGTCAATGCAGAAACAGATCTTTGTCTTAAGAACAAGAATGATTCTACATATGAAATCTACAATGCTAGAAGAAGCTACCATCGAAAGTGTGATCATCAATGATTAAGTTGTGAAAATGTCCTTACTGACCTTGAAAAGGGTCTAATGTAGCTCTTTCTAAATTCTCTTTATAGCATCACATTGATTCACTAAAGGGGGGAGAAAAGGAAAAGACATTGAATGATGATTTTAACTTCCAAATAAAATGAGGTGGCTTAACATTTTCACAAGAAACTTATGGAAGCATTTAATAAATCATCTCAACTCAGTCCATAGAACTAGTTGCTTCAGCTGGAAGGATCATAATTTCTCAGCTTGACCCCTAATATTATGCAGCTCAAAAATCATGGTTTGGAAAGAACAGAAGCAGATGCGATGAAGCCAGAGAAAAACATTTAAAAAAAACTACAGAAAATTTGAATCTTGCTATTGAAATCTAACCTTTTCAGCCACAGCAAATGCAGCTTGCACAGGGGTCATTCCTTGAAAGGGAAGCAAAGAAGTTGTAAGCTCCCATAATACAATCCCAAAGCTGTACACATCGACTTTCCTAGTATAGGGTTTCTCTTTAATCATTTCTGGTGCCATCCAGCGGTAAGTCCCCATGTTTCCTTTAGTTTCTCGGCACTGTGTTTCTAGACAAGATGTACCAAAATCTGCCACCTTAGCCCGCATTTCATCATTTAGAAGCAGATTATTTGATTTGAGGTCTCTGTGGATCACACCTTGCGAATGCAGATACTCCATTCCTCGGGATATGTCAAGAGCTAACCTCAGTATTGTTTCTGTTGAAAGTGAGTATGGCTCTTTCTTGTTCAGGTACATCCTCAACGTCCCTTGTGACATGTATTCTGTGATGATACAGTAGACAGGTGGCTTCTTGCAAGCAGCAATAAACTGTAAAAAGGACAAACTTTAGCAACAAAAGATTCTACATTTGACTTATTTAACCAAAGATAAGAGGAAAGGGTTAACCCATCTTGTCCAAATATTCTTGTAAAGAAGTATAAAAGTAGACCCCTGACTAGGATGTTAACAGCTAACAAAACGAACAGAAACTCAGGAAGTCCAGGATTTTACTTCGAGAGTGCTCCCACAAGGATTTAACCTGGGTTGACTGAGCTAACCCTTCCTGGGTAGCGAAACTTGTAATTGTAAAATACCATTAAAATTCCCAAAGGCAATGCAGGCTAAGAAAAAAAAAAGCAAGAATTACATAAAATTTGGTGCAGAACAGAGTTTGTCTTTAGATTACATGTTCCCATGCGTCAAGCTGAGTATAACAACAGGTAACAGATAACGACTAGACCATGTCTTACATGATACAAAGCTCATGAGAATTTGGCGTTCAAACAGATTAGTGTCAAGATTTTCTTACGATGCGGCGTGGCATTCATAAAACAACTAGGCTAGACAAGTTCTAGTTAATGACATGAATATAAGAAAATTAAAAGAATCATAGAATTTGCATTTTGTCTTCAAAACACTCCGATAGAAAATCATTCTTGCCAACACCACGTGTGTATTAAACCATGTATATTTCAATTTTAAGTCTTGCCTGAACTATATTGGGGTGAAAAAGACGTGAGAGCAAAGCTACTTCAGACTTAAACTGCTGCTCAAGTTTGGCTTTAGTCTCCCCCTTTTGGTTTGGAATCCTCACCATTTTCACGGCAACAGCTCTTTGCTTGTAAATTCCACGATAAATCCTACTGTGAGCTCCAGAGGCAAATTTGTTACCTATAAACAATTGAGAAAGATCAGCAGTCCACTCCTCTTGATCTTCCTTTGAAACTTCCCAAGTCTCCACATTCTCAGAGTCCAAAATCATTGACCATGATTCCAAGCTATCAAATCTCTTCTTTTCCATGTTCTCCATATCAGAATTCAACTGTGTTTTTGATGAGGAAGGAACTGGCAAATGTTTGCTCTTCGATTTTCGAAAGCGAAATGCATGGAAACATGAGGTTCCCATTGAAGCTTTGGTCAGGCTTGTTCAGCCCTTTATGTGATATGGATTTAAGGAACTGTGTAGGAAACTTTATCCCGTCAAAACAAACAATCAAAAGGTATTTTCCTTCTAAATGTGTGAATTGATTTTAGGAACTGCATGAACTGATTCAAAAACATGGGTTTGGTAGATGAATGAAAAAAAGACAATGGTTTTCATGAATTACTCAAAAGAGTGACAAGATAAAAGAGAATCCTCCAAGTCTTTGAAACAGATAAGAGAGACAGGGAACCAAACTACAGTTTTCCATATCACAAATTTTGTGGTTGAAAACAGAAAAAGTAGCAAAGAGAATTTCATTGGAGCGCAATGAGATGCATATAAACGAATAACAAGTAGAGAAAGTGATTATGGGGTTTCATGGTTTCATGGACAAAGGGTTGAAATGAGGAGCAAATTCATGGGAATGCAGATTTTGCAGAGAAAGGAGTGCAAATTTCCACGGCTTCTTTATAATAGGATCAGGAGATTAGGTCGTTTAGCAGCAGAAAGATGAATTCAAAGCAGAGATTTCAGGGGCATCCCGTGATTGCTCGGTTTGAAAGTATAGACTTTTGAGAAATAGAGGAGAGAGAGAGATGGATAAATAGACAGAAGAGCTTTTTCCTCGAGCCGAATCCAACTCCCTCTGTTTCGTTTCCGTTTCTGTTTGGTCTTAATTTCCTTTTGCATCATTAATGCCACATAGCCACAGTAGCAAAGGTTTCATTTTCATCACGCATTAGCTTTTCTTGTCTGCCTTGCTCGGACATAACGTCTTTCTTTCATTCATAGAAAATTTGGAAGGATCAATAGGATCAACTATATCTGGAAAATGGGCTTTAGGCCTTTGTGAAGAAAAAGGTTTTTGGACTTTGGGCTCCCACACATATTTGATCGACTGATTTCTATTTTTTTTTTTAAAGAAAGAGGGAAAAAAAAATGAAAGAAAAGTAGGTAAAAAAAGGGAAATGTAAAGATTATTTTGGTCAGAAAATTTTTAAAATTATAATTAGCATAAATAAAAGGTTTAACAAAATTAAAGAACAACCAAAAAACAAAATGAACTATTGTGAATAGCATGAAAGTGGATTGACCAAAAAAAAAAAACTATCATGAAAATAAATTAAAATAAAATTAATTAATTAATAAAACTCAATAAAAAATGTTTAAGAGAAATAAAAGAAAATAAAATTACAACATTCAAAAAGTCGATGATTGGTTGGTCATTGGAGTTATGAAAACAAAAGGTAACCGACTTGACCCGACCTCACATCCTATGTGTGAAGATGAGAAAGCGAATCAAATGTGTTTCCTTACTAGGAACTTGATAATCCAATTTGTTTAATTCCCTGACAAATTGCCCCTTTATAGCCCATAATTGCAATCCCTGACCTAACTTTGTGGTCCTGATTAATCACCATTCTCGTGAAGGAAGATTCATTAAAATTGACCAGAGATATTTGTCTGTCTTCCATCAAATGCTAGACAGACAATTGTAAGATTTTCTTCTTTTTTTTTTTTTAATTATCATATGAATTTGCAGTAATCTGCTGTGAATTAACGACATTAAACTACAAAATTGAAGCTGGTGATGATTGGATGGTTCGTGTTGGACTAGATTAATCGACTGATTGATTGATTGGTTGGATTTGAAGAGAAAAAAAAAATGATACTTAGTAGTAAATTGCAAAGATGAAATTCCTTGATAAGAGGAATGGGAGGAAACAAGATTCCCTAGTCTAAAGTAAAGGGAGATGCTTAAGGGGAAGAAGAGAATTATAAAAGTGACGTTGGGTCCATCCTACAAGAAGGAAGAGGACAACATAACCCTCCAAAGTTGATGACATTTTTGCAATCTTTGTGTCTTTTCTAGAGGGCACTTTTGGCTTTTTACCTTTCTTGATAAAAAGATTATCAAAATTAAAAAAAAAACAATTAGATGTGTGATAATAATTTTAAATTTACAAGAATTTATCATTTGAAAAAAAATAAATGAATTATTTGAACTAAAACTAAATTTACTTTACCAATCCCTCCAGTTTGAGGATGAAGCTTTTTTTTTTTATCTTTAGAAATTTTTTTCTAGCAAAAATGTGATTTAAAATTTTTAAAATAATGCAGCTATTTAAATTTTGTTAACGAAAGCTTTAAAAATATTTTTTAAAATTAATTTATATTATTTTTAATAATAATTTATTGAAAGGATTCACAATATATGAAATTCATCCCTAGCTCAGAACACTTATGGAGTCGGGTAGAAGGATATTTTTGTCATTGACTAACAAATTTGTCATACACCATGGACGCCCCATCTGCGTCAGTACCGACGCTTCGGAGACCGAATTTCCATCTTTGATCCTCAGCCGTGGAGTCGCCAATGAGTCAGCACGTTGAAAACGTTTGATTCCTTGTAGGATTGAGGTGGCCCATTTCATTTCCAGGCAAATCTGTCTACCAGTTTTCTATAACAAACTATTGATCCACCACCTAGTTTCAGACAGTAACCAGCACTTCAGTAATTGACTGCCGTCACCATATAGTGATAGATTTGATTTAATTTTATGTTAAATTTGTTTGTATAATTTAATTTAATAATTTTTTGTATGATGTAATATTTAATTTTGATTATAATTTTTATTCTTTTAATTTTATAAAAAAGCTTGGAACAATTTTAAAAGTGCATTCTTATTTCTTCCATAACAAGCAATTTTCGATAAAAATTTATGTACGCTTGAGTAAAAAATAAATTATTTTTATCAATTGAATTAACTTTGTCAATTGTTTTTGGAGTTTAGCAATTAAATATCGGTGCTTGGCTGGGAATAATAATGAATGTATTTGATGGATGAGTGATGGCAGATCTACTAGTACTACCAGTAGAGATGCTCCGCAAATGCAAATGGGCAGTGGCAAGAACAACTGGACCCAGTTAAGCTTTGCCAAAATTAAAATATTGGGTCCAGATTGTGATTGGATTATCCTAACCGTTCAATGATTGCGCAGTCCAGAAGATACTCTGGCAAGAGAAGATCTACAGCGTAGGACCCACAGTTAACACACACTTCTATGACGTCAACCTTTCATGGGGCCAGAGGGACCATTTCTTACCCATTTGACTGTGACACGTGATAACCACCATTGCTCTCAAAATTTACCTCCTTTAGTTTTTTGCATGCACTATTCATTTCTCGTGGCCATTCATAACTGTTTCTGCTAAGTTGATTCGATAATTTAAAATATAACATGACGATAAAATAAAAATTTAAAAGTTTTAATAATTATTATAAATAAATTTAATAAAATAAAAAATATATATTTTAATTTTTATATTTATATAATTTATGATATATAATTTTTATATAAAATATAATATAAATAAATAAATTTTAATATTTTATTAAATTTGAATATATGAACTTCTAAATTTACTTATAAACATTAGTATGAAAATGCCTTAGGCTAAATATAATCATTGCTACTACTAATACATTTATTTTTCTTACTTAATACTACTAATATAATCATAAAAGTTTAACATGCATAAATCTACAATTAAATTAAATTACAACTAGTATAAATATTTAAGTCTAATAAATATACTAATACTAGACTTTAAAGTGATGGTTTAGGGTAAAAAATAATCACTTTAAAAATTATAATATTTATTTAATTAATGATTAAATCTTGACGTTCGGTAAAAAATCAATTATTTTATTCAAAGGTAATCATAAATCATTAAGTAAAGTGATACGTGGCGAAACGTCATAGGGCAGTAGTCTTCAAACTTTTTGAAAGGATAAAGGATTAAAAAGTAAATTCACAACCCAAACCATACAACCAACAGCGCACCGCCATTTCAAAGGAAGAGGACACAGATGTAATTACGGCATTTCATCTCGGAAATTTTGGTCATTTCACTCACTCCACTCCTTCCTACTCAAACACCATCATTTCTCTCCACTCCTCAGTCTCTCTGCAACTGGCTTCCCCCCAATCGCCACTGTCTCTCTCTTTTTTTCTTCATAGCTAAAATAAAAAATTAATTAATAGAATAAATAGAAAGAAAGGAGGAAAAATGGGTTCTCGCGTTCAGTCTCATCAGCTAAGCAATGGGCTGTTCGTGTCGGGCAGGCCGGAGCAGCTGAAAGAAAGGCAACCGACAATGTCGTCACGGGCGGTACCGTACACAGGCGGTGACGTTAAGAAATCAGGAGAGCTGGGGAAAATGTTCGATATCCCAGTGCTTGATCATTCCTCATCCATTGGTCCTCCTTCAAATCCCAACTCAAACCCCAACTCCAAGCAGCAGCAACAACTTCTGCAACCTTCACGTGCTTCCTCTTCACAGCCCAACAGCGGATCCTTGCGGTCTGGGTCCAACTCAGGTCCGATCAGGAAATCCTCCGGGCCCATGCCGCTTCAGCCCACTGGGCTCATCACTTCAGGTCCCCTCAGCTCCGGTCCCAGGAGGTCAGGGCAGCTCGGCCAGGCGGAGCAAGCGGGTGCTGTGTCGGGGAAAGCAGGGTACGGGCCGGGGGTGACGAGTCTCGGGGAAGGGGTGAAGTTTGGGTTTAGCGTGTCGAAGGCAGTGATTTGGGTGGTGATGGTGGTGGTAGCGATGGGTTTGTTGATGGGGGCGTTTCTGATGGTTGCCATCAAGAAGGTGGTGGTTCTTGGGGCCGTGGGTGCTTTGGTGGCGCCAATGGGGTTGGGATTAATTTGGAATTGTATTTGGGGAAGGAAAGGATTGTTGGGGTTCGTGAGGGGGTACCCAGATGCTGAGCTCAGAGGTGCTGTTGATGGCCAATATGTGAAAGTTACAGGGGTAAACTCTTACTACATTATATTTTAGTTTATTTTTGTATATCTATTTGTGGAAACTGAAGACTGCTCTAGAAATATTCGACATTAATGTGTGTTAATTTTTTGTTTTGATTTCCATTTTGATAAATGTCTAATATGGTAATTCATATTTGTCATTGTTAACGGTGGGGTTTGGTTTTTCTTTGTTAGATGAGTTAACGGTTTGAGTCTGGATTCAGTTGGATATTTGTTTGAGTTATTTTTGTTTATAATTGGTAATTATAGATTGCTTTGGAGGGATATTTTCATAATGATGGGATTTGAGGTCAAAATACTAAATGTGGGTGTCTAACTATCTATATTGTTCTGCAAATCGTTCCTATAGCTGAAAAGAAATCTCTAAGTGCGTTGAATACATATTCTTTGCTTGAAACAATTAGAATCTTATGGGTTAAATGGTTGTTCTATTAGTTGTTTTATTCTACCTGTGGGTCTGGTACATCTGAATGATGCATCATGCTGAGTGAACCAGTTGGCAGTTTACTGATTTTGGAGATCTCATATGATCTTTTTTTGAGGACTAGGCATAAGCTTACTGCTTCATTTTAGTATTTTTGCAACATTGAAGCTATGATTGGTTCACTCAGCTGAAGATGGGGTAGTTATGGTTCTGGGTTTCCAACACTTGAGATCATTAATTAGGAATTACATTTTGTGCACATGATCATGGGTTCATGGGGAGGCATGCGTCACATGCCAAATTGACTGGTAAGGTACAGCGTTGCATGTGGGGAACTGCATGTATTGGCATCGGAAACTGATGGCTGCCATTAACATCTACCCATGGTTTGGTTTGTTCTTATGGAGTTTGTCTTCTTCGAATTGGACTGGTTTTTTATGTGATTTTAAGGATGAAACCTGAAGTTGATGGTGTAGTAAGTTTCATAGTAAACCGTTAAGTTTTTAATTCTTATATATTGATTATGCTATAGAATTAATAAAATCTCAACTCTTATTGTAGGTTGTGACATGTGGCAGCATTCCTTTGGAGTCATCTTACCAGAGGGTGCCCAGATGTGTATATGTTTCCACAGAATTGTACAAGTATAAAGGATGGGGTGGAAAATCTTCAGACCCTAAACACCGTTGCTTCTCATGGGGATGTGGACATTCTGAGGTATTTGTTTTGGCTTAGAAAAATGTTCAGATTCTGTATCAGTCATGTTTCGCAAACTCAGAAATGTTGCTTCTGAGTAAATTTTCTCTTAGGCCACCCTTTTTTTTATTGTGAACAGAAATATGTTGCTGATTTCTACATATCAGACTTCCAATCCGGATTAAGAGCACTAGTCAAAGCTGGCTATGGAGCTAAGGTTGCTCCATTTGTCAAACCAGTTACTGTAGTTGATATAACAAAGGAAAACAGGGACTTGTCTCCAAGCTTTTTACGCTGGCTGGCAGAGCACAATCTCTCTAGTGATGATCAAATAATGCGCCTAAAGGAGGGGTATACTATTTTTTGTTCTACTTTTAGTCTCATATTGATTTATTATGCATCTTAGTTGTATCTTTGTGGGATTTATACACTTAAGCTTTAAATAATTTGCAAATTAATGATATCATTTCTTGAAGCCTTTTAGAACATCTGAGTATCATTACTGATAAGAGGACATTTGTGTGACACAGTTACATAAAAGAAGGGAGCACTGTAAGTGTGATGGGGGTTGTCCGACGCCATGATAATGTACTCATGATTGTTCCACCATCAGAACCTATCTCAACAGGCTGTCAATGGAGCCGTTGCCTCCTGCCAACATATGTTGAAGGTCTTGTTTTGACATGTGATGATAATCAGAACGCTGATGTTGTCCCTGTGTAGATACGTCGCATTTCATATTAGTTTCTGTTTGCAACTGGATGTCACAAGTAAATGCTGTTAAAGATGGAATTGCTACATTTCTGTCCTCCTTTTCCTGCTAATCAAGTGCATGCAAATGAGGTAGAAGAGACATAACACTGAGGAAGACTACAATCACATAATAATCAAGGATAATCTACTCCTAAATCAACATGTCTTGGCATTGAGTTCCAATGAGGGAAGAAAATTTTTCTTTTGCATGAAGGTAGAATATGTTGTATTGTGAAGATCCACGAGTTTGAGTTAATGTATATAAGTTCAAAAGGAGCCCTAACGGGTTCAAAAATGGTTGGTTTCTTTAGACAAGGTAAAGTTTAGCCTGTGTAAAAGTATTTTTGTTCAAGTTTTTACATATTTTGCAGTTGATCATGCCCAATGTTGATAAATTACATAGTATATATGCCAATATTATAACAGATACGAAAGTTATCCTGCTGTTTATGGTATATTTGCTAATGTCATTCGATGCTATTCCTCCTACTGATTAGACATAATGTATAAACTGCTTCTCCCTGGCCTTCCCCCTTTTAAGTTTTATTACTCTGAGGATGCAAATAGTTATTGAAACTGAGGCAATTCTAAATGTTTTACAAGAAGGACAATGGATTGCGGGCCTTGGTATCCCATAACATTCAAATACGACTCTGCAAATGAATTCCAAGGTTCTGGGTTCAAATGGACTGTTTACCGAACTGCCTGAGTAAGAGAATGCTGTGCGAGTTACATTGAACTTTATTTTTACTTCATTTTTTTTTTTTGTTTTAAATGTCAGATTTTATACTAGTATTTATTTATTTTGAAAGAAAGAATCAAAGAACTTATTGTTTGAAAAAATTATAGTTGAAGGTCAACTTAGCAAATTTAAAAAGAAGCACTACTGAATTAATCGATCTGCCTCAAAGTTGTTCCATTAAAGACAGCAACAATCGGTTCTGGTTATAGAAAATAGCGAACCAAGTACATGTATCAAAAAGACAAGATAGATCTTTATTAACATTACTTATATTTCTTATAAAAAGGAGAAAGTCAAGGAATTATGGCAAGGTAAGGTATACTAAAGTCTAGAGGGCATTCCCCCTGCCACCACCAGAGTTTCTCCAGTAATATAACAAGCATCATCAGAGGCCAAGAAAGCACTTGCAGCAGCCATGTCTTCTGGGGTTCCAAGCCTTTGAAGTAAGGTCTTTTCCTCAGCAATCTTCCTCTGCAACATTCCAATTCAAATTCTGTCCTTTATAAGACAAAGGACATCAGTTTAGCAAATAGTAGCCAGAGCTAAAAGCACATATTCACTTACCACCGCCTCATCTTTTGTGATGTATTCTGCAAAGTGGGTTGGAACAAAACCAGGAGCAACACAATTTACACGAGTATCAGGGGCCATCTCCGCTGCAAGGGCCTAAAATATGTTCAGGTAATGTTTAGAAGATGAAAAAGACTTAAAGGTGTTTCTAGAATTCTTGAAAAAGTAATTGATAGCATATAATGGGATAAGACTTGAACACCAACCTTGGTCAATCCAAGAAGGGCTGTCTTGGTTACCCCATACATAGCCATAGCACCCTGCGGATTAAAGCCAGCAATTGAGGATATAAGAACAACTGATGAACCCTTCTGCAAGTGAGGAGCTGCCTCCTGCAATAGGTAAAGAAGTCATGGCCCTTCCTCCTATATGCAGTCGAAGTTTAACAAATACAAATACAGGGAAAGTAACCAAGTACACTGCCTAATGTAAGACTAGAGAATAGCCCGACAATACAACTCTAACTATGTAATCATAAGTTCAGAACAATATGCATCATATACACTACCGTATAGCTTTTATGTTCTTTTAGTTCCCAATATTAACCTTCATGCAAAAGATTTACCTGTAGAAGAAGTACAGTTGCTTTGACGTTTATTTCCCATAGCTTGTCAAGAATAGATTCTTGAGTTTGCAACACGGGATCTACAGTTGGATTTACTGCGGCATTTGATACAAACACATCGATTTTTCCATATTCCTGAAACAAAAACCAGCAATTTTAAATCACAGTATAGAGCAACATTAAACAATTACTAGCATAGACTGATACAAAGATGTTCTTGGTAGATGTTCAACTTGACAACTGGATTGCACTTCCAAAATTAAGGATTTCAGGCACTTTAAGAATAAAAAATTATTGGATAAAAATACTAACCTCAACAGTCTTTTGGATAAGATGTTTCCTTTGTTGTGGATTTGAGACATGACAAACCACTCCCAACACTCGAATTCCTTTGTTCTTAAGCTTTTCAACTGCCTCATCCACATTTTTCTGTAAGCACACCAAAAGAACAAACATCCATCCTTGTATTTAAAATTTAACTAGTTCTGGAAAAACGAAAATTCAACATGGTATTTGAATTTGTTATAATTACAATAAAAACCACCTACTTAAAATCCCTAGACGGATTGAACTGAACTTAGTAAACGTTTATTTTTTTTCTTTTAGAAATCTGTTAATCCAACAGATCATGAAACAATAAAACTGAAAATTTCAAGATAGATTTACTTATTCAAAGGAAAATAAGAAGGAAAAAAAGTCAATGATTAAAAACGTTTCGGCATGGGAGATCCAAAAGAAGGAAAAGAAGAGAAAACCTGTTTTCGAGAAGAGATGACAATGGAGGCACCTTCCAAGCCGAGACGCTCGGCGATGGCGAGGCCAATACCTTGAGTGGAAGCCGTGACAATAGCGACTTTGCCTTGAAATCTCCTCCCAATCTTCATCGCCATTTCTAAGAAGAGTTTTGTTCGTTTCCTTTACTTGTATGTACATCGGTCCTAGATCTACTCATACTATTTATTAGGCGCAATTTACTATTATTTGTTTAATAATAATATAAAAATATCATTATAAATAATAGTTTAAATCATATTTTTATTAGAAATACTATAAATGTTTGCAAGACAAAGGATTGTTGCAAAACGAAAATCACAAAAAAAAAAAACCATTATGCAATTATTCCTCAAATTACTGCTTCCTGCGGAATACCAGTCAAATCAGTAAAGTATATATTCATGTTTTTCAAAAAAAAAAAAAAAAGATAAAGCAACTGCAACCAACAAAAAAAAAAAAAACTTGCATCGTCATCCTGGGTCGCAATTTCTGGATGGGGACAATTTGCGGTCTGGTCTTTGTATGTTTTGGGTAAGTTAATGGACTCCAATTATTTACCCACATGAATTCAAAAATTAAGGAACATTTGCATTTACAATCATTATAGTACAATCAATTAATTATAATTTAAAATTATATAAAATTATATAAAATTTATGTATAATTTATACTTATAAAGAATTTTTTTATAATAATTAAATAATTATAATAAGATATTAAATAAAATTATAGACAATATATTCTTAATAAAGCATCTCACTTCTAATTTAATTTCTTAATAACCGCTTATAAAAACCATCATCATATGAATACAAGACATTGTTAAAATGTGACTACAGGGTAGAAGCAAGATTATCGCAAATTCAATAAACAAAGCATTGTGTGAAGCATGAAAACTAAATGTCGGAATGTTAAAATAAATTCATGTCTGATATACTTAAATTGTATGTACTGTAGAAAAATTTTAGATAAATAAAAATTACAATTTATAAAAAAAAAAAAACCATCATCATATTGAATTACTAATTAACTTACTTAACACTGATCACTTTGGCATGCTTTATGTTGGAAAAACTTATTAATTAATTTCATAATTTACAAAAACCTTTAAGATAACTAACCATGATAAATAAAAAAAAAAAAGTGTAATTTTTCAAAGTTATGAACCGAAAAGCGAGTAAAAAAAAAAGTCTTCCGTACATTTTTGTGCATCAAAATTTCAAATGATTTCTAGTAAACAACTGCACAAACATGAGATTTAATTTAAAGAACAAGCTTTAAAAAGCCTCTTAAGAATAGGTTATATCTAAAGCATAGATAAATGGAACACTTGGTTCACATAACTTACGAATATGGTGACAGTTTCATTCGTAAGGATTCCTAAAATTCTTCAAGAGCTCTGGAATTTCATATCCTAACATATCGTCTAAAGCTTGTATCATCTTAGGCTTCAATTTCTCAAATTTATCAATACTGTAACTATTCAACACCTCCCTATAGTGCTCAACACCTGGGAAATCCCCGGCCGGCAGATGGAACTCTCGTTGGACCTGTTTCATATAAAGTTACATTAATAAATATAAAAAAAAATGTTTAAAAAGAATTAACAAGATAACAAAAGACAAAATAAATTAAAGACAGACCTTCCCAAATTCATCTTCGAGATTATCAACAAGCCGTTGTTGGGCTTTAGCTTTGCCCATCATACTAGGCATCTCCTTCTTGAGATGGCTAATTATATAAGCATGAATTTTCGCAGCTCTAGCACGCTTCACAAATTCATTTATCTGCAGTACGCATTTACCATCATACACATACAGATTAACTAAACATACAATTATGAAAGCATATACATTGAACCATGCATGGGCACTTTAAATATGAAGAGGAGACATGTACCCGGCGATCACAAGCCTGTCTTGGAATGTCTAGTAAGTCCTTGATAAGATCATCTTGTTCTTTATCAAAAAGATCTTGCCCCAATGGATCATTAACACCTTCATTAATGAGCTTATCATTGAAGGAGCTATCAAGAGAGGATAGATTAGAATTGCTATAAATATAAATAACATTAAATATTCCATTGCAATAACTTCTCTGGAAAATAAACTTACCCAATGTAAACACGCACAACCTCTGGAGTATTCAAAACTTTTCCAAGTGACCACATCAAAGCTCCATAAACTCTCATTAGCTGTTAATGTGAAATTGATAAGTTGTAATGAATGTGTGAAAGTATACCAACACAAAGTCTGCAAATGGAAAAACAGTAGAGTATCATACTTGTTGGGTATCAACTTGGTGTGCTTTATTTAGGACAACACGTATCTTGTCGTCATTACCACGTAAAGATGAAATTACTCGTTTAAATTCATCACTTATGTCTAACTTGTGAGGGTCAAATAGAAGAAGAATGAGATCACATTTGGCTGCAAACCACGATATAACACCAGTGAAATCATAACTTCGTTGTGTTCTCTGTTTTTCTCCAGATAGAACTCCAGGAGTGTCCACAAATGTTATTTGATCTAACAACTGCAACCATGACAATGATATTAGTAAAAATAACTGATATATTAATTAATACAGAAAAGGAAAAAGAAAATTTCAATAATTCTCACTGGATGTGGCATTTGAGAACACTCAAATTTTGATAAAAAGGCTCCTCCAAAAGTTGTCAATCCACCAAATGGCAGATCTGCTTGAACAGCAACAGTGTTCCCAGGTATACTCCTTTTGTCAGGTCCAGACTGAGGTATACAAGAAAAATGCAAGTAATTTTTACTACACTGAAGCCACATATTGTCATCTGTTTGTTATAAATAATTTCCTTACAAGTGAAGGTTTACTCGTTCGGGGTAAGAAATTGACCCAAGAACAGTGTTATCACTCAAAAAGGATAAAATACATAGAATTATATCATAAATAAAATAAGTCCTGCGATAAATGACAAGTTTTAGAATTCATTAATACATATAATCATTTTCAAAACCAGAAAGTTTGGACATCGTGTTGCATACCATTACAACTACAAATCTATCAGTTGTAGGCTCTGGTCCTATATGAGCTCCTGCCAATTGAATGATGACGGAAAGCTCAGCCCACATCATAATCAACTTACCACATTAGCATTGTTTATAGGAATGAAAAAGGGAATAAATGGCTTTAGCTTACCTGGGTAATCACATTGTAACAAATGTTTTATAAATGTAGTTTTCCCGGTTGAATATTGACCCAACAGCATAACCATAGGTTTAGCATCAAAGTCACTGTTTGTCTGCATGTAGAAAATCACAGGTCAATTCACTGCATTATTAAAGCATTTGTGCCAAAGAGTATATGAAATGCCACAATGAGTGGCATGTTATCTGTTTCTGCACGTAGACTTCGAACACTACAGCATTGAACCATTCAATTCAAGTTCACACATTTTCTGTTTGGTTAAAAACAAAGCACAGTTCACTTACCAATAAAGGAGACACAAAATCATTAAATTGATAGGCAACTTCCAATGGCTTTAGCTTTTCAATGTATAATCTCTTCAAGCCATCAACAATTGAGGTAACTGCATTTGCAGGTGTCTGGGCAATAAACAGAGAAAACAAACTCATCATGCAACAAATACAAATGAAGACATCTTGACAAACAGGTAAGGATTTGCACAGCACTTGAACATTGTGAAAAGTAGGCATCACAACACAACCTGATTTAGAGATTAATTGAACTAAGACATGTCATGTATTAGCTGAGCAACTGAACTTAACAGGCCTTAATAAAAAATCAAGGAACACAAAGCATAAATGCAAAAAGAAAGCTGTAAAAGGTCCATTAGTTAACAAAAGGTTAGCCGCCAATATCAAACAGATATGATGAAGCATGACTGCATGAACAAGTCAATATAGAGGCAAAACAAACTCCCTTTAGGCACAAAGAAACTGAGAAATTACCTTTCTTGCAGACTTTGAGGTAAACCATTTAGCAGATGTTGGAACTTGGGGCTGACTAGATCCTGCATCATTACTCATTAGAACTTAGAAGTAAGCTAATTCATGAAAACCAATTGAACAAGCTCATGGGAAACACTCAAAGACAGGATAGTATCTAACCATTCATTCGAGGCTCACCATTTATTGTCAAATCCTTTCTCTTCTGGGAAAGAAGAGCAAATAAAGGAAAGTTATAAAAACTAACAAATTTGACTCAAGCAATTAAATTGGGAAGGCAAAATAAAGAAGACCCCTTACTGCTGTTAAGGCATCCAAACCTTCCAATAAAGGAAGACTGATATTCTCCACGTCAACTGGCATAAACAGAAGAAGCATCAACATGGATTCAAAAACAAGAATATGACAACTAGAGACTCATGCATTCTCTGATATTATAACATGACAAAATAGTAAAACAGAATAGGTTATTTACAACTTGCCTGAATTTTTAAGAACATCAGAGGTTATTTCATGTCCTGTTTGTGCCAAAGATACCAGCTGCAAATCAACAAAAACCCAAACAATCAAATCATACAAACTAGAAGAAGATAAAATCTCGATTTATAAATAAATACTCCATTCCATTATACAACCTGCATAGCAACAGTGAACTCTGTCAACCCTAAAAACCCTTGTCGTTTAGAATCTGCAATCGCCCAAATCTAAAGATACAAAAAGAAAAAAAAAAAAACCCGTAAATAATGTTTACTCAAAACAATCATACTCTGATCATTAAACATTAAACGCAAAGTTAGTCCTAAACATTATAATAAAATGAAAAGCTTCCATAACATATGTACTCGTAGGCTAGACGAAGATTAGATCTATAAATATATAAACTGTCCTTCATATTTCAAAAAATTATCAATACATTCAAAGAGGAAGCCAACCATAAACAAGCCCCGCCTCAATCTGTAATCGCTGAAATCAAGATATCTAAAGTACTACAAAATAACACTTGAAATGAACTTGAATAACTTTTATTAAAGTATGACTAATCTTGCTAAACAAGTTTCTATTACCTGCTTGAGTTCTTGACGAGAAAGTTTAGACATGGCGAAGAACTTTGTAGCATCATTTCCAGTAACACGCCCATCACCATCTATAATGAAAGAAATTTTACGGTTGAAATCAACCAAAAAAAGAAGAAAAAGAAAGGAATTGATTAAAGAACGAAGATAAGTAAAGGATGAAACCTGAATCGGCGATATTGAACCAATCTTTGTAGATCTGTTGGTGCTCTTTGGGACATGATCCGATCGGGATTGGACTTGCCTCCATTTTCACGCTCACAGTGTTGAGGTATTGAAATTTGAAATTGGAATAAAAAAAAATGGAGAGTGAGTGGTTTTGTAGTTTGATTTCCGTATTTTATGACGAGTTTGGCGCTCGGGTTCGGGGATAAGAAGGGATAAAACGACGTCGATCAAAGAGCCCTCCTGAGATAAAACGATGTCGCTTCGAGAGTGTGTTTTGCGCTCCCAAATGCTGCGCTGGCAACGTCGCTTGGAAACGAACGGAACTGATTAGATGGTTAGAGCCATGAGATGTTCATGGTACTGTCGGTTACATCGTGGACGAGATTTCAAAATGGACCTACTGAAAACGAGATTTTTCATACATTTCGAATTTGAATTTCTAATTTCATCTTATCAATTGCTTTTTCTTTTAAAGCATTTCAATTTTAACTTTTTTCCCTTCCAATATTGGTTGATGGAATAAATATAGGAACCCAGAGAGGCAACTTTATTCTATTGACATGCTTTGTCATTAACCAAATCTTAATCTAAAGTTTTGGAATGGAGCCGGTTTGCACGGAAGCTTAGAACCCTCAAAAAGAGAGGAGCCCATACAAAATTGCCAATCATTACGGATCTCAGTGGACTGGCCTGGCACATGTCTAATTATCAAGAAATTACTTTTAAATGTTGTTTTTAGAAATTCTAATATGCAAAGAGGGATTATTAACTTACTATTCTGATTTGAAACTCAGGCTAGTCGTTTTTTTTTTTTTTTTTTGACATCAAGCTAATCGGCATAGAGCGAAAAGAAACGAATAATTGTTTTTATAATAATTATAAGTTGAAATAAAGCATACTATTTTCAGTTTTTAATAATAGAATAAAAATATTTTCCTGGTAATCTACAATTATCTGCGGATTCCCCGTCTTACGGAAGAAAAAGCAAGAGACAATTGTGAAATGATTTTAAAGAATTAAAATTTGATGATAAGTACTTGAACAAAAGCAATTCCATTCCCTGTGTATTAGTCACTTCCACGTGAAAATAACCAGCAGCACATCTGCATGATCAAAACTAAATAAGTACCTAGTAAATGAGAGATTGAAGTATAAAGAAAGCAAGAAAAATTCATCAAATAATAATGTTGGTACTTGGGGTGAAAAATGTATCTAAATTCTGGTAATTTTACCTTTTTCAACTCAATTCCATGTTGATTAAACTTGCATTACCATAAATAAGATATTAAACTTGTCACTAACTACGAAACTGACAGTACCTTTGAGTAAAAGGAAGAACTTGGACGTCTACGTTGATGATGATGATCTGAGTAATTGCTCGGTTGTGGAGGCACGTTTGGAAAATTTGATGGAGTTTGCTTCTCCTCTTTCACTTTGTTAAATATAGCAGTGTACCCTTCACCTGATGTGGGGTCAGTTTCATCCCATTCCCCAAATTTTGGTATTGATGCTGTTCTATGATGCTGCTAGTTAATCCGATCAAACCAAAAATAGTCAGTTGAAAATTGTAATGATGAAGGAAATAAGATCACCAAGACTGAAAAACACCATGTAAAACAACAACAACAACAACATTCCCTACATATAGATTCAATAGCAAACCAAGATATGATGACTGACTAATCCGTGATTTCCATGCAAATCTAAGAGACGAGATTAGCCAAAGTTTCCATTTGAAGGCAAAAAGATAGTAATATGTTCAGGTAGAATACTTACTTCATTACCAGCAACTTTATAGCTTCCACTTCCTTTTCTAGAATGTCCTGAGACAGATGCAGAGAAGCTACTGCCCCCAGATCGACCTTTCTTTTGGCCAGAGTTTGTATGTGATCGATGATTTGACTGCAGAAATGAATGATCAGAGTAGCTGTTTTCACTGCCAGATTCCGCTGCCATTCTCCTATGGCTTCTAGCACTCTGGCTTCTAGCAGTCTTTTGATAATCATAAGAACCGCTTCTATTAGGAGTATTCTGCCTGCTCTGTCCGTCAATGTGGTGTTTATCTGCCGAAGTGGACTTACTAGAATTGACAACAAGAGGAACCTGAACTGGCTGGCTATGACAATTTCCTTCCAGGCCTCCCCTCATGCACATGAAGGCCTCTGGATTCTCCTCAGGGTCATTTGGGTTCATTCTTATGCCAGCCTTTTCTTTACGAGCATTTTCAAAGTAAGTTGTATAAGGCAGATTATCACTGTCCCAATCACCAAATCTGGGGACATGCGAGCGCTGTGACAAGCATAGAAGTTACGATAGCATCATGATGGAAAAGGAACATAAATCAAAATAAAATAAGGGAAAATGATTCAATCTTAATCTCTACTAAATGTTTGCAGTTTTGCACATCTGAAACTGCAAACATGTATGATATTGTCGTTAACACTCTTGGTCACCAAGCCAACTCCAGACAAGATTTTTCATATATGAAAAGGGAGTAACAATTCGAAAGGGAATGCCCATTGAAGAGATTAATCTAGAGAAAACAGAGTGCTAAATGCAGAATAGCAGATGAATGAAACAAATTGCTGAGACTCCAGTTGATTGATAAACAAAACCACCCTCAAATCATCTTCATATGATGAACTCACCAGCTTTGCTTGAGACATGTCTCTCTTATCCTGACTGAACACAAGACTAGATCTATACATAAAAAAAAAAAAAAAAAGAGTATAATGACAAGTCTGATTGTTACTTTAGAGGGAACATGTCGGTGCCCCGATATTGTTGAGGATAAACATTGAGCCCAAAATTTGGGACAAGGAGCTTTATTACGCTCAAATGATCATATTAACAATCTAGTTTAGGGCTTAACTCTCTGGCTTTTCGCTCTCAGCCCTGCTCTTCAACTAAAATAAATAAATAAAAGTGCTACCATAACATCCTCAACTGTATAAACCGTAGTTAAAAGTTAAAACCTTTAACTATCTTACATCTTCCTGACAGGATGAGTTAAAAGTAAAATTATACCCACCAGTTCCCAAATCAAACCCCACCTAAAAGACCCTCTTCTTTAATGGATGTTGAAAGAAGTTAGTTGTTTCTGGTAAGCATTTATTAAACAGTGGAAAGAAATAAGAAAAGGAGAAAAAGGCAGTCCTAGGGCTTCTGAGTGATAAATTTAGAAGACAAAAGGTAATAAAAAGTATATACGTTCAGCAAGGAGATCAATTAAACACAACTAAACCGTATTAATTATAAACTGCTTCACAATATCAACACTAACGAAATAAAAAGTTGAAAAAAAATGCTTACAGCCATGGATGATGAGAGTTATAGAATTCTTGAGAGAAAACCCTTGAAGGAGTTGCGTATAAAAATGACATTTTAGTGTACAGTTATAAGCCTTGACCTACGGAAAATCCTAAGAGTAAAAGACTTCCTGATTCAGACAATGATTCGATGGTATCAAAGTGTATATAAGAAGATATTATATTTCTAAAATGAAACAGTTGCTGATGTATCAAAGCAACCGAAAAGCCAAGCCAATAAAAATACTCTAAAAAAGTAGAGTACATGTACAGCTATAAAAATAAAAATTAAAAACATCCTGGCATTTAAGCTTCGGTTTGTCTAAGAAGGGAAAATTGAGAGATGAGATGGGAATATTTTGAATGATGTCATGTCACATGAATCAGGCCTTTTGTCTTTCTCTTTGCTTCCATCTTGTTGTATTTTAGTTTTTACTTTGGCTCTGCCGGATAATGGGAACTACGGCGGCGTTGTACACGTGGAGTACACGGACATCAGCTGAGGAGACGGACACGCTCCCCTGCCCTCCCATGGTCCCCATTTCTAATTTCTTTCAGCTCCGGTCCTCATGAATTTTCCATTTCAACCGACAGGTCTACGCGCTTTTATGCTTTGCATGACAACTAACATGCATATGAAACTTTTTAAAGGCGTCAAAGCGGTAACTTCAAAGAAGGAATTCTTATGCAGTGAAGAAATTTATTTGACTTCTTGCCATGATATGATATGTTTGAACAAGAAAGTTTTGAATCTGAAGTGCTTGATCTTTTTCTTAAAAATTTTCTGATATCTACAAATCATTAAAGACCCAAATATGCATGAGTTCATACTACCTACAGTTTACTTACGAAGAGATTCAGAAAAACATCATTTTGTCATGGATTTTAGCTTCCAAACAAGAATAAATCAGAATAAACTGTAGACATAAAACAACAAGTTCTCTCGGCTCCCAAGATCAACAGACAGAAAAATTATAGCAGTCAACTGTAGCAAAAAAAGACAGAGACCTACCACTGAAATCACTGTAACAGGTCACTGTAATAGTACTGTAGGAGAGATGAAAGATGGAAGAAAATAAGATTCTCAACGAATGCTTAAAACTAATTACAACAAAGGTTTAAATAGAAAAATTATGAATAGTAACTATATACAGTTTTCACTACAGTGTACAGTAGATTTTTTATCTACAGTACTGCTACAGTGATCTGTTACAGTGATTTCGGTGGTAGGTCTCTATCTTTTTTTGCTACAGTGACGTTTTATCTGTTTTCTACAGTGACTGCTACAGTTTTTCTGTCTGCTGGTCTTGGGAGCCGAAAGAACTTGTTGTTTTATGTCGGCAATTTGTTCTGGCTTATTCTTATTTGGAATATGCACAGTAATTATCTTTCCATAATATTGTTTATGTTATGAAATTCTTCATCCAATGCATTATAGACTGGGGTGATAGAGGAGATCTAAAATGTGATTTGTTCCACATTTGCCATCCTTCTTGGTACTGATATAGTAATTCTGTTGGATGATCTAAATCTTTCATTTTAGATAAGTTTTCCAGTAGCTGGATTGCTTCTGGTTCATTTTGAATATCCAGATCTTCATGTGATTCAAGAAATTTGAGGACAAAAATACGTTTGCCATCTGTCCAACAAGCTATTTTGGGATAGTCTGGCTTTGTGGCTAAATGGAGAAAGAATTTTACTTTTTCCATTAGGTCGATTCCTATTTGGAAGTGGTAACTGTTTGGGTTTGAATATTTAAAGATGGTTTTGTTTAAATCATCTGAGAAATCGATATGGTCAGTTGGTGGATCAAGTATGGTAAGGGGTTGAAGAAAATATCCATCGGATATTCTATCAAATTTTCATATTTGATATGGTTGGTAAAATCTTTCTTTTTGAAAGGTACCCAAAAGACTGTATATAATAAAATTGATGTAATAAAAATATTTTTTACAATAATTTGTTCGACTAAACCAAGTTCAATGTTTTTTACATCAAATATTTCATGATCAAGTCAAAATTTAAATTTCAGTATGAATTCACTGAGTGCAATATTATACATATAAGTAGAAGTATAATATTCAAAAAAAATTTCTATCAACAGTGTTTTTATTAATCATAAAATAGAAAAATTAATTTGCTGGAACAATTTCTTGGCTAGAAATACCACAGCTTTTTCAAAAAAAAAAAAGTCTCTTAAGCTTGTTTAGCTTAGAAAAAGTATAATTTTATTTTTCAAAATATTCACATAAATTCAAGAAATTGTTTATTTCTTGAATACTATAGTGATTTTTTTTCAAAGCAAAAAAATTAATATATTGCTGTTGTTTCAGCAGATTTGTTGATAGAAGGCTTTGAAAATTTATTTCTTTAAAATTCTGAAATTCTTTAGCCTGTTTGATTAAAAATTCAACTAATTTGGTCATCCATTTTTGAAAGTTGAATTTTTTTCTGAGATATGGATTTTCAAACATTGTTTAACAAATTGTAGACTTGTGGTTTAAGTCTAGGATTGTAAAAATTTTTTATCTCTGGGTTAGAGAGTTTTGTTTTTTTCAAGTAAGTGTTTACTAAAGAAACTATTTGAGAGTAACTCATGGGTATCCATTCATTTGAATCTTGATCGAATTGAGAGAATGTTGAATCATCATGAAATGAGGTCTGTAAAGTAGTTGTTGGTAGAGATATAATCCTTGGTTAGGATTATTGTAAAAACTAAATCCTGTGTTAGGATTTGTAGAGAAAACATGAGGTCCTGGATAAGAGTAAGAAGAAGTAAGAGTATTTTTTACTTGTTTTTTTCTTGATGGTTCTCCATTCACCTTGTATCATTGGATATGTTATTTTTCTCGATCCATGTGGTCTACTCAGATAGTCTGCAAGAAGAGTTTTATCTCTGTTGATGAATTTTACCTTGAAAATGATATTGGCAAAGAAAATTGTACCACCTAATTCTCCTGAGATTATCATAAAGCTTTCTATTTTGGAGAAAGCTTCTTACTGCTTGATTATCTGTTCGTATAACAAATATCTCAGGGGCTAAATAGATGTGAAATCGTTGTACACCATTTTTTATGGCTAATAATTCTTTTTCAAAAATAATATAATTTATTTCACTTTGTTTGAATTTACCGAAATTGTAACCACAAATCAATTCATCTTTTTTATGAAGATTTTTTGTTTTAAGGACACATCCTTAATGTTCATCACTGGCATTTGTCTCTAAAATCAATAAATCACCTTGTTTAGGTAGATAGACTTTTGGGATATAGGTTAGCTCTGATTTGATCTGTTTGATAATTTCAGATTCGACTGGTGTCCAGACAAAATTATTACTTTTGCGTAATTTACAGAAAAGATGATTTTCTTTTTTAGAAAGGTTTTTGAAAAATTACATGTCATAATCGAGTATACCTAATAGCTGTTGTAGCTGTTTGACATTATTCAGTGTTCTGAAAACTCTTTGATCTTCGAGATAATATGATCCTGTAATGTTAGTCCATTTGCAGATAAGTTAAACCTTCTCATTCGGTAGTTGTTGTACCTGTGAAAGATGTGACTAAAACATTGTCTTGGTTAGATTTAGTATTCATCACAAAAATAAAATCAGATTTATCATCAGAAGAATTATAATCAGTTTCTAAAAAAATTTCATAATAGATTTCTCCATAAGATAATTCATCAGCAAAAAAAATTTGAAGAAAATTGTCATCAAGTTTTTTGATCATTTTCTTGGCACTGTTCCATTTATTAAGGTAATTGTTTGCATAGTGACCTTCTTGATCACAAAGAAAACATTTATAAGTTTGTTTAGAAGATTTTTTTTCTTTTTAACAATTAATTTACCTTTTTTATGCCTAAAACTTGTAGTGGGTTTCCACTTTTTCCAAACATATTTTCGTTTTTTCTTAAAACGATATTTCTTCGAAAAAGATTGTTTATCACAACCAAATTCAAATTCATTTTCCAAAATCTTTGTACATTGTTTATACGAAAGTTTAGACTTTACCTGCTTAGCAGCTTTTTGCTTGAGGCAGTATTCTGTGATCTGAGTCTGAACATAGTGTATTCTACATCCAAGAGTATCATAGAGTTCGATATTGGGATTTGCAGTATGAACAGTTTTAAGTTTTAACTCTAAATAAACAGGATAATTTTGTAAACATAATTCATCCCATCGTGAGGGAAGTTTGAGAAAATATTGCTGTAACCAAAACTTTGAATGTTTTTCATCCAATTTTTGATATTCAGAAAGATACCTTTTAGAGAAATCATCAAGATTTCGAATATCACATAATTTCAATTTTGATAAAATAAATTAAGCTTCTTGAGTGGGATCCAAAAATTATGTACTACCACAAAACTCATTTTTCAAGATTTGGGTTAAATCTTTTAGTAATTGAGGAATATTTTCTGCTACTAATAACGTTGAATTTTGCTGTTCTCCGAGGGTTGTAGTTTCTCATTTTTGAAAAATTATAGGACATCACATTGTCATGTGCCACAAAAGTAATTGAGAAAACGTTTTTTGTTCCATTGCTCTTTGTAACCTGTGACAATAATAGACATAGATTGTGCCCAATCGTCTATGGCTTTTCCATAGTCTTTGAGAGGGACTTTGTTTAAATCCAAATAAGTATGGTTTTGTGAAACCGTTCGTTTGTTTAACGAATAGATAATAGGGGTTTCAATCTTAACCTGACTTATTTAGCCAGATTCAGATGTTTGTTTTATCTCATCCTTGTTTAGGTGAGAATATTTTTCTTTCAGATGAGAAAGATGTTGATCTATTATATCAGGATCTAGTAAATCTGAAAATCTTAAAGTATCATCAATATCTAGGTTAGATATTGCAAATGCTTTTCTCTTCCCACTCTCATCTGGTTGAGGGATAGGAATTTGACTTGGTTTTGGATCTGTTTGATCATGAGAATTATTAGTGTCATCTGATGAAATTGATTCATCCTTGACTATTGGGTTAGTAGCAAGAATTTTAAAGTTACCAGCTACTCAATCATTATTTATTTCTTCACCACAGACACTGACTGTATCATAATTAAGCATATAATGATAATTATACTTAATAAAAATTATTTATGTTTTTCATAAAGAGTCTCAATAGCTTGAAAATAATCAATATGTTGTTACGAATCTTTTATTTTTTTTCATTTTAAACTTAAAATTTTCAATAATATATTCATAAGAATCGAAATCAAGTTATTTTGTTTTTTTTTTCAAGGAAAATGAAAGTTTTTTATCATTCATTATAATATTATCATAATAAAAAAATTCAAAATCTATAAATGTATCGAAAGGAATATGTATACACGGCCCTTCATTTCTTCTTACTCGATAATATTCTTCTGTAGAATAAAAAGAATGTAGCCAAAGCAAGGCTTTAATTTCTTTTGAGATTTAATAATATCGGTGATCACAATTAATTTGTACTTTCATCCATTATGGTCCTCCAGACAGGTGTAACTTGTAAAGCAAACTGATATGCAGACCTGTAGAGCAAGCAATTTTTTCTTCCGAACGTAAATAAACGTAGATACGAGCGT